CATAACTGTCCACACAGGTGGTATTCCGTATTATAAGGGTCCAATCAATGGTATTCAAGTCTCTGTCTTTCTGTATCCACTATTCTGACAATTTATACTATCCTGATTACATAAGAAATATTACTGCATACTGGAGGATTAATAAATCCTCCGGTATTCCGGTATGCTGGTGCTGCATATACCAACAGGCACTTGCCAAGCAAGTGCTGGGTAACTATTCGCTAGAAAGTGTATTATGTAATTTTAGCATACTTGACCGTACTTAGAGATAGCCAATAACAACCATGCGATTCTCTTAGTATCTCATATGGCACGTACGAGACTCCCCTAGGGAAACAATATGAGGGTGCCCGGGTCAGCCGGGCGACGCTAGGCGCCGAAAGTGAGGCTCCGAGTGCGAAATAGACTCAATATCTTCAACCACATCGGCCTTGGGAGTTTGGTCAAACTAAATGTACGCTAGTTGCTCCCATTGCGGGTGGGGGGACTATTGTTTGAATCAACGGGAGGCATAGGGGCGTGTGAAGCTATCTGCATGGCAGAAGAAATGTGACCTAAACGGCAGGTATCCTCGTCTTTCCACTTTTTCTTGTTAAACTACACCTCATTGGAAAAGAGGTGGACGAAGACATCTGCCAAGAATAAAGAGTTCGTATACAACTACCCGCGGTTCAGGCACGGGCGGCTAGCCGCTCTATTCGGCTCTCATGGCACTCTGGCTAGATATTCAGCTTGCATAGCACGATGTACATTTACATATTCCGATCGAGAAAAAAGTAAGTGACCTGCTTTTTCCCTCCGCTTTATCTCCCTATCCTCGTTTTATAACCCCAATCTCGCTTTATCACAAGCAAAATGCGTACTAAGCATCCATAAACAAACGTTATGTAGTTAACTAGTTAGCTAATGTTATAACTAGTTAACTAGCTTTTGGGGAGTAACTTTAGTAATTACTGTTAGGCTACAAAGGGAGAGAGAAGCAGGAAGAAATCTCTGCTATTCAATCTATCAGCATCAGGGTCTTTATACCCTTCTAAACTAGCAAACAAACGTTCAGTCTGACAAACAATCCCCAGGACAGTCCAAAGACGGTCCGGGGACGATCTGGTCTCCAACAATTACAACGTACGGCGAGCAATAACAAAATACAGCAAGTACTACTACGAATGGAATCTGGTTACAGTCTAGTTTGACTTTCGACGAGTAGTCTAAGCCCTAGAAGTAGAAAAGTAAATCTCTAAGCTATGCCTATATCCCTAGATTTGTCAAATTACACCTGTATATTGCAGGCCATTACCTTGTCGGACATTAGAATATGTAGGACCTTTCTCGAATGGGTTATAAGAGCAATACAGCGACGAATTGAATAAAGGCATACAGTCGAGACGATTTAGGGATTTGTCATGAAATTTGCCACTAGTATAAAGATGGAAGAACTCAAAGTTAGTACCACGAGAAGGAATTTCTCGACTATGTACGGAGTATTTAGGGCTCGGGTCAAGGATCCGTGTTGCCAGGAAACCTTGGAACCAATCAAAATCAACAAAATACATGTATAGACGGACGCGCCGTGGATCCTACGAGCCTTCAGCCTCAGTAAATTCCTACCTATCACTTCTACAGCGATGGTCCATGCCCTACTACTTGAAACCACCATTCCAAGCACTCAAATAATCAACGGCTGCTAAGAATTGTAAATTTCAAGGGGGCAGATCTCCCCCACCCCCGCAGCCGACCGGAGCGGGACTAGGACGGGATGAGGGACTATGTACTCCGTACGGAGTAGACCCCTGGATAATATCAAATTCGAATCACAAGACGTGTCATCTTCGGATGCTGGACCTTGACTTCTTCCCGGAACCGAGGTACAACGTACCTTTAGGCTATATCTCCTGGCTTGGCATATACGTACTTTGCTGAAAATCATGGATTATCTTACGCAGTCAATGCTGCTACCAGAAGTCGGCAAGTGCAACTGCCGGAATATGATGGAGCTTCCAGCGCCAAGCCAATATGTAAAAGTCTATTCCTTCTATATTGTAGACTTCGAGCCTTTTACTCCGTACACATTCCAGATATACACATACATTATTAAATCATTTTTTCTTTCTTTATCACTGGTTACATGCAGTATTCATTCACCTTGTAAACTTAATAGTACAATACTTATCGCTAATATTTCCCCTAATTAACAGAGTCTGGGGTAGATCCGTCGGGGGGTGGGGGGCACTGAAACTTCTTCACTCCAAATTGACCGTATTTAGATAGTCTGGGAACTTTTATTTTCCCTCATTTTAGTATAAATAACTACCCCGCGGTGACCCCAGCTTTTTTTATTCTAGGGCGAATATCCTACCTGACTTCTCCATATCACTTCTTCCACACGATAAGATAGTGTTTGCCTGGCATTTTCGCTATGGCCAATGCCTCCCCGGTCGCGTCCTTAGTGGATGAAAAGGCTGTGGTGAATTATGAAGATGTGATGGATATCGCTGCCGGAAGAGGCATTGCTGCCACAGATGATCATGGCCAGGCCATTGTGGAATTCGATAAGGCTGCTGAGTCGAGGTTGCGTCTAAAGATCGACCTATACATCATTCCCACGGTGGCATTAATGTATCTGTTTTGTTTTATCGATCGGGCAAACATAGGTGCGTATATTGCCTATCATTATTTTCTCATGACTCTAACTAATCATTATTGTTGAAATAGGAAATGCTAAGCTGGCTGGCTTCGAAGATGACCTCGGACTCGAAGGGCTTGATTACAACACCGTGCTGTCAATCTTCTTTATCTCATATATCGTCTTTGAGATCCCGAGCAATCTCATGTGTAAATGGATCGGGCCGGGGTGGTGGCTGCCAGGCATTGAAGTCGGGTTTGGCATTTGTTCCGTCGCGACAGCATTTGTCAACAATATTCATGAGGCGTCTGCTGTTCGCTTTCTTTTAGGGTAAGTAGATGATCGCCTGATGATTTTCAGATGAGTACCTTGCGAATACCGCTGACTCTTTGCTAGTCTATTTGAGGCAGGATTGTTGCCTGGAATCGCATATTATCTTTCGCGATGGTATCGACGGAGTGAACTTGCCTTCCGTCTATCACTATACATAGTTATGGCTCCACTAGCCGGCGCATTTGGTGGCCTTCTAGCTTCTGGTATTCTGAAGCTAGATAGCTTCGGCTCTCTCTCGAGCTGGCGAATGATTTTCGCGATTGAAGGCATTATTACTATCTGTATTGGTGTTGTTTCATTCTTCACCCTAACCGATAGGCCGGAGACGGCGCTATGGCTCTCACAAGAAGAGAAGGATCTAGCCGTTGCCCGTGTTAAGTCTGAGCGTGTGGCGACAACCGAGCTTCTGGACAAATTCGATACGACTAAAATGATGCGTGGCATCTTTAGTCCAACCACGATTGTCATGGCTTTCATCTATATGTTGAATAATATCACCATTCAAGGTCTCGGAATGTTTGCACCCACTATTATCAAAACTATCTATCCCGATGAAGGGGTGATATCCCAGCAACTACATACGGTTCCCCCGTATATTGTCGGTGCATTCTTTACGTTATTGTTCCCATTCCTCAGCTGGCGCTTCGACAACCGACTGTTCTTCTGTGTTATAGGCCCACCGCTAATGATAATTGGTAAATATTCCCTCTATTATAGTCTCTGAGCAAGAGCTGACTATAGTGGCTAGGCTATGCCATGTTCCTTGCTTCCGAAGACCCCATGGTACGATACGGTGCGACTTTCCTTATCAGTAGTGGGTCGTTCTCGTTAGGGGCTTTCTGCGCAGCGCATGTCTCTGCCAACGTCGTGTCGGATACCGCGCGGTCGTCGGCGATTGGCGCAATGGTCATGCTTGGCAATATCGGCGGACTTATTAGCACCTGGTCCTTCCTACCCTTCGATGCCCCTAACTATCATATCGGGAATGGCCTCAACTTGGCGACTTCTAGTGTGTCCCTCATTCTAGCCGTTGGCATGTGGGTCTATATGGTCTGGGACAACAAGCGACGTGATCAAGTGGATATTGCAGCTGCTTTAAGAGGACTTTCGCAGCTGCAGATTCAGGACCTTGACTGGCGTCATCCTGGCTTCCGTTGGCGACCTTAGGTTCAAGTTCTCTCGTTGGTGTTGAGTTGTCGTCTTCGTCTTAGGTGAGTGAAAACTGCGACAGCACCCTAGTCTCGATCATGGAACCGATAGGAAGAGAGAGGAGTGTGTCCCTAGGTCTACTATGTAGTAAATGATGATAAAGTTTATCCTCAATTTTATTATATGAATGACTAGTGATTGTGAGTTCAAAAGTATACATAATTTCACCATTGAGGATGTAGCTTGAAGTTAACGCAATGAGTGGCCGGCTCCTACTAGGTTATATATCCGCTCTTGATTCCCCGGTCGCATTCAGATATCCCCCATTTTTTTTCAAGCCTAGATACGGCAAGGTCCATGAGCGTATAGGTTCCGATTTTGACAATTATTGGCTATCTTCCTGACGATTTCTTCTCAGGGTATACAGCTTGGTTACAATCATGAAGAAAGGTTATGGTAAGCATATGTTGGAATTCTCTCTTACATGGGAGAGACAGCTAAATAAGATAGAGCTCGACTCACCGGTAGAAACTGGAACTAGTAATACTAGATAGCTATGATCAAAGGAACACGCCTGTGAGAAATAAATTAGTACGAGAAGGGAAAGACACGTCAATGGTCCAGCGCGTGTAAGGTAAAGAATAGTGATTCAGGGCATTCAGGTGAATTGGCCGCAGGGGCTGAAGTAGGTAGGGGAGAGCGAAAAACAATAAAAACAATAAATACAAACAAAAAACATACAACAGCTATTGTATGACCGTGGTCACCTAGCGCCCACGGTTCGGGCATGGGCGGCTCGCCGCTCTATTCAGGGCACTCAGGGCGGATATTCACCCACCTGAATATTCTTCACTCGAATATTCAGCCCGTACAGCAAAAGGTACATTTCGACAACATGACCGAAAGCTATAAGTACCCTTCTTTTTCTCTCCGCTTTCATCTCTCCAGCCTCGCTTTCTCACTCCAACCTCGCTTTGTCACGTGCAAGATGCGTACCAAGTATGACCCAACGTTGAAATATACGGCCAATATTGTGGATTTCGGGGAGCATAGCAACAATGAAATCCAGCGGGCAGTTCTGCCACGAACAGAATCTGGTTACAGAAACACGTTACTTATTTTCGATAAGTGAGTGTCAGCCCTACGAGTAGAGAAGCAAATCACTGAATTATGCCTATATCACTAGATTTGTCAAATTACATCCACAAGCCGTCATTCCGCCGGACATCAGAACATGCAGGGCTTTTTTTGAGTGGGTTGCAAAAGAAATGGACGGTCGGATCGAAGAAAGGCCTACGGTCGAGACGATTCAGGGATTTTTCAGGCAATTTACCACGGGGATGAAGAGAGAAAGAAACTTCGAATTCCCACCAGCCACTAGGACTACAATCAATGAGGTCTGTACCAGCGTCTTTACAAATAAATCAGGGCTAATGCTAGATAGTATATCGTGAGAGAACTAAGGACCAAGATCCCTCTCTCAACTAAGCAAATGAATAAAGATGGTGGTGTATCCCCAAATGATTTGACCATCTTGATGACTCAATTATGGTGTCGAGACCACCATGAGTATCGTGGAAACCCTGCCGATCGTGCCAGAGTTCAGCTGAGTGCCGCAATGCTCCTGTATTGCTTTACCTCTGCACGCACAGGGGAGGTTCACGAATCAACTGCTCGGAGACACGGAGCCCGGGAGATCGGGGAGGACAGCGAGGATGTTATATTGGAGGCCCGCGTGATGGCTGCCTGCTATAAGGTGTGTTTAGAGAAGGAAAGAGAAACCAATGCTTGAAGCTGACTACATTAGCATTTCGAACTGACTATCGAGAGTGTGGATGGTATAACAATGCTTGTCCTCACCTACGAGCGCGAATTTGTCAAAGGATATTGGCGAAAGACAAAATGGGAAATTCCTAAGCACGCATTCTACGAAGTATACGCTGAGGAAGTGCCTATATTTCTAAACATTTTGACATTCTTTTTACCAATGGCCACCGCAGATAAAGCTTTCAGAGATTACGGCTCAGTGAGCGAGATCCTAGATGCTGTCGACATGCATGAGAAAGTCGGTCCTTCAGAGAATAAGATCCTTGAGGTGATTCATGTCCGGCAAGATATGAGAGATCTGCCGGTTTTTCGCCAATATCTTGAGCATAATGTGGACAATTTCAAAGGCCATGCCAGGGGAGCGGATTCCTTCGGTAAGGCCTTGGTCAATCTAGGCCATAGAAGTGGCTACACGCTGAATATTACTGTTCGGGCGTGTCGAAGATGGGCTTTACAGCAAGCAGGTACGTATTCATCAAACTATAGGCTTATAGGCTAGCTAATGATAAAATAGACAAGACATATTCCGAGTCTGCAAGAATGAAGTTCGCTGGGCAAACTAACCGGAACACATACGGAAAGTCATACGCGCATCCTCTTAGTGAGGTTGATGGGCCAGCAAACTACCTCGGAATTGCCAGCCGACAAGAACATATCCAGAATCGTCGGGGAATGGGTCTTTACCGCAATTCCTATTTATCGCAGCTCCTTCCTGCGAAAGCTGAGTATGAATTTCTTGCCCGAGAAGATGTTTATGGTCTTGACCAAAGCATGGCAAATTTGAGTTTGCTGCTCTCAGACGCCACGCCGGAAGAAAAACACAAAATCCAACTCAAACAAAAGGCCGTCTATAGGGAGAAACGGAGCCTTTATAATGAAGAGCTCCGAAAGGTCCAGGCACTATCAGGGAGACAGCATGGAAGTATTTACACTGAAACCATGTTCCACTATAGGAGAAAGGTAATGCCTCACAGAGACCTTTTGGCTAGCACATTGCCTTGTAATCTCAGCCTCCGGAGTTTAGGTGGAAGAAGAACAATGCAGGCGTTAGAGTCCCTCTGCAGCGAGACAGATACGGTTTCATATCGCGATAGCCTCAGCCCCCTAGGCCAGGCCTGTCTCTGTGGAAGGTCAATTGAAGAGTATGTCGTGCTAAAAATGGGAAGATATGATTTTCTTATTACTAACTTGAATAGATTCAAGGATCACAGAAAATGGTTACATCTCTACCGTTGCTACTCAGGGCATTACAGAACCACGCACGGATTTGCGGAAATGTGCTTTGAATGCGACCTATGGTTTACCAATAAATCAGAATGGGAGGACCATTGCCAGGAGCATCTTGATAATCCCGGCGATTTGCTCCGATGTGATCCTATGACCTTTCGGAACGCACCTATAAAGCCAGGGCTATGTCCATTTTGCTTAGGTGCCAAGGGAGAAAAACCGTCAAAGAGAATGTTGCAATTCGTCCTCTCACCACCAAAATGGCACTCCCATATTGAAGATCACTTGAAAGAACTTAAACTTGATTTAGACTGCAAGCATCCAGCCTGCTCTACAAGCTTTAAAAGCCTGGAGGAGCTTACCTACCATCTCGTTGACACGCATTGTTGGCGCCCTAGGCGGCAATCGCCCAAGAAACGAAAGTGGGCAGACTAAATTTTGATACAAACAACTTTTCTTCACGCTCCGCACTACCTGATTAAATGCTGTTTTGCCTTAGCAATATAAATTTTACGTGTTAGAGCTGATTGATTGCCACTAATTTAGACGTAGCATAGCACCCTCCATACCCATTCCCATATCCCCAACCCCCTCATCACCTGGATCGATTTCATCCAGTGCCACTTCGAATGGCACTGAATCGGCCCAAGTCCGGCTGCGAATAGCGTTGATAATAGGACTAGGGTGTATTTTCTCCATATTTGAGTTCTTCTGAGTGACAGCTAAAGGACGTACGAGGGTAGACGACTTTTCCAGCAGTACAGTCAAGTGAATAAATTGAGATGAACTGTCCTCGCCTTTGTATCCTTTCAGTTATGGTAATATGTAATGAGACTAAGGATGAACTAATTCATTCAATTACATAGTAGCGCTACAGGAATTCCCGAAATCAGAGTACACTATTCAATCGTCTCTCGAACAATATTCTCCAAACATGGCCCATGCAGTACTTGGATGCAAAATTAGCGGGCAAATCTGACGTTAGGAGATTCCGAAAACTGAAAATCTAACACGACTCTGTGCTAATATTTGCGTATTGCGGTGCTTGCCATTGTATCTATCCTAGGCACCTTGATCCAGTAGCATTTGCACCACCTTTTTGTCGCCTCCAGTTGATGCAGCTTGAAGTGCATTGCCAAAGGCTCCACCCTGGGCGTTCACATCGGCACCTTGATCTAGTAGCATTTGGACCACCTCTTTGTGGCCTCCATATGATGCAGCTTGAAGTGCATTGCCATAGGCTCCAACCTGGGCGTTCACTATGTTTGATAGACCAGAAGTCTTCTCATAAGTCGCTAGGATATTCCTTAAAATGGATTCTAGCCCCAAAAAGGATGCGTAGTATATTGGGAATGTTGTTTTATCCTCCACGCGTCTTTCAAAGTTGACGTTTCTATTCCATGAAAGGTCAATCTCATGTAACCTGGCCCAAGTCACGAACGAATTTGCCTCGTTTTGGAAAACTCTCAGTAGCAGTTTTTCAGCTTTCAACTTTCCTTCTTGGGACATTTGATAGTACTGATACCAATGCATAGCCGCGAAGTGAGCAAGTGGGAAATCTCGAATCTTCGTCTTATCTAAGATGCCATCAGAAAGCGTTGGGTGTAAAAGATAGGCAAGGCAGATTTGCGCCAGTTCTGTGTTTGCAGATCCACTATTAATAGCGAATCCTTCCGCTCTCTGATTTCTGATACGATCTGATTGAAGATACTCTTGGACAGAGAAATGAGCGATGCGAGCGATCGAGATCATTTGTCCATCATCATTGTCGGTTTCCACTACCTCTACAAGTCCAAGGCAGATATTAACAAGATCATCTTGCCCATAGGATCGGCCCTCACGATCGAGATACGGTGATTCACCAAGTTCGACCGCATGAGCGTCGATCAACTCACTAACAGTGAGGGGTCGGATAGCGAAACTAAGGACACTCAATATACGTCGTACATCCTCAACATATGTTTCATCAATGTCACAAAGCATGCGTTCATAGGTTTCATCTAGATCGCGAGGCAAGCTGTGTAGGTATTTGTTAAGTTGGTTTCGGTTACGCGCTCGTCGAAAAGAGTTAAGCTGACATTCCACGTATCTGAAGCTATATATAACTAGTGTTAGAACATTAAAATAAGACTAATATGACGGAATGCTTACACTCCCTGCGCACCCTGCGTTAATTTGGTTTGGATCTCGCTATGTCGCACTTTCCACCTCTGGAGCTTGGTATCATTTTCCAGCTGATAAGAGACGAAATTAAAGATATCTTTGTCAATTCCGGAATTCTTCATTAATAGATCATAGTCATGAGAGGGTTTTAATGATCGTCGGATGTCAAGCTGGTCCCGGCTTATTACTAAGAGATGAACACTAGGTAAGCGCTAGTCCCGTATCACCTATATCACTCTTAAAACATCCTCTCTGCCATTATCTCGGGGGCATTCATCTAGTGCATCGAGTAGGATATAGCCGTCCAGGAACCGTTCAAGAAATCTTCGAAGTGTTTATAGTAGCACTTGCACTGAAGGAGTGGATGACTGGGACAGTATGTGTAGTTACTCTAGTTCCTTTTGGTCGTCTTGGAACTGCACCGATAGTTATAATAATAATGTACGACCTAGAATAATGTACGACCTAGCCCCTTCGAAGCATGAGCTTATACACGACATGCTCCGTAGCGGGGAACTATCTATGTCGCAGATGGCAAAGGCTGCTGGCTGCACTAAGCGTACCATCCTACGAATCTCTTCCAATATTCGGACATTTGGTAGCATCAAAGCACCGGCCAATAAAGGTGGTAGACCACGAAGCATCAGTCCAGTTATGCTGGAAGCCCTTTGTGACCACCTACTCGAAAAGCCTAGCCTATACCTTGATGAGATGGCACTTTTTCTGTGGGATGAGTTTGATATCCAAGCGACGAAGTCCAGCATCAGTCGCGCTCTTGCATCAAAACGCTGGTCAAAAAAGACCGCCCGGGTCAAGGCTAAAGAGCGTAATCACGACCTCCGCGATGAATACTCCCACTTTATCTCGGATTTTAGATCGTACCACCTTGTGTATGTGGATGAATCTGGGAGTGACACCAGTTCAAGTGTCCAAATTCCATCGAGATCAGCGATATCAGATACTACCTGCATATGCTCAAGATGGCATAGTGTTCTCTCGAGTGTTCCAAGGCTCGACTGATACGTCCGTCTTTGAGGATTTTATTGAGCAACTGCTTCGGCATTGTGGTAAATGGCCTGAGCCTAAGTCTGTGCTAGTCATGGACAACGCATCATTTCATCACTCTGACCGAATAGAGCAGATGTGTTCAGAAGCCGGGGTGAAGCTAGTATACCTGCCTCCATATTCTCCGGACCTCAATCCCATTGAGGAGTTCTTTGCCGAGCTGAAGGCCTTCATTCGGCGGCATTGGCAGTCATACGACGATAATCCAGACCAAGGATTCGATACCTTCCTTGAATGGTGTGTTGATATGGTTGGTGCAAGGGGGGAAAGCGCAGAGGGGCACTTCCGCCATGCGGGCTTAACCGTAGAGGAGATCTAGCGCAGCTACGTACGTTGTAGCGAGACTCGGAACTGATCTTTGTATTTGCCTGAAGCAGGCTCTTACTTGAACATCATTGCCAGCGGTGAAAGGCAGTAATAGCCACCGATCATCGATCATGATGCATACCTGCAAGTCAAGGATAGGGACTTGTCTAGATCCGGGATAATTGGGGTTTCTCGAGATAACGGCAAGAAATAGACATAAGGTTTTAACATCGCTACTTGCTAAACGATTAGGTGGTAGTTCATTTATTTGGCCAACCAGAACCAGATGTCGTTGCACTTCGTTTCGTTTGTCTCGATCTAGTGGGCTCTAACCACTTCAGCCGCTTGCGCTATTGCTTCAACAGTATACTCATCCGGGTCCCATTTCAGAATCCTGGTTTCTTTCTCTTCCAGCTTCCGAACAACCAATTGTTCCATCTCCTCTATTTCCTTCTCGCCTAGTAGGCCGAGCCTCTCTTTCCAAGCTGTCTCAGGACTTTGAGCAGCCCCGAAAAACAAGGGATCAATTTTCTTCCAGTAGATTGCGTCAAATGCAAAGCTATTCAACGCTGCGTATACGATCCAGAAATTTCCGCTGTCCCAGCTCCGCTGCATATAACTAGATAGGCGTTGGTTTTCTTTTATTTGGCCTTTTTGAATCTCCGTGTCCTCGCGGCTTTTCATCGCCCTAAGAAACGTCTTCAAGCGATGATTAAACACATTTTCCCAGTTGTCCATGCCATTTGGCCAAAGCTCGGGCTTTTCAATGAGCAGCCACCAAGGCGGTGCGTGGGAAAACTCAACTGGTGCTGCATATGTGAACTCCCAATCTACCACGCCAGCAATTTGCATATTTTCATGGAGTAGTACATTTCCCGGTCGCAAATCGTCACACCAGATTTTGAAAGGACCTTGTTCGAATGGTAAATCAGAAAGTCGCTTCTCTCTGGCGAGCTTACGAAAAAGCTGTCGCGCCACAAACTTTCGTCGACAGTCATCTGCTGACTCCACAGCATCGTTCCTCTGGTGCACCAGGTGTTCAATGTTTAGGTCCGCAAGGGCTTCAAAATAACAAGAAGTTGTACTGAATATGGTGTCGGGAAGTTTAGATCGCGGTAGGCTTCCCAGTCGTACCAGTTCATTCATGTTCATTGATAAGGGTCGGCGCGATACTTCCCAGGTGAAGTCATCGACCTGGGTGAGAGATCCTATACGAGGAAAAGAAATCTTTGACAGCTGAAGTAGAACACCCGCTAGCTGACCATATAAAGACTCAAGCGTATTATCGTCGATGTTTGGATCCAGAATTCCACGTTCCTTTTTCGGGCATCCAGGGGTATTGAGAGCGTCGTACATATTTGTTTTGTGTTCGATGTATTCCATCATGATAAATGGGCTCAGTTCAAGGGGGCTTTCCTTCTTCGTGCCCGAATCAAGAATGAATGGAACAGGTATCGATGTCTGGTCTGTGAGAAATCGCATCATGGCAACTTCGTTCGCGACTTTTTCCTCAGGGAAAAATACCGCACCGGGCTGGCATAGCCGTATGACAACAGCATAGTTTTCGTACTTCATCCGTAAAGAGATGTTATAGGAACCTTTTTCGAGTATGGCAAACTCGGGACTATCACCTCTTTGGCGCTGGAGGATGAACATCGCGATCGGTTTCTTGATGTCAAGTTTCAGGAATTGAAGCAGCCAGTTGTGGGATATTTTCTCGGCAAATTCCCAGGCCATATCATCGGCACACATTAGTGTTTTCATAATTGTGTCGCAATACTGGATAGAATAGTTTAAAAGTGATAACTATACAGTGAAACAGAAAGAATTATTATTGATTGCCCTGGGCCATTTTGGGTGCGGCTTGGCATCACATGACAATTAGTTTATGCCCAATGATATTTCAGAGTTCATTAGCGGGTGACCGAAACTAGTTGGCATCTCAGTCTATTTTTATCATGCAAATAAGCGCCTAGGCTTCCCATCCACCTGTTCCACATTTAGTAGGATAGTGATATGATGACCTGGGCTTTTAGGGATAAAGGAAGCGCTAACTAAGTCATGTTTAGAAAGCTCTCGCCCAACCATTCTCATCTCTCACAATTCCTTTAGGTGATGACGTTTTTAAGGAGCTTTGCTGCCCAACCATCACGCGCCCACACACCCTCCTTTCCCAAAACATGTGCGGGAGTTGAACATACCAGGATGTTATTCGTTGGGTGCTATACGTGTTGACTCACTCGCTAGCTTCTTTTTATTCTAGTCTCTCAGGGTACATATGACGCAGTCAAGTATATAAGATGATAACCGTCCCCTTACTTTTACTTCAACCAAACAAGCTGCCATTTTTCAAATTGAATTTGTTTCTAAACAGGCACATCAGCATCGCAATTACTCATTTTTACCACCCATATTGATAAGTTCCCAAGTGGGTCTTTGGTGCTCTATCAGTCTTATAGCGTTTCTGCCCTTGAAGGTATGTAGGTTGATGTCCTCGTTTTTATATGTTCCACTCTCATACATCACCGCATATTAGTGCAGGTAATTGTAACAATACCAGCATGTCGGATTCTAAGAAGGCAGATCGTGACCAGACAGCACATCAGTTGAATATTCCAGCTGATGATGCCCAAATCCTTGACCAGACAGGGCGGGATTCTGCCAGTAGACGGAAACAATCTTTTGAGCCACCACAAGTCAAATTTCCCAGCCCGGGAGAAGAGACTATCATGGACAACGCCGGCAAAGAATCAGCTGGCAAAAGGGAACATGTTACTTCAAGCATTGCTAGAGAATATCAGGGCGGCTCTTCTTAAGCCGTCTGGTGGATTTGGTTGGTGGTGATATGGAGGAGATGGGCGATTGCATAGAAGGGCTATGATGATTATCCCCAATCTTTTCTCTTTCCTGTCCATTTTGAATATATGACAGGATGAATTGAACAAAGGGCAATGTTATCCTTCAATACCATGTTAGTTGGGGTAGTAGCGTTGATTCAAGATTCATTGAACATATATCAACAATATTGTCTCTTACTGTGGATCGTTCTTGATCCGCCAAAAGAGTCACCTCTAGGGAGGGGGGAAGAGGATCAAGGATTGTGTCAAAGGAGCGATATATATAGGCAACCTCGCCGCACAAAAATTGAACTTTACTTCTGTATTGTTGGACCAAGGCATTGTCTACAGACATTGAATTCTCGATATAAAACTACAAAACCGTTCCAAATAGGGCCATAGCACCATTTTGGCAATAGACCAGACTACAGATTTTTTTTGCTTTGAAGAATAAATCAAAGCATCTTACATATTTCTCATACATATCGGATCATACATACGAACACTTGGGCATATTTATTCAAAAATGACTCAACAGGAATCCACAGGATATGGTAGGGCTGCTTCCAACGACTCCAGATCTTTGTGATGCTCCAAAAATATTCATTTTTGGCACGTTGCTCTATATATCCACGCTGCATGATCTGGACCGTCCATCGGCTGGTTCAGAGTCAATTGCATCAACCGAGCTACAAGAGCTAGAAGATAATGTAGGTCGACTGCTTTGTAAGCTAGCCTCCAATTCGTTTTTCGACTCTACAGACTCAGTCAGTATAAGTATGGATTTGGGCTGGCGTCTCTTACCAAGGCCGCTGATGCCAACGAAACGCTTGCAAGTATCCGACCCCTTCCCGAGGATCCACAACTTTTTATTCAATTGTTCCCGTCGGCTTTGGCTCTCCTCAGATTCACCTGCGATTTGTCCGATCAATTCTTTAGGCATCTCGAATGCGGTTATTGGTGTAAAAAGTGTAGTAATTGCACGCAGAAGCTTTACTTCTATCACCTCAGTGGCAATGTCATCAACGAAACGCTTGAGTGCAACCTAGTATTGGTATTACACATGTTAACCAGATAAATGAAGAATTAGACGGTCGGTGACTCGTACCTTGTAGTAGGCAAGCATACAGTCAAGTGCTTCCTCGGATGCAAAACGTGTCATGTCCGGTATAGTTGTCTGAACAAGGGAGTTGAGAAGCCCTTGAAGATTGACAGTTTTCCCAACAGGCTCAGAGGTTGAAAGAGTATCAACATCAAAGTATGATTGAAGAGCTTTACGGAAAGCTTCCTTTTGGCGATCAGCACGAGTTTTTTGGAGTGTTTCAGTGAAGTAGTGGTTGTAGGTAATAGGATGACCTCGTTGATGCGGCATAAGGAGCTCTTCGCTTCCCTTCTCCAATGTATATCGTACATTTTCCAGAGCTGGCAAAATGACCTTTTCAAACAAGGCTTTTGAGGTAACTTCATCTGCCACATGGGAAACTGCATACCGAAGAAACTCTCTTGCTGCTGTCCACGCGGCAGTAATATGGCCGCGTGTTATGTCTTCCCATGGGCTGCATTGTTCTTGGAATAGATCCTTAACGATCAAAGGATTAAAAGTGCCAGGTAGCTCTCGGCCTCTTGTCTTTTTGAGGAGTATTCCGATGTGCTGCACGTATTCTTCTCTTTTGAGAAGCTGCTGACGTTTGGAGATTGACCTAGGTTCTTCACTTTCAAGGACATGGTGAAAATGGCCACGGTGGGAGATTTTATCTGTGAATTTCTGATTCAGATTTTGAATGACTGCTCGGATGCGCTTCCGGTACCCTTCATCAGTCTTTGCATCTCCAAAGAAAGGCTCGTTGTAAGTGCCATCCACGGCTGCCTTGACTAGAGACTGAAACGCTTGGCTGGTATGCAAAAGATACGATCTTTGCTCATCTACTGTTGCACGAGGGTCTCCAAGCTTCTGGAGCTGCGACCTGCAGGAATTGATCCCGGAATTTATCTCGTTGATCAGGCTTGGAAGTTCACCGGCAATCTGACCAAGAAGTAGGCTGCTCATGCGGGTTCGCAGTGAATCCACACCCACGAGAGATCGAGGTAGGTCTTCCCATATTCCTTGGGAGAAGAATTTCCTTTCCTGAATATCCCGATCGGATAAGCTCCACTGGCCTTTCTCAGAATCCATATTCATCAACACATGCCATCCAAGACGGAACTCTACATCTTGATTCTTAGCAAGCGACACAAAGGAAGCCTCACTTTCAGATCCCGGGACTAGCATATCAGGCTTGGAAATGACACCTAATGTCCGGTTGCCCGATGGATCAGCGTCCCGCGCTAAACGGAGGACAATCTGGTTTGCAAAATCGTTCTTGGCGGAGACGACAGCAAGGATAACGCTTCGTGGCTCCCTCATGTATGATTGAACCACGTCCTGAACTAGTTGTACATCGGCTGCCGATTGCTGTCGTGTTTCTGAGTGGATCAGACCCGGAAGGTCGACAATTGTGAGATGTGGCCGGTCAGGGCCTGAAACTTCAACCCGCAGAAGGTCGTTAGAAAATGCTTTTCCGTGGGTGGATATCCCCATTGCTGCCTTTGCATTTTCTATCAAGTTTGCGAGGCCATCGAACCCATCAAGTTGTTCGCAGAAGCTGCCGAGAGAATGCTGCTCAGCGTCACTGCGCGATTGGTGAGGGACAATGGAAACACGAACTCCCACTTGCGAGTTCTTCCGAAGAACCAACTCGGTTGGGAATCTAGTGCACAAACTGCTTTTCACTGGAAAGGACACGCCGGATATCGCCTCGAGAACGGAGCTTTTTCCGGAAGACTGGTCTCCGCATACGATTATTTGTGGGAGCGAGACGTAGTGGCTGATGCCTTGCGATCGGAGCGTATCGATGGAATCCAGAAGGTCTAACTGCTCTTGAGTACACAGGCCCTCAAGTGCATCTGTTGTGAAGTTTGTCAAATTCATGGCTCCCTTGAATTTGGAGTTGAGTTGGAATGACGGACTGGATGTTCCAATAGACATACATGTCCACAGCGCACCAACTTCATATATTTATAATTTTATAATTGAAAGAACCACTAGGTCAACGACACCCCCTTTCGCCCTAAAACTCCTTGCGCGGCGGATATCCTTGCGTTAGGTTACAATGATCATTCGACCTGCCAATCAACATAACATACCTGTGGGGCTCTCCATAAAGACCACGTGACCTACCAGGGTATCAACATGTTGGTAATGCTGGTTTGCAAACAATACAATCCGTCTTGTAATGACAGGGGTAGTTCCAGTCCTCTCTTTAATTGCTCTCCCACAGCTTCCACTTTTTCAACAGTTGATTTAGGAGGTGAGCCTTTTAAGTTCATCTTCATAATATCGTCAATTCTAGATGTACGTGTATGGAGATCTAGTTGTAGGCTGCATATCGCTTTGGCAAGGGGCCAGAGTCAATGGTAGATAAAGTATATGTAAATAACAGTATCTTAACAAGTAGCTATTTTATACATCCAAAATAGGTAATTTCTTAGCAGGTTATGCAGCTGCAGTATCATATTGATACTACGAGGTAGTGCAGTACTTGTCAAGGTCTAGATCTCGTTGTCTTAGACGAAGAGTATTACGACGGAGAGCACAAATAGAATAATGCTCTCTCAAACAGCCACATACGATGAAAGGGGAAGATAAAGCTCTAGCGCTTATACCAAGGTGGCATCTCGGATAACTTACTAAAGCTACACCGATGTCCTATGCTCTTCCAATGACAATTGGCACACGAGGAATATAGATCGTCGTCGACGACCACACACGTCGGTGAACGGCCCGGTGCCTTTCTTGCAGTGCTCGCGCTCCCCCTCCACGTCATCTCTAACAATCTCCCACCAGGGCTTCAAGTTAACCGTTGTGTTTCCCATTTTCACGTGTAGGTCGGCTTCCACCATCTTCCGTGTACGAATCTCCCGTCCAGCCGTGAGTCGTTAGAGGATCTATACCGCCGTGCACCTGACCTTTCTAGGAGGTGAAGCTTGAGTAGAACCTCCTTCAATGCTGGCTGACGGGAATTGAAGATCGACAATGTTCACTAATCCTGACATTTCATGGGCTACGAGCCCAAAAAGCTCTGTGACGATACTTCCTTCTGCACAGACTGAAGTGGCAAACATCAATTTCAAACCTAAAAAAGGGGGGCTTTCCACTAACCAGCAATCAGCCCCTTTGTTTTATCCTTAAAAAAGTCGTTAGGTATAGCATCCTTCGCATTCACAGCGGAATAGAGCCTGAAAATTCTCCCGTGCTTGCTATTCCACATTTCGTGAGTGTCCTGAGCAGGTCGGGCGGATGGTATATGTAGCGCGAAACGAAGCTTCTAGTGTGTTGTTAGCACAGATCAATGTCAAACTATCATTGTTTCGACATACATAAGCCCCATTGTCCTTCCGAAGGAGCTCATCCATCCAGTCATATATCCAGTCGAGATTTGCTTTTCTTTCGTCAGAATCTAAAAAGAAATTTCAAATGTCGGGGGATAGCCTACACTTTTGATCAACCTCCCACACAATGAATATATCGCAATGTGTGCGATTGTTAATATTACTCTCAACTGCGAGTCTAATATAGGATAGCAAAGGAGAAATTCCAATGCCAGTGCCAATAAAAAGAACGCGGCTATAACCTGCGAGTCCCTCTAAACGACCATACGGCCCATCTAACCACGTTAAGAACTCGCTTCTCGGATGACTCATTAGTCTTTCCGCGAAGCCCCGTTCCTTACGCACCAGTAGCGTGATGCTTGTGGCATTACCATTTGTATCATTGTCCCACCAGGATATTGGAAAGGAATATGTCTGGAGAGCAGAGCGCAAGCTGACCCCAGGCATCCAAATGTAAACACTCATTCCAGGTTGAACTTGAAATGGTCGGTTGATTGAGATCACGACTCGAATGGCATTAGCATGTTTCATCCGAATGATGACTGCACGAGATGCGACTTTCCCGTTCTTTATATTCCGAATGAGAAGCAATACCCATCGAAGTATAAAGAGGAGAGAAAGTACGACGCCGGAAATCAGAACTCCTAATTGTGGGAAGTTCCTAGACTGTATCAGATGGCACAGAACAGTTATGCCAACGAGAACGGCAGCAATTTTGTGAACTTTAGAAAGTATCTCTATTGCAAATCTTCGAAGGAGATGTGTGATAACGGCAAGTGCAATGCCAGAAAAAGCCTTTATAGTGAACGTCAGTATGTTAGAAAGAATAATTGAATATTCTTACCAGCAGCCCATAAATTTGCAGATTCCGCTTTAGGTGCCACCCAGCTTGGTGTATTGCAACGGAAATGTGAAGAACGCCTTGCAGAGTGGACATTATGCCTAGAGTACTATGTATAGTTGTGAATGCTTGAATTGAAAGTCCAAGGGTGTCGGCGAGAAAATTCAATCGATCGCTCATAAGAAGGGGGAACAAGTTTATAATGGCCATATACCCTGACCGAATTCTGATGTCAGTCAGGCTATGCGTTTGTATAAACATGCTGACTATATTGCCAGGCCAATAAATCAGCTGCAAGAGTAGCCAGGCTCTCGACTTCCTCCTCACAATGGGCGGATAGATGAGATACTTCAAGATGATCACTGCTACCCATTGTGTCGGAGCGGCTGGCGAAGTTCGCTCAAAGTTGAAGGCGCGACTTGTATTAGTCCATAAGAAGAGCAAGAGCAATAACCCCCCAATTATGATAGCATATAGAGTGGAGGGATCAGTGATCCACATTCTGTAAGTTAAATATCTGAAGGTGTGAGCAATGTCTTGTCTAGTTGCAGAAATTGGTATTGGGGTTCTTATAGATGTGCGAGCGTGTAGATTGGTGGACCATCAACCAAAAATAGCCAAGTATGTACGTCACCCGTGGGCGATACGACGAAGATTAAGTTATTTTTAGAAGACACCCAAAGTATATAATGTACAAATCGCCACTGGAGACTTTTGATTTTATCAAGTCTACTCTACACAATGCCGCAACTTACGGATCGCTCCGGTGAAAGCCGCCGCCGAAAAACATGCTTTAGAAAGATTCGTCAGCTGTGCGCTCTGTGTCGAATGAGAGCAATAGTGGTGTTGGTTGATGAATCCGATAAACATTGGATATTCAAAACGCATGATGATATTCCGGGTTTAGAACAGGTAGGATTTATACTCTTCATCCCTGAGTCCATCAATTGACTTTCATAGCAGGCCATACAGCATCCCCAGACTCACACGTACGATGATTTTGAGCCCTTACCTCCTTCCAGCCGGCGGGTTCCAGCTACGCAGCCATCTCAACGCCAGATTACCATGCTAGCGCCGCCAAGCTTCCGTCGTGATTAAGGTGGGGCTGCCGTGGGCGAGTCGCCCCAAAGACCACCTCCTGGGCCTTGGCGCTATTGTATAAAGGACACTTATTCCTCATTATTTTATTCTGTATAATACCACTTGATCAAATTGAATCACATTCAAGTCTATACCCTTGTACGTAATGGATATCAACAAGCCGGAAGATCGCAAATCATTCAACCAACTGCATCATATCCTTCAGAGTGGCGTGCATACGCTGAACACCGAGCGTCTTCCAATTTATTTGGAAGCGCCAACAAATGTGAAGCCAACAAACGTGAATGCACCTCACTTAGGTGATATTCAGCAAGACCTCTTACGCCTTCGTCAAGAATTAGCTTGGCATCAGGAGGCAAAGGAAGCCCTGTTGGGTCTTTTTGGGGACACAAGGGAGGTATATCGCCTCCTTCAAAAGGCACTCCTTAAAGCCAGCGTCCAGCATAGTGGGGACAACTGTTTTTCAGAGCTGGTGGATGACGCGCAGCATGCTGGTTTTCTTCTTCGACAATGTCTGCAACGAGCATCCTACAGACTTTCGGAGTCAGAGAGTCATCTTCTCGAGGCTCTAGGTATCTCGTTAGATGATACCAATGGGAGAGACATCACAGTGCTATAGATGTGGAAAGATGGTAGTAATTTCATTTTTTTAACTTCATACTATTTAAAAACTCGTGAATCTGCCGCTCCGTTTCTCCAAGGCACCGGCCAATGCCATGGGCCTTTCTGAGGTAAACAGTAAAAGCCTGGCGTAAGCGACGGTTTTGAGATAGCAAAGTTCCCTCCCTATGCTTATAGTTCTCGATCTCGGTTTCCAATTTTTGAATGGTGTGTATGGAGTCTTGTAGTTGTTTTTCAAGGTTATGGGTATCTGCTTCTAGGTCGTGGAGACTTGTCCGCACTTGGGAACGATCATCGTTGCAAACTGCTCGGATATCCCCACATTCTAACCCATTCGATATCTCAATGTACATGTTAGTCGACATTTCGCTAAGCTGCCTATCGAACAAATGGCTGGTCGCATTGCTAAAAAGCCAAACATAGCCATCATTTTCCGATGGATGAAGGCGGACTTCTGACGGTCGCACGCATAACCCGAATCGATCATCTTTGTTCTTGATTAGCGATGTCCTCCCCTTCCGCCTTCGCCTATACTTACTAATGTGGTTTGCGAGCACTTCCCGACACCTCCTCCTTTCCACAGCACGTTTTCTATTAGCTGGGTTTGACATGTCATGTAGTCGAAAGGGCTAAGTTTGGTAGTCTGCAACTATATATCGTGTATCCCGTAGAGAATTCCCCTGTCGATCCTTGCCGGGGATGGCCCGCCACGGAAATAGAAATAGGTGATGAGGCTCATCACAAAGTGGGGCCCATCGTGGGCGGTTCGCCTAGGCAGCGGTGGTCGCACCTATGACTGTCCGGCCGCTTAATAATAAAGCTATTTATATTACCCACCTCAAGATATGCTGTCCTTGATAGGAAAATTCACTCGAAACCATCGAATTCGCAGCCAGTATAGTTGAAATGTTACGAAGGTTAAAAGTAGAAAAGAAACATTCGAACATTTTCTACTTTTTGAAATCCACATTTCGTTTAAAACCCCTTAAAAGTCTCTACAAAATGATGAATCCATTTTCAAGACATGATGCTGTTCTTCATTACTTTAGTCTACTTTCAAGCGTGTGTTCTAGCAGCTGGGAGTGCCGCCAGTCATGACATAAGCAACCCGGTGAGCATCACCATAACGACGACCGGCACCGCGACTCGATATACGACGGTCATAGGCTTGGAAAACACGTCTTCAGCTAGACATTTGCACAGTTCTCTGGCAAATCCAAAGAGCACGAATAGACTTACTCGGACGCGAACAATGAGGCCCCAGGGCGCTTCTCCATCTTCGACTGACCTTTTGAGGCATAGCCCAATAGGAAGCGTCGAGGCCGCCCACCACCCAACAATCCGCGGAAGCCGTTTCCCCACCTCTACGCCTGTTTCTACCCCTGTCACACCCTCCATACCCACTCCTATATCCCCAACCTCTTCATCACCTAGATCGACTTCATCACCTGGATTGACTTCATTACCTGGATCGACTTCATCGAGTACCACCTCAAATGGCACTGAATCGGTCCAAGTCCCGCTGCGAACAACGTTGATAATAGGGCTAGGGTGTATTTTTGCCGTATTTGGGGTTTTCTGAGCGACAGCTAAGGGATATACGAGGATAGAAGCTAGGGCATCGAGTAGTAATCAGATAGGTAATAAAGAATGAGACTAAGGATGAATCAATTGATTCAATTAGTGGCGCTATAGTCGTGGGCGAATCGCCCACGATTCCGCTAGTAGTGCTAAAAATACAACGTACTTGTAACCTCCCCCTTCTGGCTGCTGCTCGGGAATATTTAAGCTCTCACTCCCCTACATAGACATAAAGAGAAAAAAAAAAGATTAAGTATGAGCGATAATCGGGGGACTCTGTTCCCAAGAAGTACGGATATTGCATCCGGAACTATTCCCCAAAACAACAATCATGACGATAACAGGGAGATAGAGAGCCACACTGACATTAATGACAATCGAATTACTGTGTTTCCGAGAAGTACGGAGATAGGCGACAGTGAACCTGATACCAGAAACATCAGTGAGCCCCAAAATAGGGAAGTGCAGCGCCTTCCAAAACGTCATTTGCCAGCGCAATGGCTCCAGCTCCCACTTAAGGGAACCGCCAAGGCTGATGAGCCAGGCCCCAAACGCCAAGCGCCATTATTTTGCAAGGATCACACGCCCTGGATAAAATATCAAAGGTTCAAACAGGGAGCGAAGCCGGGAAAAACCTGCCTAGCCTACGCCACCGACTCCCCGGGAACGGTAGTTGCAATTAAGGAGTATAAGACGAGTGGTATCGACAAGACTTGCCATTTGAAGATGATCAGTCACCCAAATATCGTGAATCTCCTTGATGCATTCGAACAGTCTAGAATTCTGTATCTAGCGTACGAGCTTATGGATATCTCATTGGAGCAACTTCAGTCTGGCATTCAACTAAAGGAGTCTGATCTTGCTTTCATTTGCAAGGAGGTGAGCTACAGAATCATACCAAGGATTTCTCTTACCTACTGATATTTATGTAGCTATTGCATGGGCTTTGGTATATTCACCGAGATCTCGGTGTTTGCCATACAGCCCTTACCTACGACAATGTGTTCATATCATCGCAGGGTAGCGTGAAGATTGGTTAGTAATCTTACCGAACATAATGACCAAGACTAAATCTAAACAGCGAATATAGCAGCTTGTCTGCTCGAACGACATCAAGGGTCCGAACAGTTCGATATCAAGTCTATTGGTATTATGATTTGCAAGGTGCTCGAGCCAGGGCTCTCTGCTCATGACCTTCAGGCTTGTTATGCCAGTATCTCCCACGGTAGCGATAATCTACGTGCGTTTATTTCCACAACTGCGACAGCCACAATACAAGCGCTTTTGCAGGTGGGTGTGGTCAAAATAGGCTCCGCTCATTACGGTTACTAACTCCCTACTAGCATGTCTTCATATCATATGCAGCTGCTGAAGGATGCTTGGTTGTACCTGTTATGAAGGTCCGAGGGTTGGTTCTACATGATTACGAATAGTGAACCAATAACTGGAGGTCAAGCAATTGGTTCGTGCAAGTTAACACTATCAAGAAATCCAAAAATCCTGTTCTGGGCTTGAGACATGAGATCTATACTCAAACCCATTCGATCATGCTTTGGTCCGACTAAAATAAGCTTTTCACGCATCGCCGTATCGTAGAGATATTTGGGAGGGACCAGGTGAGGTTTAGAACGACTTATGGATATGAACATCTGATGCTGGTTTGCCAGGAGCCGCGTCTTGCTGTCAAATAAATGTTCATCTTGGGGCCTACTTGACAGCTGCGTGTACTGCCTGGTTTGCCAGAAATAGAGCAGGATATCATCCGTTTGTGAAAGTAAGCCATTGAGAAAGATTGAAGGCGTCATCAAGGGGTCAAGTGACTTCAACTGCTCATCAACAGCCCAAAAGTTTGATTCGGTTGATATGGAGTGCGTTTCCCAGGAATCGGCTCTTGATTGATGGGCTTGCGGCTGGTTGAGTGGATCATCGCTCTCGAGGCTTTCGCTCAACCTGGAGCCAAAATTTCCAGACGACTCATGCTCTTGATGTTCAGTTTCATCTTGAGGCTCATCTCGAGGCGCATCTTGCAGCTCATCCGTATTTGTATGGTTTCCTTCGTTTTCCCAAGACTGGGTATCGTAGCTCTCGGGCATATCGCCGTGGTAGCTATTTTCAGAGGAATCGGGGCTAGAAAAAAGGCCATCCTCCGTTGCCTCGGAATGTGGATTGATTTCGCCGAAGAACGAGTGAAATACATCACGCTGTATTGCAAAGGACGTTGCATGTGATCTCGGAACCACGTCTTGTTGATAGATATTTCCCAGAAATAAGAGCTGTCGATCACTTAGGTACCTTTTGTAAGACGGTCGGCTACAACGAAATTTCTTGGGTAGCTTTTCCAAGTCTGTGGTGAGTTCTGCTTCTTCTATAGGCATCCGAATAGCCGAAGCGTTGCCGATTCGATCGGACATGTTCTGAGCGATACTCCTGTTAGTCTCGGTATCAATATGGTACCGATCAAAAGGCTGTAACTGGTTAAGAAACTCTTCAGTGACGATTTGATATCGGCTTGCCGCAGCATGTGTGTGTAAGGTCATGATCTCATCATTCTTGAAACCCAGTTTGATAGCTAACTGGGCTAGATTGATAAGTCTTTCTGACGGAACCCCAGATGTCTTGGGCTTTCCCTTCTTGTCATCTTGGTAGGGCCTGAGGCTGGTAAGGGAGGGAAAGTCACGCATCACGGCAAGGAAAAGCTGTCGATAGCATATATCCATACCATCCCCATCTTCGTCACGACGTTCAAATACATCTTCGGCAACTTGAACCTTATATGAACCAGTTTGATCTCGCATATAACTTTCCAAAAACGCTTCGGACATGGTTCCCCTATACCCTTCAGGCTGCAAGCTTTTGAGAGCGATCATACAAGCCTCGAAGTAAATAAAGTCTCTGGTGAAGGTATAGAAGGATAACACCCTCCCACTGACCTTCGTAATTCTTTCTAACACTAGGATGCGATCATCATCAGACTCTAATCGCCTGAAGATCTTCCGTCTCCGCATTCTATCTTGGATTATAGCCCTATCATGTAGAGATAGGTGAGGTATAAGCGTCTCAAGCTCATTCACCGTATCAGGGTCTAGGAGCTCTGGTGGATAGCCCTCCATGATGAATGACCACTGATCATAGACGCGTCCTAAATATCGAACAATCTCCTAGATGCTAAAATTAGTAGTGTCAAAGTTGTATGAATAGACAGACTTGCCTCAGGACACTTAACTGATAGCCATCGGCCAAGATAAGACAGTTTGATGACTTGCCATAAACCCAAGAAGGGCAACAACTTATCAAAAGCCCTTTTGATTCTCTTAAAATCTTTCTCCATTCGTGCAAGCTCATGATGTACTCCTTTACTGAATCTGCCCCTCCATCTAAGCTCTGACTCAACATCTCCAATTGTTTCGTAGTGCCGTACGTTCCGGTAAATGTCACCATCGCAATATGGCTGGCCATTTGGATGCTCATCTCTGATCCCTTGTTGTATTGTTGACCTCATACCTTCGTGATATGAGCGATTGTAGATAATAAAGTGAGATAGAAAGTCTTACCATCACTATAAAATTCAGCCACCCACCATCGTGCAGACCTCCTGATTGCAGCTAGAACTCGGTGGTTCCCGTGCAAAATTTTCAGCCGCACTTCATCTGGGAGGTTTAAAAAGTGCAATGGGCCGGTTAGGAAGGCCTCATTTTCATCCTGGGCAGCCAGAGCTTGCTGAAGAACATCATTGCTTATTAAGACCTTCACATAATTCTCAGGGTTCAGGCGGGAAAGCCCCTCCGACTGAAAGACTCTGTCCAGCCGGTCCACATGCGAATCTCGAATAGTTCGAGGACCCGAATCATTAATTTGGAAATGACGTATGTATATCTTTGCTCTCCCTTTATAGTAGCTCTGACGTTCCTCGAACACATCTTCTTGGGACATGATAAATTTCCGAGACAAGAAGATAAAAGCGATGAGAAAATAGTAAGACTTGAATTTTAAAGAGCTTAAATTTCAAATGAGCTCGAATAAAAGATCCTTTCAAAATTTCGTGTTTGGAATATTTGACCTTCAGGAAAATTGCAGCGCGCAAATTTTTGAGAGGCAGTATTATTCAAGTGATTGTAAAATCTATGGGCCAAAATTTTCGAGCCCTAGGAATATTCTATAATCATGAATATTATACACCGATAATTTTCAACTCTGGCGGTGTTAACCGGACATAGGAAATTGGCATAATGGTTATAAGGTGCAAAAGCGCAATGTGGACAAGGTGCATAAGCGTAAGGATCTACGATATAAATATGTGATATAGCCACTTCCCCGTCATAATATTTAAATTTAAATCTTCAAGTTCAATTATCCCAAATTATCTCGATTGTCTCAAAATGGGTCTTCTTTCCAAAATCGCCCGGAAATTGGGATTCGTGCGCGGGTATCTAGTAGTGGTACGCCATACTCATGGACAAACGCGGATTATCCACTCTATCTGGCCACCTCATGAAATTGTAAGAAAACTAGAATAATCCGGGGATTTCGAACTAACAAGATTTAGAGTGATAAGCTTGAACCGTTGGACGATGTTGATATAGAAGAGAAAGTTGAAAATAAGCTAAGGGTCCACGACTGACACGGTCCCGACCTTTATCCTCTGGTTATACATTATAGACTTTATAGGGTTCACAAATTATAATCATTCCTAAGCTGATAAGAGGATTTCGAGTTAAATCACTAAATGCGTCGAGCTCAAATTTGGTCTTGAATAGAAAATACATGCACATCTATCCTGCAAATGGATAGCATTTGATAAACCCCGAAAAGCTTGCTCTACAAAAAGGGCAGGAATTTTGATCATGTAGATTTGCGCATGGCTCACAAATTATATGCCCGCATAGCAGAATATGCCAACAATCCGGCTGCTCGTAGCAAATTTTGCAATCCAAGATACGTCGTCGGGAAAGTTCCTCTTGATGCCGGTCTTCTTGTAGGAGAAGCTTGCAATGAAGTTCCTGGAGTTGCTTTTGCAGCTTTTCAACTTCTTGATCGCGACTTTCAACTGTTTCGTCAACTGCCTTACGCAGCTTCTTGAAACAGGTATCCTGGTCCATCATTAGCTCAGGAAAACGTAGTGTCTTGGGAAGGCTATACCAAAGTGTCAGATTGTTTTCCTTTCGCCCTTTTGCGTTTGCGGGATGAATCGATGCTGCGAGTGGCAGCATCGTTTGGTTCAATCAGGATCCCAAGAGATGTACATAGAGAGGTCCTTTGGACTTGTGAATCTGTTGGCCGCCAGCCCGGGGGTAGTTCGTCATCATCAATAAGAATCGTGCTTGAAGGGCTGGTCATTGTGCCTTGAAAAGAAGAGACGTGTATATAGGTACTTAGTCAACCAGGTAGGAGGAAAGTAGAAGTCTGACTGAGCCAGAGTTGGGGCACAATACTCATTATATACCCGAGAGCCAAAGTTCCAGTGGGCTACTGCTGGTACACGATTGGACACTACTTTCTGTGATTACTCGTGCATATGTATGTAACCCGATTAGATTGCCCAGAACTGAAATAGCATACGTAAAATATTGATTGCTGCAAAGCACTGTATCATCCTAACCGCAATATGACTGTTACCAATTCTGCAACTCTCCCGATCCCTCCAATTGACTCTTCAGGTGCTTGCGATAACTGGGAATGTCGGTCTTTTCCCGGTCATGGCCTTAAGATAGTCTCCTTCCTGAGATATTGCCATGAAGTATAAGAGGATGTCGACTTCGAACTGGCTGAGGTCCCCCATCAAAGAATAGAAATCCTTACGAGACTCCCATGTCCAGATATCACCCTCCCAACGCACTGCAATAAATGTAGTCGGATATGTCCCGTTAGGAGTCGGGTACAGAGACTTCGTTGGTTCGAACACAGACTTTGAATCCACTTCCCAAGCTATTAAGCCGATCCCGAGAATTGATAAAGAGCGGTCCTTCATCACAGACTCCTGCCCATCATTTGGGTCCTTGTGCTGCTTCACACGGGCAGTCCGCTTACCGCGACATTCATATCCCATCACTGCTACTAGACCTGCCAGCTTAGTCTTTCGCCAACCTAGGATGAACCCCGAGGTCAAGAGAAGCCCATAATGGTTTTGTGCTCGGCGTCTGATCAAACCAATATCGACACTCTCTAGCTCACGCTCTGTGTGGTAGGCAAATTCTGGGGCTTCATCGGTAGAATCATGGTCTGGACCCTCTTGATCGAGCTCATCCTTCTCGGAGTGCTCATACTCGTCATCGCCTTCGCTATAATCTTCGCTATACTCACCTTCTCTTTCATCGTACCCCTCCTCGTTTTCTTCGTCGGTATATCCGTCATACCCCTCGTCCTCTCCATTGTCATAATCATCGTATTCATCCACTTGGTCACTATATTGATTCTCATCTTCGTAGTGCCCATTCTGGACAGCCACCTCTTCCTCCTCTTCCTCCTCCTCTTCCTCCTCATAATCAACACTGGAATATTCGTGGTAATCCACCTGCACATCTCCATCATTGTATCCATCTTCCTCTTCCGCATAAAGGTTCCTTTGAGCGTTAGGGATTTTTTCAAGCTGATTGCCTTCTGTGTTCGAACGACCTGTATATGGGTTAGAACTTGTAGGATCAGATTGGCCGTGAAGAAAGTCATACCAACGCGTTCACGATGAAAATCCAAAAACACATCCCATTCAATGTTCCACGTCTTGGGTAATCTGCCTATTCTGATGCATTCCTCGAGGTCGCGTTTGGCTTGCGAAAATAATGTGGTGTCTTTGCTTCCCGCAAAGGTTATTGAAGCTTGACTCAGCTGCTCGGCAGCTGTCTTGAAGGCGGCAGTATCGATGCATCCATTTGCCTTACGGATCTTATATCTGATATTCTTTGCCTGAATTTGATCATTTACAGAATCAATCTGAACAGAGGCCTGTTGCCTTTCACTGGACCGACCCCAAAGGATGGATGCAATAAGTGGCTCTGCAATATCATACTCCTCAGTATATTGGGGTGCTCGCAATGTAGGCTTGATGACAGGCCTAGGAGTAGGTCCAGGTTTGAGCGCAGGTCTCAAAGAAGGCATCATGATCCACAAAATGCAAGTATTTCAAAAAATGTTTCAAATGAAGTCCTTTCCAAGGTTTATAGTTTGTCAAGCTTAGGCATTTGATAGTCTTATATGTAGCACATATAGACTCCAGAATTTTAAAAACTCTATATTACCTTTGTACATTTTCACTTCTGTACATTTTTACTTATGTACATTTTTACCTACGTCACGTGGCAGTAGACCCATATTGAGGTTTGCAGGTTTGCATACTCTGTCGGAGTACTCCGTATGGTGTAATGTATGGGTCCAATCAATGGTATTCAACTCTCTGTATTTCAGTATCCACTATTCTGGCAATTTATACTATCTCCATTATATAAGAAATATTACTGCATATTTAGGATTAATAAATCCTCCGGTATGCCGGTGTAACTATTCCGACATACTCTTGGTGCCTCAGGCAAGTAGTGCTTGGCACTGGGCTAAGCCGGCAATTTTGGTGCTCAGTACTGCCGAGGCTCAGTGAGCGCACAACAAGTGGAAGAGTAACATTGGACTACGAGAGGGCTTGGCAGATTATGAGCATCTAGCACTATCCAATAGAAACCATGCGATCCTAACTTAATGTCATTTTTTGCCACCTATCTCTACATTAACACAGACTGTATATTTATTTTCTCCATTCGTGGAAATTCTATCAATTTCTCGCTTTATTTAAAGAAGAACATCATTGATCCACTATAATGGTGGGTATGATATTGACATGTACATGGACCCAGAGGATTAGGTCTACCTATTCTATCTGACTTCGACTGCCTCCGGTTTGAAATTTTGATTTCTTAATAACCCAAGCAATATAGCACTTGAGACTCTAACGTACTGTATATGTAATTAAAATTATACAAGAGATTTTAATTGAACTCGCATGAACTTATGACAATTTGTAGTATCAATAAATATAATAACGAATGTTTGTACAGACTTAAGGCGGTGCTTGGATACTAGTAAGTCGAGTGCTACGTCGTATCGGTATAGTGCTTGGTATATTGGTGCGGTCTCCGCGGCGGGGCCGACCTCGACCGCGTCGCACTTGGGTCGGACTATGGTTGCCCTCAGGTATGGCTATGTTTGAATCCGTACTGCGATGGTCGATTTGGTTCCGTTGGTTTGGGCGGATCCCCTGGCTTGATTGCGGTGTCCGTTGCCGCTGATTGTCATGATTTGGTTGGTTGGGGCGGTTAGAGCGACTGGATTGCGGTGTCCGCCGCTGCTGACTACCCTGGCGGTCGGGTTGGTTGGACTGTGGTGTCTGTTGTTGCTGGCCGCCCTGGTGAGAGCGGTTGGAGCGACTGGATTGCGGTGTCTGCCGCTGTTGACTACCCTGATCTAGTTGGTTGGACTGTGGTGTCTGTTGTTGCTGGCCGCCCTGGTGAGAGCGGTTGGAGCGACTGGATTGCGGTGTCTGCCGCTGTTGACTACCCTGGCGGTCGGGTTGGTTGGACTGTGGTGTCTGTTGTTGCTGGCCGCCCTGGTGAGAGCGGTTGGAGCGACTGGATTGCGGTGTCTGCCGCTGTTGACTACCCTGATCTAGTTGGTTGGACTGTGGTGTCTGTTGTTGCTGGCCGCCCTGGTGAGAGCGGTTGGAGCGACTGGATTGCGGTGTCTGCCGCTGTTGACTACCCTGATCTAGTTGGTTGGACTGTGGTGTCTGTTGTTGCTGGCCGCCCTGGTGAGAGCGGTTGGAGCGACTGGACTGCGGTGTCTGCCGCTGTTGACTACCCTGATCTAGTTGGTTGGACTGTGGTGTCTGTTGTTGCTGGCCGCCCTGGTGAGAGCGGTTGGAGCGACTGGATTGCGGTGTCTGCCGCTGTTGACTACCCTGATCTAGTTGGTTGGACTGTGGTGTCTGTTGTTGCTGGCCGCCCTGGTGAGAGCGGTTGGAGCGACTGGACTGCGGTGTCTGCCGCTGCTGACTACCCTGGCGGTCGGGTTGGTTGGACTGTGGTGTCTGTTGTTGCTGGCCGCCCTGGTTGGGTTGGTTACCCTGGTGAGAGCGGTTGGAGCGGTTGGACTGCGGTGTCTGCCGCTGCTGACTACCCTGGCGGTCGGGTTGGTTGGACTGTGGTGTCTGTTGTTGCTGGCCGCCCTGGTTGGGTTGGTTACCCTGGTGAGAGCGGTTGGAGCGGTTGGACTGCGGTGTCTGCCGCTGCTGACTACCCTGGCGGGACTGTGGTGTCCGTTGTTGATTGCCCCGGTTGAGGTGCGGTATACGCCGGTTGTTTGGCGTTTCCGGCATTCGCCGGGCCTGGTCTCTATTTCCCTGGGGTATACCAGAGCTAGGCGACCTGGTTGCTCTTGGAGTAAATATACCATATCTCTGCTGTGTTCCACTATGCCATCGAACTCGGCTAGGGCTGCCGTTAGGGGTAAAGAAGGACCCGCCCTCAGAAACACTAACTTCCTCATCAATAGGGCTTAAATCACGCTCACGCTGCTGCATATCCCCATATTGTTGCTCTCTATCGTCCTGAACTTCCTCTCCTCCCTCAACGTTGTCTATCTCCTCCCCCTCATTAGAGCCCTCGTTCAAGCCCTCATAATATCCTTCTTGATATTCTTCACTGACTTCTTGAAAGGTACCGCTATCGCTCATACCTATACCGTTATCGAATTCTTGATAGTTATCCCCTCTTGGGATAACTGGTTCATATTCGATTCTCGTTATGCGCTTATTTTCCTCAGCACGTGGCTGAAACCAGTGTGCACCTCGGTATGAATTCACATTTCTCCAGTGGTCGTTTGTCATATGGGTATTCGCCGGAGGGTAGTGTGGCCTCACTCCTGTAAGCGCCTCGCGGTAATTGGCCTCTTGCTCCTTTGCCACATTATAGATTAACATGTCTGTCTTCAGTTCATTGCCAGCACAAACGAATCGAAGATCGTGTCGCGATTCCCAGCTCGCGTCTCCACCCAACCAATGAATATAGACATATGTCTCTGGATACCAGGCTCTGCTCATCGGTTTTAATAAGGATATTGGGTCCTGGTCGACTGACTTCTTATCCACTCGCCATGCGACGATTCCCCAACCTCTAATATCTCGTTCAGTCCGTATATAGTCCTTTCGTCGAGCAAGACTTTTTTCTGAAATATTCGGTGCTCGAGAGGGAATGGGACGCCGGGCGGCTGGGATTAATCGAGCAGTTGCGAACCTGCCACACGCATATCCGACTATCACTGATTTCCCGGTGCCATTTCCGCGCCAAGCAAGGACACTTCCTTCCATCGGTAAGCCAGATGTTTCGGCGGTATGATCAAGCAGCTCCGGTGTTGACCACATTGGTTGAAGGAATAATTCCGCCTCGTCATCCTCATTGGAGAAATCCCCTTCATAAACTGGGATATTTTCGCCTTCCCCTTCCGCATCGCTCTCAACACGCTCAATACCAGGAGGGGTATCGTCGCTGGTGTGGAAGTTATTGGAGTTGTTGTGGCGGCGGTTATTGGCGTTGTTACGGCTATCATTTTCTCCTCCTGGTTCAGCATCGATCTCAACTTGCTCAATACCAGCAGGAGTATGGTCACTAGTGCGGCTATAACTGGAGTTGTTGCGGCGGCGTCGGTGGCGGTTGTTACGGTTATTATTTCCGCCTCCTGCTGTGGCCTGGATATTCTGACCCTCTATACTCCCAAGGTTGGGAACTGACTCGTCACTGCTGGCATTGCGATTTGACATTATTAACGATGGAAGTAGGTGAATAGCTATTATCTGTCTCCGTCGAGGGAGCAAGTTTATAACTCTCAACTTTGAAATGTACATTGGGGGCAAATTACATTTTCGAATATACTGAAGTACCTATGTACAAATGTGCAAAGGATCCAGGGGGTAAAAGGGAAAAAGTGTCATTTGTACCCAATGATATTTCTGTGTTATTCATATCCATAATACATCAATTAATCTGTGTCAAACAGGTTCTCGATGGACTTGGCCCCTGCATATTTGGCACCCCCTGTGGGACTTCGCCATAAAGTAACCACTGATGAAGGCTTCTCTCGACGCAATCCTCAAGATGGGCCTTATGGTGTGTTCATCTCGCACCTCAACGAGGGAGTTTACTCAGCCATCGATACTGGCCCTTACGAGGACCTATGGAACCAGTCGACTAGATTCGTCATGTCCCTTCTGTGGGATTCCAATGATCAGCGTGAAATGGCAAAGGAACAGTTGATATCGATGAATATTGCAATTGACCGACAGAATGAGACAAAATTGAATCATCCTCCTGGCACTGGCTGTATTGAAGTGCATAATCTTTATCGCGCAGGTATTCAACTAGACCTAGCGGTTAGAGATGTTAAGTTCTATCGCTCAACTGCGCGCTACGAGGATGTGCGCGACTTTGTCTGGGAGAGAATCCAGAATAGAAACTATCCAGAAAGCTGGGCTATCACAAGGCGCCAGTTTCAATGCCATGTCACCAAATTCCAAATCAAATCCTCGATGTCTAATGCTTTGGATAGTGATGATGGTGCCTATCAACAATATAATGTACAAGCCACATCAGAATCAACACTCAACGCCAAGACGAATTTAAAGGTGTCATTGGCCGATGTTATTCACACACATGCAAAGATGGCTGCATCGCAAACTTCCATGAAGCCCTTTATGCCCCAGAGTATGGAACACCCTCAATCATCGACCCTGAGGAATAGCGACATTATTAGATAAACTTCATTCAATTTACGTCGCATTATAAGATAAATATCCCCTAGAACCATCGAACGAAAAACAAGAATAACCACATAAATTCGAGCATGTAGGCAGAATAGAATATTCCTAGCAGAAAATATCATGCGCTCTCGGTGATGATATCCTCGGACGTGAGCCGCTCTTTTGTGGGGAGATCTGTGATTCCTAGTCCGGTATAGTTGACTCGCTTCTCAAGGTGCTCGTAGGTTTCGAAAAGTTTCAAATAGTCCCGGTGTAGTTGGTCATAATGCGCAGATAGGGCATTCTTTTCAACGACGATATGCTGCATTCTCCACCCTGAAGTATGCAGCGAGCTTTCGAGAGATAAAATATACTTTCGAAGGTTGGTGATTGAGTGAGCATCTTCTTGCTCGCGCTGGAAGAACCAGCGGACGACGCTCAAAGGGACGACAACATTTTCAGAGTTTACCTTGACTGGTTAGTAGGGGGTTATCAATTAACCACAATTGGATATGCATACAGCTTGATTTTGCATCGTAATGGATTTATTCGGATCGGAGAGATTGATTTGTGGAATGCGAATTATATGGAATACCCGGTGGGAGGGGGGGTTAAATATGGTATTATCGAATCTCAGAAAAAAAACCATTGGTTAAATTCTAAGCGCGCACATTATTCTGTGTGTGATACCAAATTCTATTCCGTGTAGATCATTTCCTAATTCCCTTTCATACCCCGATCGTAGTCTGATATACTACTCCTGCTCTAAGAACATATGAGAAAGGTCGACTAAGCTATGCCATAATTAGAAACAACAATCTAAGCTGGAGTGGCATAGTCTTACTGGTGGGTCTTGCGTAGCTGTCGCCATTTATTCTCTAGGGCTGATGCAGTTCTGTGTCGGTCGTCTGGGACACTTTCGTTGAATCTGAGCGCAATTTCTGGCCACGAGAGTCCCTCTAGCTGCTTGAGCACAATCAGAAGATTCTCCTCCTCTTCATAGTATTGTTTATTATGACCTGGGGCGTTCGGTTCGGCGGCCATCGGGGCGGCTTTATGGTAATATGGACGTGATCGGCTTGGAGGAAATGGACAATCTCAGGTGGGAGGCGTCTCGCTGGCGTGATATTCCTTTTAAAACAAAAATTTCTAAATTTACGATCATACGTGGGCGCTGCGCCGCATGCTGAGCGCCAATTATGTCCCGGTTATCAGGTAGGATGCGCAGGAAGAAGAATATAAATTCAGCTGACTGCGCCATTCTGATCCTACACAATTATCAGCATGGAAAGCGCAGATTTTGATGCATTTCTTAAATGGGGCGAAGATAGCGAGGATTTCCCCGATCTCCAGTATGCCCTTGGCAGCGATGAATCATTTTCATGGGACCAAATTTTGGAGGAGTACCTGGATCCATTCGAGTATCTGGACCCATTTCCACTTGGCCCACTTGCTCCAATCGAAGAGAAAGTAGAAGCAATTGATGCACTCCCCGAGCTATCGCCCAGTCCAGCACCGCAATACGACGTTCAGATGTTAAGTGAATCAATCACTGAGCTTAAAGGCCGTGTCAATGGGTTGGAAGACCGGTATGGTACCCCCTCTTATCTCAAAATTGAAAATATTCAGATCCTGACGATATTAGTATTACGGAGAAACAAAAGTTAGTCTGCTAAATAGATAAATTCCCCATCCCATGCTAATTGCGGGCAGAAGGATCGCCGACTTAGAGGCTTATCTCGAGAACCTTCAGCCATTTCTGTTACAACTTGGCACATCTATCGAGGGACTCCTGACTGGGCCCCAAAGTAAGCCGTTCAATCCGGCAGTATCCGGATAGCGGGGATAGAAAGAGTTTTGAGGCGATAATGTTTTTGATTTGCTGGAGATTTCTTTGTTGTAATAGTTTCATTAGCTTTGTGGTCAAATTAAGTTGTCTTGAGAGCCTATAGGCTGCGTCGAATACACTAGTTGGAAATTAATTCCAGATCTTACAATTTGATCGGCCCTCCGGGCTATATACCACACTAATGCACCATAGGCACCTGGGTGTCGGTCACGCCGTGCTGTGGCGCAGAGAGAGTTGTAAGGTTTCCATGAATAGCCTAGCCTATATTTAGCGTCTTGGCGGACGATCCGGCCCACGAGCTAAATTGGACGAGACAGGGTTTATAAGGCGTAGGCGCATTGGTTCCGCAGTGATTCGTGCCGCAGTCCGCCTTGTTAAGTATCCCATGTGGGGAACCTCCTACGCAATAGAAATTGTCTCGCTTCTTCTACCTTATGTGACGTGACATGACTCCTTCCCTGCCCTTGTAGGGCGTTCCGTTCCCTTGTTTTCCTCCCCGTTGCTCCCTAGCGAGAGTTCTTTTTATAAGCCTCTCCTCAGTCCTATCGGCCTTACTGACTACAGCTGACCAAGCTAGAACGTAGTGGTGTGGTGATGACCATATCGGAACAATCGAAGTGGGGCCGAAGATGTATGCCAGTCAGGCGGTGATGTTACCCCTCGGTTGGGCTCCTAGGCGATCTCTTTATACCATCTTTTGGGGCATTCTAGTGGTCGTTACAACTCATGAGCATCACACCATGTGGGCCCCTCGTGGGCGTTACTCCTCGTGGGCGTTACTCCTCGTGGGCGTTACTCCTCGTGGGCGTTACTCCTCGTGGGCGCCCTTGTGGGCCCCTCATACGTCATTCGTTCTCTTGATAGGCCCCCTCTCAGTTACATTGATTTTACCGTCTAAAATCTGTAGAAAATCATTAGGGTGGCTAATTTGTGATGGTTCATTGAAATAAAAGGTCTTTTACTGCCAATATGGGATGGAGTTTACTAGAGATTCTGCTAATCAATGGAGGTGAGTTCTAAGACGTTGGTTGCTAAAATCCCATGCCTGTTGTCTGATAGTCAAAGAAAACAGCAAATACAGATCCCACAATCCCCTCAAAAGTGGATTTCATCAAGGCTCTACATAACGAACGACGAGAATATATTGAAATTGCCAACGATTTCCTCCGGTCGACCGAAAAGATGTTTACGCTGGTCAAACAGCTCGAGAACAACATTTCAAATATGGAAACCTTGAACCGGCAGCAATCCATTGTCCTGGATAATCTTCATAAGGGTGAAAAGACTTGATACACATGTTCCTGTATGTTATTTTTAGCTCACCCACTTTGCACATTGAAACAATCTTACATTTGAGTATATAACCTTTGCTACAATGAAAGATTTCCAATGTTCTATAAATCAATGTAAACCCACACAAAGTAAGAGATATCAAACAATGGCTTCTTGTAAACACACCGGATGGCTTCGTGTCATAGAGAACCGCGATTCGAAAGAACTCGTTATAGAAAGAACTGATCGACTGCACTCTCTGGTTCGCGAAATGCCTGAGCCAGACTTTCAACGCCCTCAGCTTTGTCTCTTTTTGGGTACCTCAACGAAAGATGAGGCAATGCGGAATATCTTCAATCGAAATAACATACGCCGAGGAGATCGAGCAAATGTCAACCTGCGGGTTGATACGACTTCTTTAACGAGCGATAACCCTGTGCTTTTTGCCGACAGCAACCCATTGCAAATTCCTCTTTCCGAAAAGAGTCACGTATGGTGCCATGAAACTACATCTTATGCTGCAGCATGGCACACAACTGCATCACGTGCCGTCATCGATGTTCTATATTCTAGACTAGTCTTCACTTTCAGTGATGTCATATGCATATTTGCGGATGACTTTCAGACCTTAGAAGCAATTATGTTGCGCTTGATAGCATGGGTAGAGGTTCAAAATGCTTCTTCGTTACCTTCCGATACGCTTCCTAGATTACTAATCATTTTTTCGGAGGACGGCAAGTTTAGCGAGGCTCACATAGAGGACTACTTGACCTCATCTAACCTTGGGCGCCAACTTTCATCAAGCTTTTCCGCGCTCAAAATCTTCCAACTAGCAGGCAAATACCTTTCCCCATCCACACGTTATCAAAGACTCTATGCGGAGATTCGATATCACATGGAAGAATCGAGAGAGATAAAGTCAAGCCTCAGATGCCTTTTCTCCGCCTCTCACCTTCTACATTTCTTTAACTCTGCAGTGAAGCATATGGCACATAATCCAGCAGAGGCATTCGATTTTATTAAGGTCTCGAGAGACGCAGATCCCGTCAAAGCAGACCACTATGTATATTTGCAGAAGTTTCTTAAGCTCTGCGTTCAGGTCAAAATTTCATACAACATGGCTGCAGCATTCGTTGCCTCAAGCATTATGATGAATGCGTACCCGAAAAAGATGCATCGTGAGTGTTGGATTCCACATACATATCATCTCTTGACTTTCTATAGTCTTCGACCCATGTATGATATACTGTAACTTATACAGGTCTCATTGCAAGAAGGCATTTCGAGTTTCATATGGACCACAGTGCTCTAGCTATTTGGATCGAGAGGTTCAAACTCAATGTGACAGTATATTCGAGGCTCTAGAGGATGGATATACGGATGCTGCACAGCTTCACCGAGGAAACGCCCAAAGATATAGCAGTTTCCTACGCCAGGTTGTGACGAGCACAGTCTGTATCTGGTGCCTTTGTCGACCTCCTGAGAGACATCTGAGCTGTGGTCACTCGGTATGTGATACGTGCGCCGCTCTATTTGGCATTCATCTTCCAAAATCGGATAGTCAAGTTAAGATAGATTGTCTTTTTGATGATGGCGGCGAACTACTAGTTAATACCAAACCACCAACAGCTGGAGTGAGGATTATAGGCATTGATGGTGGTGGTGCGCGAGGTGTGACGCCCCTCGAGTTTCTAGGTGAATTACAGAAGTTACTTGGAGATTGTCCAATCCACGACATGATTGATCTTGCAGTTGGTACAAGCTCAGGTGAGTCTTCAATAGTATAGTATCGGATGCACAATATATGACTAACAGACCAGGGGGGCTGACTGTACTGGCAAAATTCCACCAAAAGTGGCCTGTCTCATATTGTGCTAATGTATTCGAGACTCTTGCCCGCCGATGTTTTTCAACATCTGGATCCGCATTAGGTCGATTGAAAGCAGTGATTAAGTACATAACTAGCGATGCAATGTACGACGAGCGATTTCTGGAAGGTGCTCTTCAAGAGAACTTGCCAGGACAATTATTCGGTTACGTCCCTGGCATAGTATCTGGGACAAAGGTAGCACTTACTGCGACGTCTGGAGGGAATGTACGTTCAATATTCACAAACTACAACGGTTCAGCACAACCGACGGGTATGTACGATTTCGACAATGCTTCTCTATCTTCCTAATGGCTTTCAGGGTATACAGTGGTTCGACCTGAAAACAATGATGACGAAGCTTTGCTATGGCAAGCGTAAGTGGAAGTCCAATCATTGTTCTTACACGATTATACTAAACTTAGGTAGAGCTCGTGCAACAACAGCAGCCCCTATGTACGTCCATACGTCCATATATAGATATTGCTTCTCCTTGCTAATGGTCAGTCTAGTTTCTTTAAACCAATTACAGTTGCCAGTCAAGAGTTTTGGGATGGTGGGCTTGGCTTCCCCAACCCGATTGAACTCGCAATGTGGGAGTCTTCCCGTATTTGGGGCAAAAATATATCCCACGATGTCACCATCTCTCTAGGGACGGGAGAGGCCTCTAAAGGCCTACCTAAGAGAAAGACCCACTCCCTACAGAGGTTATGGACTTCTTTTATGGACTTCCTTGATGGACATACTAAATATGGTGATATCAGAAATGGGTTGGATGAGCAACGCAGGCAAGACTTCTTTCGTTTGAATACTGAACTACCATACCCAATTCGGCTGGACGATGTTCAAAGTATACCGCTACAGAAAGAGCAGATACATTTACGCCCACAAGGTCAGCTTATTGAAGTTGCAACAGCGCTATTAGTTTCCAACTTCTACTTCCAACTCGATACTTCGCCTACCTATGATGGAGGCTTTTACCTATGTGAAGGCTCAATCCGGTGTCGCGGTGTCTATAAAGACATATTCAACGCTCTCATTACTCTATATCAGCCAAAGTTGGAGTTTGTTACTGCGAACGAGACCCTCGCCTCACTGGATCTACAAGGTTGTCAAATATGCTCCCTTTACAACAAACATGTGTCATTTTATGTCAGACACCCTACAGAAATTGTCACGATATCGCTACGCTTGGCGAAGGGCATCGAGAGGAAGATAAGTGGCTTTCCTAAAAGTATGAAATGGTTTGAAAGACAACAGAGCCTCGACTGTCCCTTTACTGGCTATCGAAACGGCCAGAAGTTCCAAGACTGCTCAACGTGCTCCAGATTGCACAAAAGGAAACATCGGGATAGTATAGTCTCAACTCATACAAAGCGTGCAAGGAGATAATTTTGCAAATCAAATCCGCAATCATACAGACGCCCTCGAAATCTGTTTTACTATTTTACTCTCTTCGTTTCTTTCTCAAACTTTATGCTGAAACGCACTAGTCTGTGTTTGGCTTAGGCCATTTCAAATTATCGAAACGTATTGTAACTTAAAAGCACATGATAAGGTACTGTAATATAAATCATACAGTACGATTAATACTAGATTTGAGCGAGGAAACTCTACGATTTTCAATCTTAGTGTCACAATTATCATGGGGTTTCAAAATGACCGTCTTTAAACGGTGCTTGGATGAGCCAAGAGCTCTGGCTATTCCCTTCAATTCAGATTGGTGGGTTGAGTATGCACATAAAAGACCATAGTTAACGAGTAATAAATGTCCCCTCGACCCAGTTTACTTGCAAAGGATTCCTGTCCCAGCGGTACAGGTATTGTAGGTGTGTCCACAAGTCATTTGATGTTCCCGCAGGAATATATTGACGGCTCTCGATGTCGTACACGATGGTGCGACTATATTTATATTAATGGCGATAATATATTAATTTCAAGGGGAGTTATACTCACACCCAAAAACGACAGCCAGATCCTCCACCAGAGAACTGATATCGATGGCGGAAATTTCGGTAAATTATATCAGCGACATGTCGAACCTCAATAGCCATAGTGACCTGATAGTCCCAGTGCTGTATCGCCGAATTTGTGAGGAGATATGTGAGATTTGACCATTCAAGACGCCCATCTATTTCTCCATAGTCTGTCACCATATTCACACGCACTGATCCACCGGTCCGAAGAAGGAGATATATCGACCAATGGTTGTCCGACCCATCTGTCGCAGCACCAGTGTGAACCACAACTCTTATGTGACTGATAGGCCGGGAATCTGCTAGAACTTGATCTGGATTCAGGTTTACCATATTTTCTTGAATCCAAGTCAGTCAGGTATGAAGGACGGAAGGCAGTAAAGCTATATCGCTCAGCTAGCTATCATTTTGGAGGGTTAGGAGACATCGGACTATTTATTATCCGAGGCCGTAGATCATGTGCGTTAGAGCGATCGAGGCCATCGTTTTCTATCCCTTTCTTACTCTGTCTACCCGGCCTTACAATATCTGACGCCACCATGTCTGTTCAATTAAACAATCACCAGTCGATCATTGACTATTGCCGTTCTTGCCCAGAGGATCAGCTTACTGGAGGCTTGAGATCTGGTAACCAGGTCGTTAAGCTACCAGATTGTGACTTGGTAGTCAAGTTCGGCCAGTTTGTCTCCTCCCACGAGGCAAAGAATCAGCAAAAAGCATACGACATAATTGATCCTGGTATAGTTAAAGTCCCTTCGGTCCATGCCTTTTTTGAGGACGATGAGGGTTGGGGCTACATAATATCGGATTTTATTCAGGGCAAGATTATCGATCCTCTTTCAGACTCTCACATTCAAAGACTCGCTCAAATTCTTGAGTATTTTCACTCTATTACCGCCGATAGAGCTGGTAGCCTAGGTGGTGGCCCTTCAATCGGCTTACTCTGGCCAGATACAAATGATCTGACCATTAGCAATGTTCAGCAAGTGGAAGAATGGTTCAACAGCCGGCTTTTTCCCAGAGATGGAAAGGTTCATTTTAATCATAACCCACCGGTGCTCTGTCATTTAGACATAGCCCCCCGAAACATTATCTGGTTAGATGATGGTCGTGTCTGTCTACTGGACTGGGCATCAGCAGGATTTTATCCGAAACTGTTGGAATTTGCCAGTCTATTCTTTCAGAAATCCCATTTTAAACAGATGCTTCTGAAAGCAGTCGGTTTCGACTATGATCGTGATAAACTAGAACAGCAGAGGATCTGCCAGGCATTGTATAACAATGAAAGGTACTCCTTGTAAGTCAGAACCGACCAGATTTGTTCATCGTTGTCGAAATTTCTAACACGAAAAATAGTCGTTCGCGGGATATTCGAGAAGGATCTTCAGACAATGAAACAGCTGGTTGCATCTTTCCTCTTCCATTCGTTCCGGAGCCGCAAAAACTTCCGACCTAACGAGGGGGAAATGGTACAAGTGAATTATTCGAATGAGGTAGGGGTGATTGACTTCCTGTGGATATGTATGTTACTAGTGATTACCGCACCAATTGTGGAATGCCTGCTGATTTGGAGTGGTAAAACCCATTTACAAGTCTGTGCAACAGGCAATCAATAGTCCTGGGAAATCGAAAGCGAAAATTACGTGATGATACCATTTGGGATCGTGGTATTCTGGCAAAGGGAGGGATCATGGCTTTATATCAAGGAATGGCGCGATGACAACTTTGCATTGGCAAGAGCTCTACCTTATCATGGACATACATTTGAATTTATTGTAAGCCTAGCCCATGTCCATTAAGTACTGGCAATACTACCCGTCATAGTCCTGCTTTATAAAGTTCACACTTTGGTAGGAATTATTGCTCGATCATCCAAGAAAACTATTTTCAATATTATTATTTGGCACATTTAGAACGTACGGTGGTAGATATTTCGGGGCTTCCGCTTATATCAAAGGGCCATATAATCCTATAACGGTATAGCTCGGAAGCTAAACTCCATATAGACATCACGGCGTCTACAAAGTCCCAATCGGCCAGTCGAAAGTACCCGTTGTATCGGTTGATTGAACTCATATCTTCCCTAAGGCTTAACCTTAATCTTACCTGCATTCATTTAATAGGGCTTCTACGAGAGAATTTATACTACTGATACAGATACCATAAAATTAAGTACTATAGCATTGAAGCAATCGATGAAGTGATACAAGCAAAATCTCATTCCGGAAGCGGAGGACCTTAACGAAGACTTCGTCGCATTCATTACTTTGGCAGTGGAGGGATTCCCGGCCTTTTGATCCCCGTTGTATCGTACGCGCCACGTCTATAGCGTTAACTTAGCTTGGTTAAAAGTTCTAGTGACAGGAACTTACCTCATATTGGACATATCCCCGTTAGGAAGACCTGGAGTCTGTGTTTTAAGTGACTGCCGACTGGATAATGTAGAGTGATTTCACGTGTGATATAGGATGGCCTAGCTCTTCTTTGCGATTGGGAATTCCAAGCGAGGTATAAGGATTGATGATTCTATATATGAAGTTAAGTTAGTTTAGATCTAAGAATCGAGGACGGGGATTTGTATACTAAGTGCGACTGTAGAGTAATGGGACGTAATCAAGTGCATAAAATGAGGACGGGAGCTAGTTCTACTGTAAGGGCGAGTAAAAGTTCTTTAATATAGTGATCAGGCTTAATAGACTACATAGTTAGACTGTTATATACAACGAGATTACTAATACTATGTACTTCCTTCCGAATCAGAAAGATGTTCCATTCTACATTTGCCCATAATTCATATCTGGGTCTGCTCGTGCTTGACAGCTGACGCTTATTGGGGGGTAAAAGGATTGGCTGGGCAATCATGACAATCCGGGAAGTTTGGGTGAGAGATTGGAATAGTGTATTAGCACGCTGGGGTTTATGCTGAAGAAATGGATTGCTACGCCTTTTGAGACAATGTGATATTGAACTGTCGGATTAACTTTGTATGTGTATTGATACAGGAACTACTATGGCGTGAAGGCAGGATGTGGTGATTAGAATTGGCGGACGCTAGGAAAGGATTTATAGCCAAACGGTGTTTCTGTGCATTTGAAGATAATCCATTCTTCTTTTAATAGCCGGTTCATTATCTCGATCACTCTGTTTGAGGCTAAAATAATATTAGTATGCGGAAATTCAACAGTCACAGCGCGTTCTGTACTGCACTTTTATATAAATCAATGATAGAAAAAAGTAAACCAAAATATCAAAAGTACAACTCAATTGCTGTCTGGGCGGGTGATCCACTGCGAACTCAACACAGAACAAAGAAATGGAATGGCAACGGATATTAAATGGAGTAGTATAATGGCAGCCTATCTGGGTACCCACTTGATACTGGGGGGTAGTCGCTGAAACGGCTGGGAGAAAAGGCGTTGGATCCAAATATGGAACCTCAATTAAGTGTGAAATACAGTAATATTCGAAATCAGCTTTACCTCTACACTCTCTTGCACTATTTCCCAGAGACCTACATTAGCAGCGCTAGTACACGTTAGGAGACGGGTCCGCCCATATTGCATCAATGCTTGTACCTTTGATTAGTCAGGTTAAATTCTAGTAATAGTGATGAAAGATAATCTAAATTTTTCGGCCCATGCAAGGATTAGAGCAAACAGAGCAATAAGCTTACATAACCCAGATAACAGGATCCTGATCGAATTCCCCGCACGACTTGGTCCTCTTAAACAACTACTTGCCCATCCAAGCTTTTCTCCCACGCTAGTCACGAGCCAAAACATCTCTTGTTGCCTTTCGGAAAATCGCCTACTCTTGTGACTATCAGTTTAGCAGGCAATATCAGCGTACATCTACCACTATATTCCTGGTACGAGGCGATTGTCGAATGATATTGCATTCACTCAAATTAACGTTCCTATAGCTATTGACTTGGTTATGAATATGTGGGCCTACATCCAAAGCTTTTTCAGAAGCCAAGAAGAGCAGGTACCCACACCAACACCAGTCACGATTATGGCTGCCCGCTTTCCTGCCGACGGACAATCTCCCCATTTAGTGCCCCTACGGACGACGTCACAGAGCAACCATAGATTCTCTTTTGACGGACATGTACCAGACATGCGAGAATATTGGTCTACCCCAGATCCATGGCGTTACGCGGACAAAGTGAGATTTGAAGTCACCGAACAGTTGGACCCGATTTGTAATGGGATTTATATCATCTTTTTCACTTTTGCCATTGATGATCTTCCAGAAAATGCCAACTTCCCCCAAGAAATTCTGAATGACCGATTTCTTTACGGGGACGTTTTTGTTGTCAAGCTACAGGCACAGGAATATGGTGAATATGGCTGGGCGCTTTATGATGATATGCCCACAGAGTTTCTTAACTTGCCTCTAATGAGAGGTAAGAGAACACTTCGTTCGGATATACAGGATCTTTATCGTTAATCGGGCTACGGTGTCATGTGAGAAATTTCTCATTACATAAGAGTTCTGTCAGAAGTAAATAGGACACCACATAAGATTGGTTTGTCAGTGATCATAAACTTCAAAGATATAGCTTATTTGATCTAGAGTAAAAACCAATCGAGGTGGCGTAGGTAATTAATTGATGCGCTAATTACTGTAATTTACTATGATTCGTAAAGTTACATTGTTGGATGCAATGTAGGCGGGTCGGTCTCTTAGCTTGGACTAGCGCTGCTAATGTGGGTCTCTGGGAAATAGTGCAAGAGAGTGTAGAGGTAAAGCTGATTTCGAATATTACTATATCACCCATGGAACCTTAAAGGACCGAACTCCGTTGCCTAGATTCGAGCGACCTTACACATTTTGATGACTATCTAGCCAGCCAATATGATCTTGTAAATGACTAAAATAGTCTGCTTCCGTCCCATTGAGGGATATTTGACTAGCAAATGTCGAGTCTTGTCGCGAGATTGGCAGCGATGGTATTTTAAGGGATTGGGAGACCCCCTCCAATCTGGAGGAGCTTGTTCGCGAAGTAGGCTGTATTAGGCGTGATCCACCACGGTGTACCCGGCAAGTTGGACAAATCTTGACAAAGCGGGCGATCAGTTCCTTAGGGACCCTAATGATATAGTTAGTGGCTATGAATTAAGCACATTATATATGATATGTCATAGATTTGCCCACCATGAATAGATCCGCCGGACCTGAGTAGATGTCTTATCTCGGCCACCATGTTGGCATTGCTGATGTGCCTTAGTGAGGATTTTGAACAATTTTTGTCGAATTGCAACCGGCTTTCCCTTATGGCAGATCATCTTCCTATGCTTTATGTCGTAAATTACCCTATTAGCATTGATTGATTTTATCCGTCAGAATAAGTCGAACTTACATCCGATCCCACAGATTCGAGCTTGAACATCTTTTTGACCCAAAACCTGATTTGTTTAACAGTGCGGGCAATGGATTTAACTAAAGAGATCCATACCGAAACTGAGCCGACTCCACCGCCGTATTTTTAGGGTCAATCAACACAGTGCTAATGTTTCGGGCTCTCTTAGCATGGATCAACGCTTTATCTTGTTTCTGATTAGATAAGCCCTCAATATAGCTAGTTAATTAGAATGATAAGATATCAGTATTAAATCTCGTAAGCTTTATCATAGATCACTCACTTCTGCACCAGTTGATCAAACTCCTTTACATCAGGGAAGCCGCTAAGCGCGGGCACTATTTCCTCTGATAGTAATATAGCCTCGTTGTGAGACTCCTGGCTTTCAATCTCTGTTTCACCTAGCGGGTCGCGGGGCAAATACATTGGCCCTTGAAGGTAGTGCGATTGGGAGATGAACTGCGGCGGATGGGGTAGCCTAGGGTCATCAAGTGAATGTTCCGACGTGTCCTGCAACCCCAGAGCGAGACTCGACTGTGGGGCAGAGAGCTGCCCAAAATGAGACCCGTATATGTCGAAAGAATGCTGAGAGAAACAAGGTCTATGTGTGTTGAAATCATGGCCCTCTTGCTCAAAGTGATGACTCTCCGGCTGACCATACAAGCCATACACTGCCGTTTGTTGATTCATGAGACACGCATCATCCCCTTCACTGCACCTTGCAAAATTGCTCATACTTGATGCCTAACTTGGTTATTGACCAACTCACGCTGATCTGACCTGGACAGAGAAAGGAAGAGGAATAAGAAGAAATCCAGCATACAGCGGGTCTCCGAGGGTGGTGATATTGATGGTGACAGGAAGAGGCTAACTCGCTTACATGTAATCGAGGAAGAATTGCGAGGGTACTCGAGTACACCACAGTAAGCAAGTATCACAAAGAGAATTGAACTGTGTCTAGAAAAGAAAGAAAGACCGATAGTTTATATATTATATAAGGCCCATCTATAAACGGGCAAAAACTCTATTTAAAAAGCCCCAATAGACATATGGTCACCCAGAACCTCGAAAAGATTCGGGGGAATTCCACATTAAAACTTTTACTCATGGGTGAGATATATTACAGCGTAGTGGGGGTAAGGAAATTCGGACTGGAACACAATGTCAGCGAAAATTAACCAAATTTGTCAGGTCATACAAGAGCATCCAATACTGATGGCGATGTAGATATGGAGAGGGCTCGGACAGCAGACTAACATCAATACTGGCCGATTGACCTTTCTCATTCAAATTTAGTTTTCTTTGGGTATGTCACTCCGTGATTTTTCGCTCTCGCACAAAGGAAACGATCAGAGTAGGCAGCAAATATTCAAGTTATAGCTACGCATTGTTACTATCCTTCGAATAAGAGGTTGATCATCTTATTCGAAATGATAATAGATTATGCTCAAAACGAAAAGTGATAACAATGATGCTACTGGTCCACAGCAAAAAGTACAGAAAGAATGGTTCAAACAGAAAAGCCTTCTTTATGGCAGTAAGCCAAAGAATTCAAATCTTTATGTGTACAGAGTTCGGTTCCCTAGGAATCCACGAGCCGCAGCGAACAATGCCATTTGATTCATGAACGTCGTCCACTAGGAACAGCAAGTATAGACTTCCAACTATATTGTAGTTGTACGTTGACCCTCAATATTGTCTGAAATTCTTGAACGAGGTCAATCGAATAATATTTAAGGATTTCTGGCTAGATAAGAAATGATTACTCAAATAAGGAACAAGGTCCTCAGAGGGTCTAGTGAGCAAAACGTACTGGCAGCTCCGCTGTGAATATCCTGCGACAGTCCAGAGTATCTCTTTTCCTTAGAAGAAAATATCACCATTGTGGATCGTAGTACTCCTATTATTCGGGTGAACAATATGCCCCATATAATGGAAAAATCCAAGACTCGTAGGAACGGGGAGTTCGACAGTTTGATCGTCTATCATAGTTAATCACGAGTTAGACGGGCCAATACATGTCTTAATATAGATGTAAATACACGAACCTACTAGGGAATCGCCGTCACATGTCTGGCCATGAGAACGCAACGTCGCATCCACTCGACAAGGGGTTGCTGGAATAGACGTAGTATTTTGGGGGTGACTTGGATGAACATTTAGTTGCATCTCCGAAGGTACCTCCTGGTTGTCCCATAAGTCATCATCCCTAAGAATAATTCTGATTAACTCCTTAGACCAACTAGGAAGCCACGAAGGTATTTGAATTTGTGGAAGACACGACATTCTGGTAACGGGGTCAAGGCTAACAGATGCATAAGAGTAAATCTGGATAGATAAAGGGACAACGATGGTTCTTATAAGGCACCATTTCGTTCCTTATATAATGATCCACAATTTTATTATGTGGCGCATGGTTAGTGTGCTGGCATTTATCAAATCATCGTTCTAACGTGGACAGCCTATCCCTCTTTGTTTCGTTTTCTCCGCTCCCACGCTAAATCAGCCCTCAAATTATTACTATAATTGCGGGTGGATTCGACACAACATTGGGAAGAAGTCTCCGATGATGAAGCAGTTTTGCGTGAAGAGGAATGAAAAATGGGAGAAGGCTTAGACTACTACTAGAAAGCGATTGAGGGTAGCGGCACGTATCTGCTACTGAAGGCTTACTTTCTTTACCAGCGGCTCTTGTGTTACAAGATCTATATCGGCACAGCTTTCTTATCTCGCTTGGCCTAAGAGTAGATAAATCGATTCCAGCTAGCGATCGAAGGCATTGACAATTCACAGTATGCATAAGAGATTTATTAGAAATGGCATTATCTGAAACCCTATGCTTATATCTAAAAAAATAAAAACACAACTTTATTTGATCTAGGGGGAAGCAAGGGCATTGTGCTCTGTATTGGCTATCTAGAACTCCGGGAAAAGAACAAAATGAATCTAGTCCGAAAACTGATCGATTTCCATCGTAAGGTTTGACACTCCTGCAGCCTGCGAGGCTGGGATCACCCGAGCCACGCTAGGACACCGATCTTGACTACTTATATCTGCCCACCGCAAAGGTCGACACTCGCGCATCTTACATTGTTCAAATGCATAGCCGTTACCAGCTCTCGTAATTTTAACAGCCATATTGTCACCTACATAGATTAGTTCTGATTGTAGAGAATAAGAAACAAAGACTTACCCATTTCCTGATTCACGTATTCTTTTTCGAGTTTCATGAGCGGTGTGATTGCGCTCAGTGTTTTTCTTATTCCCTCCGAGGTTTTAGGAGATGTTTCCAAATGTAAAAGGGTCATAAGCTGCGTGGGTAGGGCAAAAAGAATAGACGTGATTATCACTGCTTTGAAGCTTAGTGGATGTTATATCTATTGTAGAGCCTCTATACCTTTCTTATTTCGTGCGCTGGGCAAGTCAAACAACGTTCTATAAATGTAGCGGAGTTCATCAAGGCTAATCCTTTTGAGTGCATTTCGATAGTACTCTCTGAGCTTGTCAGTTGAGCTCATTGGTATGAGTTCAAATTCGGCATCTGGAGAGTCATTCATGGCGAAGAGTTTCTGATATGAGTAGAAGAATAAATTAGGGAAGCAGCTAGCTTTATAGTCTTTAACAGGCCAGCCGCTGTAAATTGGGGCCATCGCAGAACTAGTCTGTGCATTTTAAATAACTGTCGAATAAATAGTACAGAGTAAATTAGCGTGTTCTATAGGAAAGCCCTCTTCCTGACCCCTTGGCTCCAAGTTAATTGGTGGTACCTTAGGCAAGAAATATACTTTTAGACTCTATATCCGGCCACCATTAGACGGAGATTCTCATGGATGGCACTAATGTCTACAACTGCAACTAGTCATTTCATTGAGATCTAAGGACGTCAGATGTGGCGAAACAAGCTTGGGAAGAAGCACGCCCGATTACCGGTCCTTTGCTAAAGCCAAAACGGTCAACATTTGCACGAATTTTTCCAAAGGTGCCTGTGAAGCTCCTATAAGTGCTTCCGTTTCAGAGCTGTTTAATGTGTGAACAAACTTCAGCCTGGTGGCTCGATTCAGGGGGATATGAGATACATAACTGGAAACACCGATGAGAAGTATCGACATCTTCGTCTGTATCGCTAGAGTCTAAACTGGGAGTTTGACTTTACTCCGATAGAGTGCTATTTGGAGAAGGCTACTCGGTGCTATTATCTAACTCATACCTTCATAATGTTCAACGCCAACCTTCTTTTCATGGAGTTTCTGCGGAATGATTTTCATTGTTGGTAGAGAATACCAAAAGATCAAGGACAGCGTTAAATTTTATTCCAATATGGATCTAGGACACAGGATATATATAACGTAATTCCAATGTCGCGGGTCTCAACTTTGATTATCAACCAAGGCTGACTTCTTAGAACCACTTTAGCAATGTAGGCGGGACCCCCGTCGGTACATGTTGTATTGTATGCCCCACGTCTATAAAGCTCAGCTTAGCTTGGTTTAAACCCTCCAGAAAAGACATAGGACCTATCGAACCTACATAGTATTGGATGTGTTCCCTGCGTTTGGAATTTTTAAGCCAGATGTTCCTTCTGTAGAAGTACATTAGTTTATATCTCAATAAGGCGCGCGAATTTGTATACCTGAGTGTTGTGGAGCCATAGGTAATAGTAGAGCACACATAGAGCAAGAATAAACCAACTAAAAAGGAAAGAAGCTGCAGCTAGCTGTATGGGACCCATGGTAGAGACAAGGCGAATTGAAATATTTTATGTATAATCATGAGAATTTAAAGACTTATATGATCACGCCTGAGACTAACTTAGATTTCGAATAACACACTATTGGGTGTTCATTCTCTCTCCGCCCATCAGAGAATTAATGTTTAGCTACAATCTTAATTTATTCTGTCCTAGCCACTCAGTGGTTACGGTACCACACTACTGCAGCTTCGTACGAAAATTCTATCGGGGCCCATTAGAGAATCAACATTTAACTATAAAACTAACCTGATACATATAAAAAAACAACCATCCCTTGGGCACTTGATGAGCTCGAGATGCGGTAGCTAAATTCTTCCTAGTTGAGTCTCTAGCCATGCGCTGTTCTCCGTATCCAAATTGTCCACAAGATGACGCTTAAGGTCCTCCCCGTTATTCCAATAAAGCATACGGTTAATTGACATGCGCATGTTACTAGGGGGCAACATGTCCATCATCAAAAGACTGTATAGCACGACCATACATTCTAAGCCCGTATCAGTAACACTCGGCTCTATTAAATTCTCGACGAATTTCGAAGGAGCATATCCTATCTTCTTCAATAGAATATCAGACAGCAGATGGGTAGTAATGGGCCCATCAAGCACACATGGCGCCATAGAGACGATGTAAGTAGTGACATCGCCGTGTTCAATCAAGAACTTAGGATTTCTCATTTCACGAACTAAATAGTTAGCGGCATATTTGCTACGCGTGAGGTCAGAAATGGCGTACAGAATTGTCTTATGAGCTGTAGTAACTGTTCAGTCATGGGTGCTATGATGGGAATTACCAGCATGGCTTAGGAAAAAGAGAAGGTAGAACGCCAATTGATTTCGGTGGCTAAAGGGATACTTTATAGCTTTCTGGGGTTCCGTTATATTGACAATTATGGAGCGGCCATTCAATATGATAAAAACCTAGCATTCTTTTGCACCGGACCTACTAACTAAACAAGTAACAGAACCGGCAGTCATCCATCCATATTGTCAAAAATCATATCATATTGGCATATTTCTTTAGCGAATTAAGGGACCATTTTCATTTCGTCGAAAGTCTGCTTCGTTAAGCGCCCCTAAGAGGTGGGCTCTATTAAAAGAGTAATTGGCGCGCGTATATACAGGTTCCTTTACCTACATTGAATGAGCTGATGGCAGCTGTTGTCTTCGCCCAAAGTTTTGAGGAAATCCTGGCAGACTTCTAGTTTGAACATACTAGTGCTTTTTACTTGAATAGACGGAGATTCATAGGTCAGGGGCCTATGGCATAATGGCTACTATTTTAATATTCAGGTACAAAATTGTTCAGCGACTAAGAATATAGTTTACATTCTGTTCACTCCGCAACCGCGGCAGACATAACAATTTCCCCTCTGCGTCTCAGCCAGTCATGGGCATGCGAAACAGCCAGCTCAGGCTTATCTCTAAAATCCATCAGATAGTTATTAATCTCCACTGCAGTTAGGTCACTGGAGGAAACAATATCTGCGAATTTCTCAGAGAGCTCTGATATGCTATTCTCCCATATCGCCTCATTTTTTGGGTCCCTTTCTACGCCATTCCAACCGATAAACGAAGAGCCATTGTCAAAAAAGATACGAAATAGCTCCTTTGCGCTTTCAATATCCACGAAGCCAAAGTGATATCTCTTATCTACCCGACCAGGTCGAATCAAGGCTGGATCAAGCTTTTCGAGATGATTGGTAGTCATGATCAAAATACGGCCCTCCTGTGCCGCGACACCATCAAGACAGTTTAAAAGGGCTGATAGAGAGATATCAGCACGATCAAGTTCGTGTGAGTCTCCCACTCGGCTAGCAGTTTCAGGATTCTTCCTTCGCCAACCGCCCTCTTGGCTAATCCCAGCACTATCCACGTCTTCGAGAAGCATAATACAACGTTTTGGCAGTCTTTGAAATAGGCTAACCAAACTATCCTCATCAAGCTTTTGAGAGTTTAAGCTGACCGTGTAGATATCAAGCCAAAGGTGTCCTGCAATTGCAAAGCACATACTCGATTTTCCGGTTCCGGGAGGACCATAGAGAAGATAACCTCGGCGGTATGGAATGCCACGAGTCTCATACCAGACTTTTGCTTGTGGACTAAGGAAATCTTCGATATCCTTCAACATATTATCCTTGATTTTTAGAGGTAAGGCCAAAGTTGATAATGGACGAGGAGGCTTTGATACCGTCGGACTCCAACTGATTGTGTTTTTTTGGTTGAATCCGCGAAAGATAGTAATCGTATGTTGGTGGTGTTGGATGGAGGCATATTGTACTTCTTTTAAAAGTTTAAAGAGCATATCTCTCCTCCAAAATAATGTGTAAATCTTAAAGGCTTCTGGGCTTGCGAGCCAACTATTGTGCTTCTCGTGCGGCTCACGATAAAGACCCAAAAGACATCCCTGGTATAGAAATAAATGAAGCCTCCTTTGAGAAGGAGTGCAACGGATTCTCATGATGTTTTGCTGTTCCTTCAAGGAAAACCAGAAATCTTTCCTGTTCTTTTCGAAGCGATCTTGCTCGGCTGGGGTATCCTCATCGGCATCCGTATCTTCATTCTGCCAGGGAAAAGAGATAGCGTTCTTTGATTTGGCAATAGCACCACGGGTGCAGCTTAATGAATCATTTCTTTCCATCCAGTGTATGAACTGGTCGTGGAGCTTATCGTGGTAGGGAATCTCAATGGAAATGGTCAAGTAAAGGAGCGCATTTTGGACTTTGTGGAGAAAGCGAGGAAGTAGAAAGGCGAGTATTGGAGATAAAACAACCAACAGAATTAGGAACCCGAAGTACGAGGAAACATCGGGGTGTAAATAAGATGACAGAAGCCGGGTAAATATAGAAAGTCCCGGAAAAAGTGACTCAAGGGCAACAGGTAACACCTCAAGGATATTGTTTTGCATGTTGGTGAGATTTCGTGTGAGTGTAGGTAGACATTGGGAAGGGCGTGGGCCTTTTATAATGGACCCAAAATCTGATTCTCATCATGGTTGGCTCTTACCCATTCGCGTGCATATAGTATGTTCACCCATTTTCCCTGATCAAATTAAATTTATCATCATGATCTACGTAGCTAGTGACATGAATTTTTATAACAAACCTGGATAAAATATTCGTTCTTTATCGGAGGAACTTTTAGCTTTAACTTTTATTGTATCGGTTTCTAGGAGCCTCTAACACAGGCGCATATTTTTGATTAGAATCTGGACCTCTGTACAAGTGTGTCTTGTGACTTGCCTAGCAGAAGAAGTGATATGAAATTTGAAAGTAGGCAACGTTCCCTTGTAAAGCTAAAACATGTCATTATCACTGGTTTGGGGGGAGTATTCTATCTGATGTCATGCCAGTTCCCACTTGTAGGATCTTTATCTTCCAGTTCCAGCTATGATAAGGTACCTAGGGCAGCAAGAGCTCCAAACTCTTTACGTCTATACCTATATTCCTGGCTATCGATACACGGGTTTGACTCGAATAAAATATTGAAACAAAGCAAACCAAAGAAACGTAGAAAAGTATAGGTGCATCCATTTCCCTAACCCAATTAAATATATCCAGGCCCTGGGCTCTCGAACTAAGTCCTTGAGGGGGCACTTCGAATCAACTTGACTCTCGAAGGTTTTCAGAAATTGTAGCGAGTGAGGAAGTTTCAGACAGTCTGGTCACAAAATCGTCGAAGATAATCTCAACTTGGTATCCGCAAATCTCTTCCTCCTGATTGAACATCGGTAAAATGTGTTGTAATATGCCTCTTCCTTGGAGACCTAGGAGATCCTTTCCGACCCAAACATAATGCTGGACCATAAGAGTAATATAGATCAAGAGCCCCTCGTCCGTGATTTGGTTCGCTTTTCGGCATTGAGAAATCATGCTATTGCGAAGCTTTCGTCCAATTTCACCTTCAAGAGTGAGCTTCGCTGATATATCCATCATTACATCATAGACCGTAGTAGGCGTAGGGATTATCGAGCGGTATTTTTTTGCGTGCTGAAAGAGAATCCATTGGTTTTGTAACAGCTGCTCAATTGTCTCGCTCATGGTGTTTGTGGCTAACATAAAATTAGTATATGGGAGTTACATAGATAAAGCGCGTTTGGTTTACTGCACCTCTGTATAGTAATTGGGTCTGTGGGAAGCTCTCTGTCAAATTAATGGCAAAATACCACTACGAGATACGTTCACTTTATAGTGTTAGACTTTAGTCATAGGTTCTTGGTCCGGTTAACCGGCTATACCCAGACTCCGGGTCGCCCGATTTGGTTAGGGGATAATAGGACCAGCAGTAAGTCACAACAATGACAGAGTGAGAAGCCGGTGAGATGGTATTTGTCTACATAGCCATGCCATATTAGTCTGTTCGCTTCCACTTTTTGATTCTGAATTCTAGATGAATACTAACCCATATTGCAGAGCAAGTTGGCGAGTTGGCGAGTTGGGATATATCGCATATAAGAGAAAAGCCAGGGCTGAAAAGGAATTTACGAAAGAGCCTTGCTGATGAAAAGATTCAGGATCAGATTAGAGTGCAGCTCAGGGCATACCCCACTTTCCGTTCTTGGCCTTTCGCTCCTAGACAAAACAAAAGAGAGGGTGCGTGATTTAGCATTTTTCTTCTGAACTGCTTTTTCCGCACACTTAGCTGCTTCGATGTCATCATTGGGCTTGTATGTTCTCATGTATCGAAGTGCGAACATATTCCAATAGCAAATATGCACGCAATTGAAATTCAGATTCTAGGAAGCTATATGTCAACTCATACATAGCGGCTATAACACAATCGTGTGATAGAGGCCTCTAATGGAGTTATCAACCTTTTTGTACGGCCTTCATAGACGAGTCTGGCGGCTGCGTCCGGTATCGGATATCCGACGGCAGCTGACTTGACACCTCGTGGTGGGATTTGCTGTAATCCTGTGTGCAAATTATTTGAGCTAATGTCGTAGCCGAAAAGAATCTGGATATGCATACTGCAGTATTCTATGTTTATATCTTACAAGTAAAAGAAGGACTAAACAGTTGATTATAGAGATAAGCCCTCATTTTGCGCGACACACAAGTTGTTCCAGCTTTGCAAGAGCGTCACTTAATGAAATGCGAGATTCGATGGCTGTCTTTGTCAGACCGCTAGCAACCAACTGTAGGTTTTCATCTCTACCAGTGCCGCATTTCTCAGCAATCGTTGAAAGTAATCTTCCATAAGCCCAAGAGTCTGTAGCAACCCGTGCCTCAAATGGAGTGTTGGCAGGAACTATTTCACCGTTTTGTTGAATGAGCATTTGCATCTCCGGAGAGAGCCATTCCCACATATAACCGCCCGTCCCACTGATATCGATGAGTATAGCATTCCTGCTATCATCAAAAACAATATTTGAGGGTTTTATATCAAGATGGCTTCGGCCTCTAGTGTGCAACGATTCCAAAGCTCTTCCAATCTGTAGAGCCCATTGCACTAGCAGCCCGCTTTGGACCGTAGCCTCCCTGATGATTTCCTCAAGTGACCCTCCGGGATAGTATTCGAGAAGAAATCCTATGATCACTGCTGGCATATCGGTTGACGGGTAGGTCTTATAAGGGTTCTCCGATACAACTGTACCAATTATTTGCGCGATATTTGGCTGTCCGCGGAGTTGTGTAAGGGCATCGATCTCGTCTAAGATATGGTTTGTGTCTCCGGGCTCATAGATAGGGCGGTCGATCGTTTTATAAGCAAACTTCTGTTGATTGAAGAAGACCGTAGAGATTGTCGGAGCGATAGCCTTGATATCCCGTAGATAACTAGCCTCGAATATTGGATGATAACGATCTCGGTCAAAAGTCGGGTATATGACCCTCCTTGGATCTTCCGTGATCTTGCAGCATATTTGATGGGCAACACCAATGAAATAGTTCGGTATAGCTCGATGCCTATCACGGATTGTGACTGAGTTATCCCTCTGCCCAGTGAAGCTTAAAGTAAGCATTGTCACTGTATCTTCCAAAAGCTGTAGTTGACTGAAATCAACCGCTTCAACAAATGTTTGGAATAAACACCGGCGTTTGAGATAGCCAAGGTGTAGTATCGATTCTGGCAAAGACCAATCCACGACAACTTTGATCCACCATGAAGAGCCGTTGTTGCGGAATATCAGGGTCTGTGATGGACGGTCGCCGTTCCATTCTTGATATGATTTGAATTCCAATGAGGAAGAGAGACTCTTTTCGATCATTTTGCCTGATTCCAGGGATGAGAACCTGCTTTTTCCAAGAAAAAATATAAAAAAACTTCTTCACATAAATTATGGGGGAAGGGGGGAAGGGGTAGTTATATGGCTCCGGATCACGTGTTCCACAATAACTTCTGGGAAATCGCCCCACTATTCATGATTCGAACTTCTTCAACGGAGGAAATAGTACTATTAATAAAACTTATATTGTACAATACCGGTAGGGGCACTACAGATGGTTCTTGGCTTGAAGGATGGCTACCACTGTCCATGTCAACATTTTAGCGCTCTCCATTCCAACAATCCATGTGGAACTCAAGTAAACTTCCAAGCATGTGTGCTCCCAAGCAGTTTGCATTCTCCGGCCACATATTGCTCAAGCTCCAACCAGCAGATTAAATAAGCCTAGGGTTTACCAAGCACACTGGTAACTAGTTAGCATATTACACATGCGAGTGACGTTCCGATACTAATAAATGGGATAAATTACAACTGATACCCCAGTGGTCTATAGGGGCGTTTCCTTATAAGCGAATGGAGCAATGGAATGGCTTTCTATGTATATAACATATTCCCATATAGCTACGCAACACCCGTAGTATCCAATAGAGACATGCGATCCCACTTGTAGTCCAAAGTCCACCATCCACTGTTGCATCTGTAGACTGTTAGAACGTGAGACATAGTATTTCAAGACAACTCACATGATCCTTCTCTTTTTTGTGTCCTGCCTTCTTATCACAACCTTCTTTGTAGCAGAATGATCCTATCGTGGATTACGTGGTCCCATTAAGAGGGTCACATTATAGTCCACTATAGATACCTATTAAGTCCGCCGTTGACTATTGTATCTGCAGACTGTTAGAACGTGAGATGCAATATCTCAAGGCCAACTCACTTGGTCCTTCTCTTCTACCTCCTTCTTTCTTATCACAGCCCCCTTCGAAGCAGAATGTTCCTGTTGTGGATTGAGTGGTCCCCTTGGGAGGGTCACATATCTCGCCAGCTTTCACTGCAACATCACATGGGTCTCCACTCAGTTGAGCCGTGTAATGACCACATCTGTAGACGCGAACAACAACATAACACATATTGACGGGTAATGGGAAATCGAGGGTTCTAAGTTGAAGGAGTGGGTGATGATGAATTGAAGTATGATGTTGATGTTAAAGCTCAGATAAAGGAGTATACCTGTCTTTATATATCTACCTACTCTACTTTTTACCACGTTTGGACCGCTTAAAACCCAAATTCCCTACTTTAGAAGCCTCTAAAATCCCTCTATACATCCCACCTCATATATGGTGATATACCCTAGGCTACTGCTAGTCGTAGTGGATTCCAGACCATTCAAGCCTGGTCATTCTATGTTACTTAATATAGGCTAGTCATAACCCACAAATAGGCTTGCTGTTGATGAAGGAACATGCCGTAAATTCCGCGGGGCTTATTCCTATTAGTCGTTGAAAGCAGGCGCGGTCTATTGTATTTTTTCTTATCAACTTGGAGGTCGTCGTAAAGCTGGAGGGTTGGGGAGCAGCTAGATAGATCATGACACCTCTGAAGGCTTGGAGAGCAACAACACTCTTTCGCGTGAACAACATAAATCCAAATGTAAAATATATATTTTTTTTTTACTAGCAGCCACTATGAACGGGGTGAAAAGATATAATTAGATTACACGCTCACGTAGTTTTCAACATTCGAGAGTCACTTGATACAGACACAGATTCGGTCAAAATTGATCTCGAAAGCACCCGCTAACCCGCCAGATTCGTACAGGAGATCGTTCACGATACGGACACTGCACATCTTCGAAATCTTGCATCATCGATATTGCACCGTCCGAGTTAATGAGTCGTTCCCAGGGGTGGAGGCGATCAGGAAAATCAACTTGTTCAAGATCAACAGCCATCACTCTGCATCGTCGGCTGCCTTGATCACAGAGTAGAAAATTGTCCAATCTCTGATCTCGATACAATGCACCATATTCCGAAAACCGACGAAAGATATCCTCAAGATAAGTCTTCAAAGTTTCTCTAGAAAAGTCGCTGTTACCGCGGGCCAGTTCATAGAGAGTAACACCATCAATATCGGACAATATAAGTGCTGGGAGTCCATTATAATAACCTTGCCCGAAAAAGAAGGGAATCACTTTTCCTTGGAGCGCTTTCAATTTCTCGTAGACTGCTCTCTCATTCCGAAATTCTTTCTCCCAATTATTCTTTTGCTGTTTGACAATGACTGATGTGACAGTCTGGGGAATCGAGTGCCGATATAAACCCGGGTCAAGTGCGAAGCGATAGACTGTACGGCGTTCATCTAAAAGCTCCACATTGGTTGAATAAATTGGATGATTATCCAAGTACATTATCTAAGGTAGGTAAGCTAAATCAACTTTTCTCTTGAAAATATGGCACCCACTTTACCTACCTTGGATAAGTTCTGGTTTTGGACAAGGGAAGGCATAGTGTAGACTTGCATAAAAGTATTTAGTATTGAGAGATGTTTCCGGAGAAAACTGGGAAATGACGCGATATTTATCAACCCTCCACGTCATGTGATCAACAAACAGACGCAAGGGGAAAGGGAAAAAAAACACACTACAACAGTTGTAGTTGATGGCATCGCTTACCTGGTAAGGATGATCTGCTAATTATATCTAGCATCCCTCCTACTGTTTTGGGATGGCCCTACCTGTGGCACCAGTAAAGAATGGTATGGTATAAATGACTAACTAAAAATGAAAAACCAACCATTTGTGCGGATATCGATGACTAACTGTATGCCTGGTACCATAATATAATACGCGGCTTCAACCATATATCCCTAGCACGCACGACACTGCTCTTCAAGAAAGGAAACAATTTGTTGTATCATCAACAACAAGATGGCGATCAAGGTCAAACCACGACCAGTATCCCTTGAATTCCGGACCACGGCCATTATCCCTAGTCCTCACAAACCTAAGGTCGCGCGAATATCCATAAGGATGTTCAAAACGTCTCTCTCGGGTACGACGCTCTACCCATAAAGGCCGACCAGACCAGAACTCGTAATGACGGTCAAACCCAGCGAGGTTCAATTCAGTTGGTATCCGTATATTATTCCCTGGATTTGTGGACGCAGAGTCTCCAGTTGCACAAAGACGAGTGAAACCCTTCAAAGCGAGTGCGCGCAGGCCTTCTGCCATCGTGCACTGGTCGCCGTGTCTAGGCTCTTCCCGTGGGATGATACAAATATCAACAGGACACATTTGGTCACGAATATTCTCTGCATCCTTGGCACGGAACTGTAAGAGTACTAGGCTCCCCGAGTCGAAAACAAAAGCTTGTGGACAGTTATACAAATAAGCATACCTTTTTAAAGTTAATTAGACATGAAAAAAATTTAGAAAGTAAATAGGGCATACCCTCTAATCTCCTGCATAAGACGTTTTGTTGTACTCGATGGGAGTCTTTCAAACATCCACTCTCTTCTCCTAATGACCCGGGGTCTTTTGAATTCTCCTATGATAGCAGCACCTTCAAGGTATCGCTTCTGATGGGCCATCGTCATTTGGTAGTCGACTATTTTCCTTTCTGAAATATCCGACCCAAAAAGTGCTCGTGGCTTAAGTTTAGGCCCCCCACGAACAGAGGCATCCATGGGAGCGTCCGGATGAGGAATGGAGTATGACGAGTCCCCGAAAGAGAGCTCAACTAAGGGACTGATATTTTGAAAAAAATCATGTGTCACATCCCCTTCGGTGCACTGTTCAAGCGATTGCGAGTTTAACTTATAGGCTGGAGTTTCAAGGCCAATTGAATGGGCCGTGGTCCCTTCTGGGGGAAGCAGAAATGCTGCAAGGGCCTGCCTTGTTGGTGGCATTACCCTCAATGTTGTTTTCTCAAGAGGAGGGTAATCATTTGTCCATTGTTTTGTTGATATCGAAGTGTCGTTGTCAACATCTAGCTGCGCTGGGCTATGGAGCCGTATCAGGTCGCGAACAGTATATTGTAGCATGTCAATCGTGTCAAACCTAGGAATGGTTAGCGAGTTATTGTGACTTATTATCAAAGCTTGGTTCACCTGTGCCGTTTATAAGAGAAGTTTGCTCAATGAGATATCCAGGTAGTTGTAGGCACTTGTAAGAGATATTGAGAAGCAGTTCACAAAGAAGTTACCCTCCAAGGGTTGGGACAGTTCACCTTTATAGATGTAATAAAATAGAAAGCTCTAATTATAAAAGGTAACTCTGCTCACTTGAACCGTCTTTTTAATCAGGTTTTTATCACCAAATAAGAAATCTCATTTATTTAAACAGTGAATAACTAGGCCTAGTTCACTTCTTGGATTACGGCGGCTGTAGTAGAATTTAATTCCACACTGCGCGGAGTACTTAATAAACAGCTTTTTGGTGGCGTGCTTATGATTTTTAAAATTGTGATAGGTCTTCATGTAGAATTTATTGGTCTAATGGTTCCAGTTTTGTGACTATTCTCTTGAGGCTCATATTAACTGACTGTGAAATAAAAAATAGTGCAGTTCAGGTTCTGAGAATATAGTTCATCTTTTCTACTTTGGTTGTAAGGCGGCCTAAGCCGAAGTCTACTTAGTTATAGACTTGCTAGCTTTCTCTCTGGATGGCGTCTTCTTCGCGCGAAACGTTATGGCGCAGATGAACATTGACCTAACTAGATCTGACAACCCGGATTCAGGGTCGCTAACTCTGACTAGGAAAACGACCGGCAGCAAGCCATACTAAGTACAGAGCGAGAAGCTTTGGCTTATGTTTAAATGGGTACACCTGCAAGCAGGGATCTTTCTGTGATTTGATCTTTGAAATCACAGAAAGATCCCTGCTTGCAGTTTTGATACCCGCACTAATCAGCGCCACAATCAACTTCAACCAGTCAACTAGTACAGCTAGCTGCAAGCAGGGATCTTTCTGTTATTTCAAAGATCAAATCACAGAAAGATCCCTGCTTGCAGCTAGCTACACTAGTCGATTGGCTGGCGGTGATTAATGCGGGTATCAAAACTGCGAGCAGGGATCTTTCTGTGATTTGATCTTTGAAATAACAGAAAGATCCCTGTTTGCAGCTAGCTGCATTAGTCGACTGGCTGGCGCTGATTAATGCAGGTAAATGGGAGGTACCAGGAGGGTTATGTATTTTGTAGAGGGAATACTACCGTGAAATAGTGATCGTTGATATCTAGTATTCTTATTTCTGTATTTCCTGGCTTCTGCCCTCTGCTCTTATTGGGATTTCTGGCGGACGGGAAGTCGTCTTGAATAAGAGAAAATAATCAATTGGCTGGGAAGTATCTTCGTAGCGAGGTAGTTTGAATACAATCTATGGCGGTTCTGTAGAAAGCTGACGGTGATGCATATACGGAGAAGGTTCGGATCAACAGATAGGGATATCACTAGAATCAGATAGCCTCCTTGACCTCATGGAGAATCCTAGATATTAACTATTTGTTGAAGTAAATCGATGGGGTTGCAAGCAGGGATCTTTCTGTTATTTCAAAGATCAAATCACAGAAAGATCCCTGCTTGCAGCTAGCTACACTAGTCGACTGGCTGGCGGTGATTAATGCGGGTATTAAAACTGCAAGCAGGGATCTTTCTGTGATTTGATCTTTGAAATAACAGAAAGATCCCTGCTTGCATTTTTAATACCCGCACTAATCAGCGCCACAATCGAGTTCAGCTATTCAGAGAGTGCCTATGCAAAGCATGTGAAGAGTGATACAGTCAGCATATGATTCAATACCTGCTATTTGGACCAGACAAGTATTTATCAATAATAAACTTAAGACAGCAGGCGGTATAACAAGTTTGTAAGTCGGTAGCAAATATGGTATGAAAACATCTGCTGTGTTAGTGTACCATTATAATTTATAGGAGAAACGCTCCTCTCTGTCTAGCCATGGAGTTAGACCTATGATATATATTAGTCCTCGGGCAGGCGAGGAATAAAATATATCTTGAGATGTGTCTGTTGGGCTTACTGTACTCGTTCTCGCGGAGAGCGCGGCAGATATAGTGGAGAATGTCTACCCAATCAAATAGACCTAGGGCTCGGGCCAACTACAAGCCATGGATTCAATGGCTGGGATGAACCTACTGGGTTTTTGGCCATATGCATACGCCACCGGCGCCAAATTACCGTGTTCTTAGGTAATCTATTGGTGCTCAGTATTTTGATCCTTAGCTTGGCCTGGAGCCACGTAGACCGGTTTTATCTTTCTTTTCCAATTTTCAATCTTTGTGTTCTACCTGTTCTTGACCATGGCGACCACAAAGCAGTTAGAAAAAGACCTCGAGGGAATGCTCTATGAGCTCGCCTGTTTAATTAGTGGGAAAGATGTTGAGCTCTTCTCTACAGAATGCAAGACTTCCTTCCGGCGTTTTACAATTGACGAAAAAGAGCTTTTCAGACGACTTCTAGGAAAACTTTTGCAAACTGAAACCAATGCACAAGGAGGATCAGAAAGATCTTCTTCTAGTGAAACTTCTCAAGCATTTCCCGACCAGACAACCAGAAATAAGGATGCTGAGGAAGGCTCTATCAGCACCGATACCCACAGAGGATCAGAAGGTTTTTCATCTGGTGAAGCTTCTCAACCATCTTCCAGCCCCAGCATATCCTCCAACGAAACAACGACAAATGATGATCCCGAGGAACGATCTATCAGTACCGATACCCACAGAGGACAAGAAAGTTTTTCTTCTGGTGAAACTTCTCAAGCATTTCCCGACCAGACAACCAGAAATAAGGATGCTGAGGAAGGCTCTATCAGCACCGATACCCACAGAGGATCAGAAGGTTTTTCATCTGGTGAAGCTTCTCAACCATCTTCCAGCCCCAGCATATCCTCCAACGAAACAACGACAAATGATGATCTCGAGGAACGATCAGTCAGCATCAATTCTATCTCAGCGTCTATCTCTCAGTTGGCCTCAACGGATAGTGGCAACGGGGAAGGCGCCAATTCAGCCGTTGAAACCAACACGCCTACTGACGGAGAACTTGAGTCCACGAATTTTGTAAAACTTCAGTCAATCATTCCTCCCTATCTCCGTCAGTTGCTGATCGATTGCATCGACACTCCCGAGTATTTCTTTACTCTAAGTGAGCCACACTTTACTCCAGTTGGGGGAGGTGTGCCGGATGCATTCTACAGATTATATCAAAGGGAAAATTGTCGTGACCTTGTCCAAATTCATCGACGTTTTGAACTACGCAACTTGTTTTTATTGGTCATTGCTCGTAAATACCATACAGGCAATAGATGGGAGTGGGGCGCTTTGGATGACCTTTCCGCTGAGATTAAGGCCCAATACCCGCAGCTTCCTACCAAAACACCGGCAATCAGAAAATACCTAGAGCATTACGTTGGACTTGGATATGCATATGATAAATGGATCCAAATCCTTGGTGATCCTGGCTACCTTATTGCTTTGCCTTTGCAGGTTACGGAGACCGAGTAAGTATAGTCGAAATTTTCAAATTAAAAATATCGCTCTAATACTGCTCAGATACACAGGGAGAAAGTACTTGAAATGCATACCCGCCGCCATTTGTCGGCTTCGCAAACTCGGCATTGACAAGGATGTGAAAGATTTGGGGCTTTCTGAACTAGCAGGCTTTATATCCAAGCAGTTGTATACGCGGTACAGCGAGGCTAGGATAAGACCTAGAAGTGCTATACCAGGAAAAGCATCGAAACGGAAGAGAGGTTTGAGTAGGTGAAGGATATTTAGCTAACTCTCACAAGCTAAGCTGATCTTTTGCATAGAGAAATTTGACTTGTCGTTTATGCCTACCATTGGTGAACAGTCTCAAACAGCGCGCCCAGGAACTACGAACATGATAATACCAAGCACTGAAGACGGTACGCTGAAACTTTGTGAGCCTTATAATGCTACTATCATTGACATACTTAGGTGATTATGAAGCATTTCTCACCAATTCGGCCACCCCGATTAGCTTATTGCCGAATTCTGTACCAACCGAGTTATATACCGTCAACAGATTTCACAAAAGACCTCGTCTAGAAGCTTCCTCGCAAAGCCTAAATGAAATGCCAAGTCAACCCGGCAGTGTTCTTCTGTTAAATGATTTGGCCACGGACGAGCACTCTCCCTCGCAGCTTGCTGGGAGTGATCCTCCTCTGGGTGACCTCAGCTTGCCGGGTCTAACGGTAGACTGGGACCAGCTGTATAATTTAGCGACGAACGAGCTCTCTTTCCCACAGCAACCGGGAAGTGATATTCAATTGAACGATTTGGCCACGGGCGAGCTCTCTCCCCCACAGCAACCGGGAAGTGATCTTCCATCGAACGATTTAGCCACGGGCGAGCTCTCTCCCTCGCAGCTTGCTGGGAGTGATCCCCCTCTGGGTGACCTCAGCTTGCCGGGTCTAACGGTAGACTGGGACCAGCTGTATAATTTAGCGACGAACGAGCTCTCTTTCCCACAGCCTGGAAGTGATATTCAATTGAACAATTTGGTCACGGGCGAGCTCTCTCCCCCACAGCCTGGAAGTGATATTCAATTGAACGATTTGGCCACGGGCGAGCTCTCTCCCCCACAGCAACCGGGAAGTGATCTTCCATCGAACGATTTAGCCACGGACGAGCTCTCTCCCTCACGGCTTGCTGGGAGTGATCCTCCTTTGGGTGACCTCAGCTTGCCAGGTCTACAGATAGACTGGGACCAGCTGTTTAATTTAGCGACGAATGAGCTCTCTTTCCCACAGCAACCTGGAAGTGATCTTGAGTCGGACGACCCTGTGGCACCATCTTTTCGCTGTGATCAGAATTCGGTACCAATCCTTGGGGGCTTTAATCAATGCTGGAAGCAACCTGAGCGTTCATCTTCGCCGAGATCACCTGTAGCCTTGGGGTCATTGTACCAGAAACCTTCTTATTATCCTAACAGGAGCGTTCAAGTCAAGTAAAGAAGATAACAAACTCTAATATAATAACAGTGTTGGAGAATAAATATCCTTGATGTATCCTGCCACGATATATCAGCGAGGCACAATAAACAAAGAAGTTGCGCCAGCACCTAGAATCGGTTCATTATAAACTTGTATGAATGATCCACGCTCCAACAAACCCCCAGGGTTCAGCTGAATTCCGCCCAGTAAAGGGATAAGATATCCTTGCTTCCGAGGATTGATAATCTTCGTCGTTTTCGACCAATATCTCAAATGTCCTTCCCAGGTCTAATAAGGGTTAGTAAATTACCATAGATACAAATAACGTCCATTCCTACTTCATCAATTCCCAGTGCGACTCTCATAGAAGTGATCAACGCTAGCAGCGCATCCCCACCGTACTCTTTGTTGCCATTCTCATCCTCATAAATTGTCGTGATTTGTGGTATTAATGCTTCAATCTCTTCATGGATTTCCTTGGCCGGGCGGGGTAACTTAGGCGCCTCCATCGAATACGGCTATAGGTTGTCTTGAAATGCTTGACTTTGGAATTAGTTAACGGTCACTTGGATATGGTTCGAAATAGCTTACCACTCAAGGGCAAAACTCGATTCTTCTTTATGGTGTAGTTAAGAGGGGTAAGTCTTAGGTGGGGTGTATAAATATCGATGTGCTCAAGGTTGGGCACAAAGTCACATGACAAAGCGACGCCACCGACACAGCACTCGGCATTTTGGAATTTGTATCAATAATGAGACATTCTTTAGTAAAAGAGGAGGGTGGGAAACGGAGCGGGCTAGGCGACTTCTAATACGACATTTTTCTTCAATGATGTGCCTTTTTAGTATTCAAAGCAACTGAACACGTTTACTCCGCCGAATGTACTTTTTTTTTTGTATCAACTTATCATACAGACCTGAACCGTTTTGTGAGTATCTATACATTTGTCATAGGAAATCCCAGGCGGCGCCCACCCAGCCACTGACTGCACGCCTAATGGCCAATCATTTGATCTAGTTAGCGTGATTAGCTTGTTTATATCACGTGATTATTTAGCTCCCACCCTCTCCTTGCGGTATAAACAAAATCCCCCCATTATTCCATTCTGACCTTTTTAGTTCATACTCCATGGTAGCTGGTATCACTCCACCGGGAAGTTTCCTCGATCCCCCTCTCACATCACGACCTACGGCGGAGAAACCCTTGTCGAGAAGTGTCCAAAGCGTGGTAAATCATTTTCGTCTCCATCGCGCGAGTCACCAGCCAAGATTTTAGTGGAAGGGTCCACTCAAACCAGACGACCATACACAGGTCTTGCATGTTCTTTCTGCTGACGAATCGCTTCGAAATTACGTGGAAGACAAAGTGGTGAGTATTACAATCCTTCTCGATATTGAATAGCGGGTGTGCTTAAGTGCAATCAATATAGATATGATTACGATCCCTGCCGCGACTACCTGACAATCCGAATGCCGAATCCTGTCCATGATACGTTTTGTGCAAGAATAGTCGATGAAATGTCAAGACAATCGAGGTAATTCCAGAAGAACGGTGGATCACAAGCCAATTCCGCCAAGCGAGCATTTTACCACCTCCCGGATCTTAATACCCGAAGATACAGATGATGGTAAACAGACTTATTCTAGACGATAACCGGATGCATCATTCGGACATCGCCAGGCGCTTTACCCCGGTGTAAGTGGAGGTATGCTATTCACAAAAGAGTAGGTGTATATCCCACCTGGCGGATGAATAGACTTTAAACACTGATCGGAGTGTCAACGCGGTGGTTGCCTTAGATATAGACTATGAAGGCTCTAATAGAGCGACAATTACTATATAGCGACCAGAATATGCAATAGTAGATAGCGTGGGGGAATTTCTGGCGACCGCAGTTATAGAAGCACAAGCATAGTCCGTTCCAGGTAATATATTACTCTGGACTTCCAACCGAAGGAACAGTGCTATGAAATCATTAAGCAACCTGCATAGACCACATGAGGGATTATATCCTTCCCGGGTCTACAATCGGCAGTTAACCCTCGCACAATGGACCGTCCCGTCGCTAGAGGCTCCTGACCCACCCCATACTCGATCTGACGCAGGGGTTTGGCTTTTGGCTATACTCACCTTTTGCTTTACATTGTGATTTGCCTTAATGCTTTTCTCGGGTATCATGATCGTTTTCCCTTGCTCTCACTCCTAGTCATATGGCCTATCTGTCTTCTACAAGCGGCTTTGGTCTTTATACCCCCTATGTTTGCGTGAGAATCTGCAATCACTGGTATAAACCCTCACGGGCCGTTGCCTGTTATAGATGGTACCACCATTTTCTTTACCACCATACAGTAAACTAATAAATTAGTTCCAGCCAGCTTGCGAATGTTTGATCCGTCCTTATCCCTCTCTTGATTATTCTCCGGATTGACGTTGGGCCAAAATTTCCTTGGTCACAGAGCGCAGCGCCGAGCACATTATTGAGAAGGCTCGTGCGTATATCTTGGTTTAGAGGGGGTTTACTTCGGAACGCAGGTGTAGTGGCAGAAACGCTGCATTTTAATCCAATATGTTATCGCCATTAGTATACAAGAAAAAGACCGCTTCTCTCATATAATGTGTAAACGCTTTGCATCACCAGACTCTGTTCGCAACAAAGGTCTCTTTCCTTGTGATCGCTCTGGAGCTAGCCGATATTTCAAAGTAAAGCGGTGAAAGTTGATAATTAACCACCGCCCGAGCTCTTCATTCAAAAGGACATTATCACGCCGAAGAAGGTCTTGGTGGACTATTCCCAAATATTCGATTTCCTTATTCGATTTGTGAATATGGCTGAGAAGTCCCGGAGTCGGCTCCATCGTTGCTGTGCCATTGCCCCCCCCCACCCAGCCCATGACGAGCATATGACGAATATCTCCAGCCCCATGGAGAAAATAATTTTTTTCAAGTCTATTGTGCCGAGGAAAACAGGCACAGCGGATGCTTGAGCCTTCTGTAGAATTTGATATACCTGCGCTTCACGGGAGACTTCTTTTCTCCAGAGAACCGACGAAGTCCCTTTCCCAACGACAACATAGCCATACAAAGCACAAATGAGTTTAAATGGCGCGCCATATGCCCCGCAGTTTCCAAGGGGCGTGCATCGATCAATATAGGTGATAGTATGTTTGATGACATCTTGACCCCGACGATGGAGCTCCACGTTCGGACAGCGGTCGTCTAAGATTTCTCCGGTCTGCAGCCCGAATAGACATCTCTGGGTACAAAATTGGGCGTCATGACTTTTAGAATGGCTGCCTTAGTCTTTTCTAGCCTCGTGTTGACGAGCCACTCTTTACACAGAAGGGGACGGTGTAACTTGGCTGAAGCCCCGTTTGCGCCCAGTCGTTTGGTTCGAGTCAGAGTCTGACGAGTCTAGCGATTGCGTCCAGGGTCGGATATCTTCGGGTGCACAGTTAGCTTGAGATCTCGTGGGTATTTGGCTACTTACTGCTGGGGACTTTATTGGAGGCGATGATGGTTGGTAGTCCGAACTCGTTTCTAGACTCACATACTCCGAGTTGGTACTATCGGAGTGCGGAGCGATTTGCTGTAAGACTTCCTTAGGGATCTGAGAACGAGCGTGATCAAAGCTAGTTGTCCATAAAGGAAGCCGCGATTGTGTAGCATTTCTCTATTCCTCGTCACGAATAGGGGAATGGAACGCCATTAAGTATAGATATAGAACCCTAGCAATAGATTTCTTCGGCTCTTGGAGACCTTGTTCGTTGTTGGGATCACAGAGAAAGTAGTACAGTGTGCCAGGATTGTCGTATGGAACGCGGAGAAGGACACGGGCGACCCCATTCGTGACATGAGAATACTCAAGTCCCTCCTGGATCATCACGTGATATTCCTGCACGATGGCAGAGCATACAAGCCGCTCTGCATTATATTTCAATTTCTCGTCGTGATCTGTAGTGATTTTATTTGATCTGACCATGCATTTCCACAAATCTATTTCCCTAAGCCCTACGCGAAGGGCCTCGATAGAAAGCTTGTGGGGCGGGTTATATTCAACCGTAGTGAGGGTGCTAGTTTTCCGTCGACTCGGTGAACGCAGAACTTATCAGGTCGAGGGTGATGTATGCCCGATGGCTGGTTTGCAATTGCTTCGCTACCGCCGCGTGAGTTAAAGGAGTTGGTGTGATTGTCGAACCAGACTCCATCTCCAAGTCCGAACTCATCTCGAGCAGCATCGATTTTGCATAGCTCTGCAATTATATCACGGATATGATCTTCCACGGCGATTCGCTCGTAGTTCTTGAGGCCTTGTGCACTGCTAATTTGCCGGAGATCGAATCGTCTAGCATCCTCCTTAAGCGCAATCAAGGGTGTGAACAATCTTGCTCGGACATCCTTGGTTGGTTGTAGGTAGTTCCACACAGAGTTGTATATCTTCTGCTGTCGAGCTGAACGATCGGTCCACAGTGCTAATCGCGTGGGACAGTACTTCCCGGTGGGAAGAGGTATGTTCCCTGTAGTCGAGCGAGATGGTGTTTCAACGCCGAGAGAGTAAGCTGTGGCAGAAGCTTATTAGTTCTCTAAATGTTGTTCGTCGGTTCCGCTCCCTTTCCTGCCTCTCTTTGTCCTTGGTAATTTGTTCTCGCTTCTCAGCCTACTTTCGTCTCTTTATTCCCTGTTTCTCTCGCTCTTCAGCCTACTTCTGCCTCTCCTCTTCCTATCTCTAACGCATTCGGCATATAAAAATAGTTTCTTGTAATCGGTGGGAATGTTATTGGCCATATCAAGTTGTCGAGAGGAAGAGAGGGATTGGGGATAAACATCCAGGTGGACCAGCCTTGGCCTAGGTAGATTATCAGCTGATCAATATTTCGGTAAAACGTATATCCGGGATCCGTTACCAGTCTAGCAAGTCAGCGTATCAGTCGGCTGATTGGCTGATTAAGGAAGGACTCAAATGGGGGTTTCCTTCTAAGCTCGGCGAGATCTTTATAATATTAACAGTGTTCGGGACCTATAGTACCCATCCTAACCTATCCCCTTTCTCATTCGCCTCTCTGTACTTAGTATTTTATATGAAATATAGTCTTTTGCCTAAATGATCTGGCAGATAATAAAGGCCTTGTAAAATTGTTAAGTCTCTTGGAAGACAGAAGATATGATGGTAGTTGTTATGTTGTTACATGAAGATATTTTCTCTGGGGTATTTCCACATTCCTGCCGCATGCGTTCCGAGAAGCAGCCTGTTGTGATCAAAACAACATGCCTGTGAGAAAAGTTCAGTATGGGAGGGGAAGGACGCGTCAGCAGTGAAGGGGCGTGCCGGATATTCAGGTGTAGTATAGTGGTGTTCAGGGCATTCAGGTGAATGGGCTGAATGGGCTGAATGGACTGAAGACTAGGGCGGCAAGAGGGTATTTCCGAACGAATCAAAAAAAAACGGGTGAACACCGACATACAACAGTGAGGATTCGCTGGTGGTCACCCACCCAACTACTAACTCACCGGCGTGTGGCTTAAGTACGGCTGAGCGGACGGGAAGCCCTGTTTTCCACACCCTATGGTCGTATGTGCTTGATATACCGCTTGAGAGGATTATCTAGTAAAACCAGATGGTGAATGCGCAATAGACAAGCGAAGAATCACCACCAAGTGAGATTGTTATTAGTATCAAATACCGGAGCCATATACCCCGGTCGGTTACAGTACTAAAAACCCCCGGATCGGATACAAGGTAATTTTACCTTGGATCTCCACAAACGTCAGTTCCATACAACCGATCAAAGTGCATTATTGACTAGTGATTTTGTCTATTTATACTAGCGCGTTTATCCTGATTTATTGCTAGTCAGAGAGTTCCAACATACTCAGTTCATATCATACATTTTCATACAGTCAGATTTCTGTCACTTAGCATAAATTACCCTCACCCCTCTATCACCGCTTATATACAACTGCCACTAGCAATTAACTTCTAGTAGAGTGGATGAACAGATCAAGGCTGCACCTGGTTTTGCGCCATCGGAGTTACCTAGCTCGGGTACAACACTGCGCAAAGATGCTCCATACACAGTTTGGCTTCGTTCTCACAGATGACGAATTGGTACGGGAATTCCTGCGCGAAGAAGAACTGGTTTTATGATCCAACGTAGGCTAAGGTCATCAACAAGACCCCTACTGCACCCTGGTCAGAGGGAATCGCACCATCGTAAGTGTCTATCCTCTTGGACAGGAGTGACCTTTGGCAGAATTACACGCTCCAGTAGAGTTTCACCAACAAATTATTCATACTCATACCCTTTATAGTGCAGCTGCGCTTACAGCCTTTACGCGAGCACAACCCATATGACATAGATAAACTCATTCATATTGGTTTACTTTCGAAGACTGTAATGACCGATCTAACTACATGACCTTACTTCAATCCCTATAAGTGTGTACCCGATTGTGTTATAGGAAAGCCCGACCTCTGCATAGTTTGAAGCACGATAATCTATAGAACGCCCAATCAGCTTTGCCTCCTTGGATACTGGTATAACTGAATAGATTACCTTTTCTTGGGAACTAAAGCAATCCTTTCCACAATGGTGTTCACCAAGAATAGCAAGTCTTTCCACAATGGCATTCACCAGTTTGCTTATTGCAGGTTCCATACTGATCGGGGCAGCACTGTTTCGGGTTTTTGGCGGCGCAGTTCTTCACGGTAGTACATGCGTTTTTGTCTAGCTCTGCGGGCGCCGCGGCCGCAAACATAGCAAGCGAGAGGACAAGAGCGATTGGGGCAGAGATAAACTTCATTTTGATAGAGCGTTCGGTGTGAATATTGGATTGGATTGGATTGAGTGGGTTGAGATTAAAACAGAATCCTGTAGCAGGACATATGGCTATATTTATACATTTTGTAAACACTCACAATTCTCCCTAAAAGCTGTATATCACACCGGTGCTATTCCTAAATCTGACACAACATTAGAGAGGCAACTATGCAGGAGACTGGAGTCTCCAGATGCATGATCAGCATTAACACTCCAATACATTAGTGGCATAGCATTCTAAAAGTGGTGTCGAATCATGTCGTAGGCTTGGAATTATTCTATTTTCTCCGGCTATTATTAATAGGAGATTTATGCGGATCATTTAAATCCGGCCGTATGAAGTGCTTATGGTGAGGCTATCAGAGGACGAGCTCTCTGCTATTGGTGGAGACAGTGTCGATCCTTTGTTGAGCCCCTTGCATCACCCTATTTGCCTAACCACGAGCATACCCCGGGGCCCTATAATTCATTTAGATTTGTCAAAGCCAGCCTTCCCTACCACCCCAAAACTTAATAATGGAGACCCTATTTTCCTATAAGAGTACTAATCCCATAGTGTTTGAACAAAATCATGGGGTTCATCTAGTCAAATTCAATTCAATCAGACAGATATGTGATAGCTAGGCTAGGTTTAAAATGTCAAGACAGTATTGGATAGCAAGTAATGGTAATGGTAGCTAATTACCCCTAACAATGGTATCTAGCTAGAAAGGGGCCAAAAATGCCCACGAGTCCAAGTCAGAAGATTAAAGATCCATGTTATTTGCTAGTGTATTACCTTCCCTGGATAGTACTAAGAGAGCATAACTAAAAGTATGAGACAATTCATTAACAACATACATCTGATCTTCATCAAAGTCTTTTGAGACCTCTTTTGAGCCCTCTATCTAGCTCAAGGGATAGTACCAACATAGACATGTATTGAATACAAATATGACAAGGACCTTCTTTTGGGTAGGAGGTATCGTTTTCCCCTACATATCTCAAGGCGCTCACCCTCGGCATGTCGATCTACCGTTTGGACCCGCCCCATCAATGCATGCAACCCCAGATTTTGCTTACGTATGGACCACAGCTTACCTCGGTAGCTCAATGGCCTATCTAATAGGATAGCTTGCGCAATTATTGATGTAAACTAGAGGTTCAGGTGTAGAAAGAAACGAGAAAGTTGTGTCGGATACAAAGGGTTTCAGACTACATGCTCTATTGTGACGACTATCACTTGACCGCTAAGTGTACGAACGACCCGATGCCGGTCAAATCCCAACGAACATTAAATGACCCAACCAATCATATCCCCAGGGCCGCATACGTGTCGATAGAGAAAGCTTGGTTGGTCAATACATGATCAGGCCGGGACCCGTAGACTGGGGCCGTTTTGCTCTTCAAGGTTGGATTTTCCGGGATTGTCCTCTTTTCTATACAACATTATGCTGCTCCTACACCTTCTTCTAAAATATCTTCTAAATAAGTGGTCGCTATGTCATAATTAATAGTATTAGCACGAAATCAAAACAATAGAAGCGAAATGAACTCATTCTGCTATAAATCTTGCAGAGTGTGAAGCAGTTGAACCCGCCACTTTAATATTAGCAGATGAGACCAGTGCCAGGTTAATGATAGTTGTAATGGCGAGAATAGAGAAATGCAGGGTAACGTTGTCAGTGTGATAAGGAGTTAAATTTCTAGTCGGAATTGATCTTTAAGGGTTGGATAAAGTGATGATTATCTCTTAGGCTACACCGGATGTGAAGTTCCTATCATTTTTATTGTTCCTTCGACTGTATATGCACCATGTAGATGTTTGCCTAAGTCACTCCCTTTCGTTATTAGGGGCTCCGCCCCTATGACTTAGGCTTATGTGTATGATCTCCATTATACAGGGATATTCCTCACGAATGTTCACTTGTATTCCAAAGATGCCAGGACTGATCTACGTAGAGACTCTGCTGTTCAAGCAAAAACCTACAACCTCTGAGATATTTCCTTTTCGGCTCAAAGGCATTATAGTGTCAAGGGATCCAATTGCTGCGATGTAACGTCAAATTTGCGAACCAGCGAGGAATATTTTTGGGGTATTTGGCATCCCACCCTTCGGACCCGCAAGGTATTTCGTTCTATTTCGGAAATAATTAAGATCTAATTCTTAACCCACCGGAGTGATGAACCCAATGTGCATCCAAATTTCCCTTCTACATCATCCCTCCAACTCTCCCAAAGAAGATATGAACAAGCTTTTCAAATCAACTCCTCAAATTTGAAGGTTCTTTATATAACCTAGGTTCGGGATTTATGATGCAGGTTATGGATGAGACCAAGGGAAGGCTCTTGGAAGTGTGGTTGGGGGGAAGGAGGAAAAACCTCCAAGTGGCGATCACCAAGCGGTCCGGTTTTTCCTGCCTAGACCACGATGTTGTTTGGCTCCTTTGACAAACCACAAACTCCACGGCAGACGATTATAAAATATGGCTATAAACTTGTAAAGAACTCATTGTAGCTGGGAATTGGTCCAAAGAGAGTTGATAATTGAAAAAAGCCCATGAAACAGACTATTGTAGTATATCGCCCCAAATCCTCCATCAAGCCGAAGTGGAACTTGCTATTGCCAGCCTAAAACCAGAGAAAGGGAAGTAGACAATGGAGGAATCTACTGTGTGATTGTCAGAAAAGACAATACACACTAGGGCTGTTTCCATGAATCGACAAACAATCGGGGTTTAAAGGGTATGACCTACGAATTCATCGGTTTTTATTGGAATATTACATCATTCCCTGCCATTTTATGCCATTTACAACGACGGGGATAATATTATGAGAACACTTCGAAGACAACTTTAAGGACATTGCGAGAATATAGCGAGGACACGATAAAGACACTTGTTCGAGGACACGACGAGGATACTATTGGTACACGACGAGGCCATTTTCTCGAGGAAACTAAGCCGATATAGGTTGGTAATAAGTCTTTAAATCATTAAGGATTGAAAAGGAATGGATGAAACTGGGGAACAGCTTTATAATAAATCATCCTCTTATTAGCCTTCGCCTGTCCATCGAGACAGGCGGCTAAGTTTAGGGCGATAGGCCCCCTAGCATTACCCTCCACTGTACCGTGATAGCCGAGGGCTCGATAATGTGTTAGTGCGTTTAGGGAGAGGAATAAGATCCCCAGGTGACGGGCCTCGGGGTACACATGCTCAGGTGCCCATGTACCTTGCCTAGGCTGGCTAGATAGTTTGGGGGTGTTGGTAAGAGTAAGGCTTGTATAGACAGGTATATAGGCACATTAGAATGTGAGAATGAAGATGAATTGTGGAAGAAACTAGAACCCGGGACTATGGAAATTTCACAGATATCCATGGATATGTTGTGATAAGACCACAGTTTCAATTTGTAAGATTCCGGATGCCTGTTCAAGCCGCTTCTTGTTTCTACAACATCTTTCAAGCAATGATATCATTAAACTACAATACTACAATGTATCCAATGAAATATAACCCACAAATATTAAATTATGATGTGATTTAATCTGTTATAACCTAGAAGTTTTGTACATATAGTTTAAATACAGTGATAGATGACATCTCTGTTCCCAATTGTGCCTAGAAAGCACCAGTCACGGGAGCACCCTCAAGCTTGAAGTAACCAGGCTGGAGAGTCTGGTAAACTCCCCTGGGGTCGTAAATCTTGGCAATCTCCTTCAGCCGATTCTTGTTGGCAGTACCATATCCACTGATGGGATCCTGGAACATGCCAGCATAGTTCATATAGACGTATTGATTGAAGAGGCCACGAACCTTGGCCTCAGCAATGACCTGCTCAATGAAGCTGTTGACAAACGCGTAGACAATCTGGTCGTCAGATGTCTCAGTCCACCAGAAGGAAATATGCAAAATGTGAACAGGGCTAGTGGAGCCGGCGAGTCCGAGAGGGTTGCCGCCGAAGTTCTTCATGTTCTGCAACATGGGCTCGGTGACAGCCTGGTAGATCAGCACGGGCTGGCCGCCAGCAACATTGTCCATCTGGGGGCGCATTGAGAAAAAGAGCTCAACCACCCAGTTGGCGAATTTCTCGTCGAGAGCTGCGCTAATGGGCCAGTACACCTCGCGCAAGTGGAAGGGGTTCTCGGTCTCGAGGTACTTGACGTACTCAACCAGGGTCTTGGCGCTGGATGTATCTGAAATGGCCGGAATGCTTCTGTATTGCTTGTAGATCTCGGGGTTGGAGTCGTTCTTTACGTAGGTCAGCTCGGCAGTGGCAAGGTTCATTCCTTGGTTCGAGAGGAAGGCGACGAATTGCTGGGCCTTGGGGTCAACGGTGGCATTGTTGATCACGTTGACCCAAGCGTTGATAACATCAGGGAATTCAGTCTCGAGGAAAATTCTGGCACCACCGTACAATACTGGGGAGGGGATCGTGTACAGATTGTACTTGGTGACAAGACCGAAGTTGTTACCGCCACCGCGCAGAGCCCAGTAGAGGTCAGGGTAGGAAGTTGCACTCGCAGTCACAATCAAACCACTAGCGGTGACAACCTACATGGGAATTGTTAGTATTCATTTTCTGGAGGGTCTGGCAGGTGTGGAATCTCACCTCGAAGCTCTCGACATTGTCACAAGCCCATCCGTGCAGGTTGGAGTGGTAGGAGATTCCACCACCCAGAACGAAACCACCAACACCAATGCTAGAGGCACGACCTCCAATAACAGCCAAACCATAGGGCTCAAGGAAAGAGTAGGTAGAGAGCCAGTTATTTCCAGGACCAATAGAAGCGACCGTCTTGTCCTCGTTAAGGGTAATGGTGTCCATATCCTTGAACCAAATGCTGACTCCACCAGGGGCGCTGGAAGCGCCGGTAAAGGCAGCATGACCACCACTACGAGCAGCAAACTCGCAACCAGTCAAACGGGAAATCAAAACTGCAGTGCTGACCTCCGTGTTCTTGGTAGGACGGAAAACGCAGTGAGGCTGGACCTCTTCTTGCTGCACGGACCAGAAAGAGCCAGTGAAGTTGTTGTACCCTTCAGACTTCTGGGCAGACACTTTGGAGCCAAAAAGGAGGCTCAAGCTTGCGCACTAGAATCTGGAATCAGCAATTGCTCAAAGTGCGGTTTTGCTATTGACGCCAATTTTTCACTTACAGTAGCTGCACAGGCCTTCTCGGTTGACCGTGCCTGAAGGTCGGTATATGACTCTAATGCAGGGATTTTCGACACATCTACGCCGAAATTCTCCAATGCGGCGGTGACGTTGAAATTCTCGGCTTCAATAACTGGGTTGGTTACAGCGGCGTGGGCCAGGGTCAGCCCGCCAACCGCGGATAACCCGCCAATGATGGTGGAGAAATGCATGATCCAAAAGCTAGATAAGCAACCAAAACACAGCAAACAACTGCGAGGTCTGGACAAATGCAGAGACTTGAGGAGGAAGAAAAAAAGGGATTTAAGAGGAGGAAATTTACAGTCTTTTAGCTTGTTCCGAGGTTAGCTGATCAAAGGCTCTAGTCCGATGAGGTTCCAAGGATAGTCCCTGGTGTCGGTTGTTAGTTGTAATTAAGGGGGGTCATATAATCGTAGTATATTATGGTATTGACTGAATTCCAGGCCCTGGAGGTGGTATTCGCTTTCGTAAACGCGTAAAACAATTTCGCTTCCAAATATAAGCGAAGCGGCGCAGCCCGAAATTATTAAGCTAGCCCTTTAGTCATAACAATGGACTTGTAGTATTACCTCCCAGACTCGGCGGCCCCAGCGCTTGTTGCCTTCTCCTCCATCTTATTCTCGGATAAAGTTATTCCTTTCGCCTACAAACTCTCTTTTTTCTTCGAGTCGCAAACCAGACATAAGCTTGAAAAAGGGGGAATATTATGAATTTCCTAAACGAGCACGCTAATGCAGAACGCCACGCAGTAGCCGATGCTCCGGAGGTCCGTGGCTTATGCAGGTGTCGGTTTAGTCTGAGACAAGACGCCAAAACTCAATTGGCATTACTACCCAGCCTTCCTCCGGCATTCATCAAAACTGCCGTCGCTTTTGTTCATTTTTGGGGGGGGTTTTTCCTTTAAAGATATTCCAGATACTATTTTCTTGATATTATGCTGGATCATGTCCTGAGCCCTAAATAGCCCTAAATATAGATTATCTTTCCAAGATCTCTCCATCCATGGATGTACGCCCCGGCCCGTCATCGGCGCCCGTGGCACATTGTAATCAAAACCGTGGAAGAGCCGGGGGCGGACGGACGGCTCGTTTACCCCACCGATACTATATATTTCTTCAGCGATTGGTCCAGGATTGGTGGGGGCATGTATCTTCAATAATTCCTGCAGTAACATTCAAAACGAATGAGTAGATTGCCCCTCGTTGGAGTTTTACAATCCTTGCATACCTTAAAACAATGAGCATAGTGGTGGCAGCAAGTTCCCAATCTGCGAAACTTAAACTAAAGATAATGCATTGCCATGTGGTAGAAATTCTGGTAAAATAGCTTTATATAGATGACAGTGGCCCCACGCGACTCCTGGTGCCTTACTAAAATCCAGTCTCACAAGAAGGGATGGGAGAGGCTACGGGCACCTTTGGGCATAGTACCATCAAAGGTACTGGCATTGGCTTGATTGTACTCACCTCGCTAGTTATAGTCATTCGTTTTGCTGGGTCCATTCGAAGTTTCAAGGACCTCAAGGCTGAGGACTACCTTCTGATTGTGGCGTACATATTCTTCTTGGAACTGAGCATTCTCTACATCTACATTTCCCCTGTCATCTTGCGGTTAGCAGATGTCGGTGCCGGGAGGATTGCCCCTTATGCCACCATCTCGGACGACGGACTCAAATTACAGACCGTCTTCTTCGTTACGACGTCTTCGCTATGGATTTGCTTGTGGATGATCAAGTTTTCGCTCTTGACGATGTATAAGCGGTTGCTAGTTGGGAAAAAATACATCATCGCCTGGTGGGTTATTATGGGATCTTGTGTCCTGGTATGGATTTCTAGCCCGAGTTCGAGTCTTCAAATAACTGACGAAATGATTCTCAGTTTATTATAGGCTGTATTATCTCGTCATGGCTCTCATGCACCAGCTTCCATGCCTGGTTTACTGCAGGGCAATGCGGCACCGATCGCGACCACCGGGCAGCTGTCATCAGCTTATACTACGCATATGCTGTAGATATAATCACTGACCTAGCGAGTACGTTTTTTCCCCCTGTTCCTAGAAGATCACGGATCTAAAACCCCATCAAGTCATGATTCTCCCCATCCGCCTTATCTGGAACCTGCAGATGAAACCCCGACAGAAGCTCAGCATTGGCGGACTATTCTGCTTTGGCTGGGTTTGCATTATTATATCCACCATCCGTGTCGTGCAGCTGGGTGAGACTGAAAACGGTGTCCCCCCTCCATCGTGGCTAGCGGTATGGGGAACCATCGAGGCGTCGATCGGTATGCTTTATTTCCCGCTATCTCATTTGCATATTGAACCATTTTACTCACTGCCATTCTCTTAGCCGTCATGATCGGTTGTTGCCCCGGCCTCTATCGCGTAATTAAAACCGCCATCTCGCCCTCCAAGACATCCTACCCGTACGACTCATACAACTTACGGGGGCGTGGAGGCAGTGGTATGCCTTCACACCGCTCGGGCGCGTACAGGGGAGATATTGCATTGAATAGTTTTAGGGGGAAAGGGGAGTCATATCAGTCCGCCAGTGCATACCGTTCTACCAGTCCGTCAAGCAGCCAGGAGAAATTGGCGCATCCAAGCGACAGGGGGAATATCATGGTTAACTATGGAGTTGCCGTGACGATAGAGGATCGGCCAAGTGATTTTGGCCGGACGGCACATTTTGCGTAGCAAGACAAATTTATTTCCATTAACGTCTACATAGAATTTAATAAACCCATCATGAAAATGGGTGATAACGTTTAATCCACGAGAGTTACAAAACTTGGTCGTGCCGGGTAGAGCAGATACAAATTGCATGATCTCAAGGCATGGTCACATTATGATGAGCTGTTGGAGGTCGATTATGCCGTCAAAGCCAAGATAGGCTACTTCTGTTGAGCAAGCATGAAGAGAAGTTCGATGTTGTCAAACGAGCTAGCCAAGGGTCTACCTCTGCTTTCGCCCCCTTTCGATAGTTCTACACTCATTACAATACACATATAGTACCTTCATGATCTCATATATTAGATCGTAGCTCCTAACAAAAAGAGGCGTCGAGAAAGAATCTTTAATAGTAAATCGTGAAATTTATTTCGATCCTTTCTGTAATAAAGTATCTCCGGTAAGTAGCGACCAAATAGTAAGACATCAAGGGAAACACTAGGAGCAGTTGCATTGGCCTCGGCTTTTGCTCAATGTCCGAGTCTACAAGCAAGTAGATAGGCATTTGCCCGTCAAATTACTAGGTCACCAGCTGGTGGTTTATTAAAATGGTAGTTCAATATATATCTCCCTATCCAAAATGGTAATTCCATCCCTTTTCTCGTTTCGTCTCTTTCCACTGGTCGTATTTAGTTCAAAATTTATACATACGTATTGAAGAGGGGGATATGATAAAAATCCGACTGTATGAAAAGTATGATTAAATTCCTCACTATGAAACTCTCCGAGGAACAAAACAGGATAAATACACGAAGATAAATAGACCACATGACTAAACAATATATGCACTTATGTGTGTGTTTTCTGGACCCTCGCTCGGTCTGTGAATATTCCGGGTAATTTACCTTGTATCCAATCGGATATTTGGACTTAATATTTAACACCTTGAGCCCTCGGAAGTCTTTCAATCGATGATTAATGTATACAGTGGTTAAAGTAGATGTGATCGGACTGCGCGGAGCATACCCATAACGAAATCAATGTTAGATAAAGAGGAAGCGACTTAGTTCATAACTGTACAAAATACAGATTATGTTCCCATCTCTCTAATATAAAGAGGCATGGACCTGTTAATACTGGTTACTAGTCAACTCGCTGAGTAACTCCTGGAGGCTACATGGTGAGTGAGTTTTCAATTTGTCGCTTCTAACGTGCAAGGTTACTACGTGCAAGGTCGCTGCCATCATTGAGAAGCTTTGGACTTTTGGTCAGCTTGATTTGTTTCTCTTCTGGGAGTTTTGTTCCCTAGGTCTTCTTTATCTGTTGTTTTATAGGGTGCTGCTGTGTATTGTGATCTTACGTTTGAGCCCATTCTCTAACTGATTGTTATCGACGTTATCTCTGGGAAATAACACTGCGGCTGCTCTCTACCCCGGCATTATCTTCTTCTGAATCTGCTATTTTAGCGAATCAACTTTTTCTGCGTTCGGGTCCGATTCGGTTCGGTTCGGTTCGGTCGGTCTGGCTTTCGGGGGTCTCGGTGACGTTGGACGTAAAAAGAAACGGAGGAAAACTGGAATCTTGCTTAAACTAAGTAAGGTGTAAAGATCCGGTTTCTCGACGCTTTCGACGAGATAAACGTTTTTGTTGTGTAGAAGAGTGGAGTATATAGGTGTCGCGGGACGGGCCGTTGCGATAACCCACTCTATAAACCCATGAATTAATAGCCAAGTTTTACTATATTTAGAAGTGCGATAGCGGCAACATTGTTACAAGGTTGGTTAGTCTCACCCCAGGCTCTCAAGAATCGTCAGGATCTGTGCCTGGTTCATGAGCTGCTCGAATTCTGAAGAATAAGTCATTTCAATTAAATTGCTAGCAGTCGATGTCGGGTTTCTAGTGACAGGAAGTTGTTTTAGCTAGAAACCTGATTGCCCAGCGGGGCTGACTAGTAATAGGCATCGGCCGATTCCCGCCTCTCTATCATAGTACTACAACTACGTATGTAGTATAGGAGGAGGCTTAAGTGGCCGCTTAATCAACCCGCGGGGTAACTCAGCTTAGAATAGCCGATCAAGGGGATTGGCAAGGAAAAAAAACACAAAAAACAAAACCAAAAGGGACCAAATATGCGTATACATCATATTATTAAGCCCAGCGTTGGATAGAGACTTTTGGAGCATTTGTGTGTCTATCACTGATTTCCGTGCGTCGTTCGTTTCCGGATACCCTCTTTTCTTTTGCTAGCTGCTTGCCAATATTCTAACCGACATGCAGAAGATCATCAACATGAAACAAATGGAGCAAATGGGCGTGCCATGTAGGCAATTAAGTTAGGATCCTGCAGGTGTTACTTTTAGGTTTGTATAGTCGACGCGCTGCGCATCGCACTCAAGGGCGCTCAGTGGCCGCGTATGGGCGCCTAGCTTATCTAACATTCCAAGAGGGTGCGCGACCTGATTCGCGAGCTTGACCATCATCTCTTTAGCCTCGAGAGCGATGCTCCGGATTGGTCCCTTGAAGCCGAGCTGCTTGCCGACGCTTCTTACCCCCGCGTTCACGAGGCATCTTTCTCGAAGCCTCTTTATACGGCAGTCCAGCTCCTGGTCGTTCATCGGGGCCATATCAGCTAAGCTGGTATTCCACCGAAAAATTCCCAAACGCAACATGCCGAACTCCACACTCTGCACGGATGCCCTAGACTGGATCCTGCGGTAATTCGGTTTCAAAATACTAGGTTTTAATGGTGAGTGGTACATCTGTAGAGGAACGGAGTTGGAACAAACCTTTTGCCATTGCCATGCGGGGTTCGGATCCATCATCATGGCTGGGCCTATGAACATTTGACTGGACCCTATGAAGGGGAATCCATAAGAAAAATTCTCCCTTAGACCGTTGTCATTGAGCCCTTCGGCGGGAAAGGACATAGGCAGAGCTGTGAAATTGTAAGCAGGGACACGGGGAGAAAGTAGGACGGCCGACTGACCTGGATTTAGGGCGAAGTTATTGTTCATACCCTGGCCATCTTCGCCCATATCAGAATCGCCTGATTGTCGAGCAAGAACAATGCTGAGAGTGTCTGCTGCCGTCTTCGCTTCCGCTGACGCATTCCTTGACCTCATCCAGATACTATGCGCCCTTGCTAAGGCTGCTATGATTTGATCCAAGTTGTGACCCTCAGTCAGAGCATCTGGCTGTCGTGCGAGAAAGCACAGCAGCATCGTGGCTGTCAGAAACTCATGCTTCATGAAGGAGGAAGCCCTCCACCGTATTGTATAAAGCTGGCCATCTGGACCGGTTTCCTCGTCGCAAATGTGCTGGATTTCCAAAATACCCAAGGCTGCCTTTATGCAAGAGGTACGCGAGTAGGAGTATGAAGTGTGACTTTCGGAAACCGTGGCTGGGTCCCGGCTTAGGTACTTGCAGTGTAGCATAATCTGACCCTTGTGAAACATCAGTCTGAGGAAGAGACGATGCATAATCACCTGCGGGGGATCAGTCACCGCCCCGGTCATGGCCTTCATGCGGAGGTAGGCAGGGATCGTAGTCTCCGCATCATTCAGAATCCGATCTAGTCGCATTACCTCGTCGTAGGTCACTGGTCGCACCGACGCGGTGAAATCAACGATCACACCCAAGGCGGCAAAGATACGTCGTCGAGCAACCAGGTGCGAAACAGTGGTGGTCTCTGTCTCTGGCCTTGACATGGGAAGCTCGGAGCAATCCTCGTCGAAGTCCGAGTCATTCAGATTACGAGGCTCTACTGTGTCACATTGCCAATCCTTAATCATGCGTGGCATACCCATTTGGGTGGAGATCAGGATATCTCCCTGCAGAATGGTGGCCCAGGCCCGCCGTCTCATCTCTCCTGCAAATGGGGAGATGCCTGGCAAGTGTGACGGATCCCGGTGATAGCCCATGCGCAGGGCTATATTGACTGAGATTCCCGAAAGGATCCAGATGTCCTGGTCAGCATCCTTGCGGATAGAATACTCGATGGTCAAGTAGTGATATAGAGTTTCAAACACGTAACGCCCGGATTTGGTGTACTCGCCTAGAATGAGGCACTGTACTATTTTTTCGCGGTATGTATCCACCAACGGATTTCGGAATCCCGGAGATGAGCTGGAGTCTGCTGAACTAGAAGCCAGCACTGCGAGGCATATCATAGAAAAGAGGAGACCAAGCCACATGACCGAGGTCTGGGATGGATTCTCCCAGAACCGTTCATACTGCAATTGTTATTGTTAACACCATAGTCTACTCCTCCTTCGGCAAAGTCGCTCGCATACCTCTCGTAAAAACTGACCGCTGTGTAGACAGGCTGAAGAGTACGATGCCTTGTATTAGCCGAGGTTCGGATATTGTAGATCATGGGCTTACATGACGCCAGGTCCAACCGATTAAAGTACTGGGAAATATAACGATCGACGGCGGGTCGATAGGGCAGAGCTGCTAAGATATCTTCTTTACTCGCTGATTTACAACCATACAGTAGGAAAGTATGCAGCATAGCAGGCTTTTCCATGCTCCCGTGGTCTTCCCGTTCAAGTTGCTCCTTGAGGTCGGCGATCCCATCCAGGATGGCAGCCCAATGGGTTCCCCCGACGTACTGGGCGTCTGAAGAGCTAAACCATACATTCCCACCCTCGGACTGAGCTGGAGAGTCTTCAGAATTGGTGGCCCCTTCCCGTGAGCCCTCTTCAGGGAGATCTTGAGGAATCGGCGCGACTGAATCCTGGTCCGGCCGGTCTTGGCCACCAGAGGTGGTCTTCTGCATCAGCGAAACAACAATCTGCTCCAACTGGCCTAAACGGTCGTGAACGGTTGCTCGGGGGCGACTCCTGTCGGTCTCATACGGCCCGGGCGGCCGTCGGCGTGGGGCTGGGGTTTGATTGCTAGGATAGGCACACGAAAGCGCCAATCCACGAGCGGTACATGTCGCACAGGGCTCCTTGCGATCGCATCGGAGCCTATCGGAGAATTTAGCTAGGTTTCATTCGGAAAGTTGAGAATTTTTGGTACTTACTTTCTTCGACGACATAGATTACAGGAGAGCTGGGGTTTGCTCCGACGATTGATGGAAGCTGGTTGGAGGCTGGGATCGTTTGTGGGCGGATGATCCATCGTGGCTGTTAGGGATATGTAGGTGCGCGTTTTCCAGCTATGGACTGTGTGATAATATGGGATATACTAGGTCAGAGCACTTGTCTGGCAGACAGGTTATGTAGACTAGACGAGGGTCTCCATGTTTTCCGTCATGCATGGGGTGGGGTGGGGTATGCTTTCGCTGTAGAGCACGCTTATATAGTCATATAGAGAGTGGAAACATAGGCAGAAGCAATAGATATAGCTTTTAGATGCAGTGAACGTGTATTAGTACGAAGAATGGTGGTAGATGGAGGTGTAGTTGGATTGTCTGATGGTGATGGATCGGAAGTAAACGCTCATCCGCTATGCTCTAACCTGATCAGGTAAGGCGCGAGGTGATTAACAGCTCTCTACCCAATCGGATGAACATGTTCCTCCGTGTATTCATCCGCTCCAACTTCTCCTTCAATTCCTCCATCCATTATTCCTCCATCTTTTGATTCACATACGACTCCCTAATATCCGTCTATTTGTCCGCTCCGTTCCTGGTCAGGCTATTATTAGAGCAACCAAGCTGACCAGCCATGCACCCTCCGAACCGTGATCCTGGCTTCAAGCCAATCGGCTCGGCCATTACAACACGGAGGAAACAACGTGTAGTTAACTCCCTCTGTGGACATTTATCCGGAAGAAACCTCATGATCCATCTCCATTAGCGACCAGCAGGGGCATTCTCCATTAGTACAAAGGCACAAATCCCGTCCTTAGACCACAATTCCTTTTTGTTTCCTTCACCTATCGAGTACAGCTCGCAGAATTATGATGAAGCTCTTTAGCAATGACGAGACCAAAGTCAACCTTTCGACAGACGAGGAGGTGGCCAAGCTGCCAACGCATAAACTTGAGGACGATATGGTCGACTGGGACGGCCCAGATGACCCCATGAACCCTCTCAACTGGTCTGGCACCAAGAGTTTTGGTCATGTAGTGATTGTGGCCGTCTTGTCGATGGTTGTGTAAGTGAACCCCCACGGGAGATAAAGTAACTGGTCATACTAACCTAAGCTACCAGCAACATCGCCTCGACCATCGTCGCTCCGGCGATGGAAGGCGTCTCCCAGGACCTGGAGATCACTAACATGACCCTGGGAACTTTGGCCGTCAGTATCTATCTGCTGGGATTTTCATTGGGCCCTCTTGTCATCTCTTCGCTCTCCGAGATGTACGGACGTCTCATCGTCTACCACATATGCAATTTCATCTTTGTTCTTTTCGTTGTGGCCTGCGCTATGAGTAAGACTTCCGCTCAATTTATGGTCTTCCGGTTTATCACTGGTTGCGCGGGAGCGGCGCCACTGTCTCTTGGCGGTGGAACGATTGCCGATGTCATCCCGATTGAGAAGCGTGGTGCGGCAGCGGCCTTGTTTGGCCTAGGCCCCCTTCTGGGACCGGTATGTAACTTCAAGCCACTACCTAGTTGATTCGACTATACTAACTGGTCTAGGTTCTGGGACCGGTGATAGGGGGCTTTGTTGCTGAAGAAAAGGACTGGCGATGGACCTTTTGGGTGGTCGCGATGCTCGTATGTGGTCTTGCTCTCGGCTGATATCCATAATTCTAACACTATGGCAGGGGGCAGCAGCGGGTATCGGTGCGTTTATCTTCATGCGTGAAACACATCCCAACAGCCTATTGCAACGCAAGGCCGCATCCTTGCGACGTGCAACCGGGAACCTGCATCTCCGATCGAAGCTTGACCGCGGCCTCACAAAGCAGCAGATCATTATCGCCGCCCTCATACGCCCTACCAAACTCTTGATATTCTCGCCGATCGTCCTCGTTTTATCCATCTACGTGGCTCTTATCTTCGGCGTTCTATACCTCCTCTTTGCCACCTTTAGCTTGGTCTTCGAGGGCCAGTATGGATTCAGCACCGGCATTTCTGGTCTGGCCTACCTGGGACTAGGGCTTGGTGAATTGTTGGGGTTAATCACGTTTGGCATCTTGAGCGATTGGCTGTTGAAGGCGAGAATGGCAGCGGACAATGTCCAGGAGTCTAAGCCCGAGTACCGACTGGTCATGATGATGTGGTTCCCGCCGGTTATTGGACCTGGGCTGTTTATTTACGGTTGGTCAGCATATTATCAGGTACATTGGATGGTTCCAATCTTCGGGACGTTCATTGTTGGGTTTGGAGCCTTCTTTGTGATAATGCCCTCCCAGCTGTACCTGGTGGACCTGTTCGGGTCGGAAGCGGCGGCATCTGCACTGGGCGCCAATATTCTCCTCCGCTCGATGTTCGGGGCCTTCTTGCCTCTTGCTGGGTCGCATATGTATTCGACGCTCAACTACGGATGGGGTAATACGCTGTTGGGAATCCTAGCATTGGCATTTGCGCCCGTGCCGATTTTGTTCTATCGCTATGGAGAATGGCTGCGGAATCGGACAACCGTCACGCTGTGAATGTCCCGCAAGAAGTTTATAACTAATTGTCAAATGCCGAGTACAACGACAAGTGAGATACAGAAAAAATATTCACCCGATCGAACTTCGGACTATTGTTGGACCTCAAACCCAACAAACCACCTTTATCCTGCATGTATGGACTAGGAACTTGTCTATGTAAACACGCGCGTTTTATCCTGTTTTATTGCTAGTCAGAGAGTTTATCATACTGAATTCCATCACACTTTCTGATACAGTCAGATTTCTGTCACTAATTATTATTTCTAGATACGGCTAGACTGTTAATAACACAATTTGCTTTTCTAACATGAAATCATTATTCATTATCGGATGGAGCAGATAAGAAATACATAACCTGGTCAATACTGCCACTCCGAGTGGAGTACGAGACCTGATTCCTCTCGGAACCCTTCGTTGTCAAGGCTCTACGCAATATCAGGTCACCTACGTTTACACGTGGCCTGTACTCCCTGTCAGCTAAATACCACGCTTCCATTGGTTATACGTGAGCCGGTGGTTGTGTGAGGTATTTTGTTTCGCCTATCGGAACAACGTATCTGCCATTGGATTTGGTATCCACTCTACAGGGCTCTATTATGCCAATTGATGCTATTAAAGGGTAATTCTTTTACCACTAAGCCGACCACAGTTGAAACCTGTACAATTTTTATGAGTATGTACTCAATTGATCCGCCTGGGAAGTATTTGTTGCTTAAAAAGATAACGAACCACACTTTCTTTGGTTCGAAAAAGTTCGAAATGTCTATAAAAAAAGTATAGATAAGGCAATATGCGAGAAGACTTCGAGAACCGTATTTGCACCTTTTGTAGTCTGGAAAGCGTTTGATTGGCCAAGCGATGACTCCCTACAACATGTTGGTTTACGTTTTCTTCCCTTTCCCTTCTCTTCTTCCTTCCTCAGCTTTAGTGTTCTCGTCGAATGACACATCCCTGTGATTTGATCTGCCTTGTCACAAGTAGGAAACCGTCATATACAAGCTCTAACGGCACACAACCAGCCCTCAAAAAATACTGCCCCTCCAATTACCAGGAGATTGACCCACTAGTCCACCAATCCCTCGACAGCTCCTCTTTCAGGTTCTGAACACCAAGAATAAAATGTCCCGTCTCGATTCTGAAGGTCTCTTGACCGAATTTCCTCCAATCCCGGAGGGCGAATTCGTGGTCTTCGGCACTGTCTACGCCTACCCGGAACATGCAGACGCCCTCGAAGCTGTCTACGCCGAGACGACTCGACTTGCACAATTCGAGCCAGGATCGGTCTATTATTGTATTGCCCGGGATAGAGATGACTTGAATATCTTCCATTTCTTTGAGCGCTATACGGGACGAAAAGCATTCGACGAGCACAATGCGCAGCCGATTATTCAGAAGTTGCTAGCCGATAAATACATCAGGGAGGTCAAAGCAAAGTTTGCTAAGGCTATTGAGCCAGCATCTAAGTGATTTCTACTCACTACTCAAGAGTCGCTACTGGTATCGGTGGAATTGGTCAATGGAGGAGATCGATAATAGGCCAAGGCGAGGCGGGCGTGACACGCACTTTTAGGTGCTGTACAGCCCAAGAATACCGCTTCAAAATACCTCACTTATTATGTAAGTATTGGACAGGATCCCATGGCAGTTACTCCACTGATATCTTATTTCTAACTGCGTCAGTGAATGCAAAGGCACTATCTCCAAACCTGCTACTGTATTGCTCTCTTGCTCCGCATACATAGAGTAACCGTAGTAGATGTTTACAGTGTTTTGACAGAGGGTATAGAAAGAATTCGTGTGTTAAACGGTTAAAACTATTTCGACCCTTCCTATACATACCGCTCGGATTCCAGCATCAATAGTATGTATACGAAAATGACTCTGTACGAGTAATCGTCCACGGTCAGGGATGCGTGCCGAAAGTGGCCTCTCGCACTTTCTTCTCTTGTCCCAACCTGATCAATATCTCTTGTCCCAACCTGATCAATACATCGTTCGAGAAAGGACCTAAATTCTCGGTCGGGATCATCTGCGTAGTAGCCCCAATTGCGTCTTAGGAAGTCTTTGAGTTCAGCAAAGAATTCTTCAATTGAATTCAGATCCAGCAAGTACGGAGGCAAATAAACTAGTTTCACTCCTGCATCGGCACACATCTGCGCAATCCGCTCAGAGTGGTGAAACGATACATTGTCCATGACCAAAACAGACTTCGGCACCGGCCATTCGCAATGACGAAGGAGCTCATCGATGGAAAGGCGTAGTAAAAGCGGCCAGGGACGGCACTAAACCCGAACGGGGGCCAGCCTGAGAGCGCCATGCCGAAAGGGGCAGGACGACGGTGCAATGCAAGCCGTTTCTGGCGCCCCGCTCACCGTGTCAACTTACCCTATAACTGAGGTCTTAGCCCAATTAGGCCAGTTGTCGTGATGGTCGCTAAAACCCCCCGTACAGGCCGCTAATGCTAGCGCTCAATAAAGTGCGCGTGCATCTGCCCCGCAGTAGAGAACCTCCAGGATATTTCTATTTTTTGAATGTAGCTACGGAAAGCCCTTCGGACGCCCATTAATATATTGTTTACAATTCTATCAGCGCTGAGATCGGGGAGAGTGTAGCCCTTCGTCCAGACTCGATTTAATCATTGTCAGTTATGTCCACTTCATCGTCAATACTCTTTCCCAGTCCAGGTTTACCTAACTCTCGCAGCATCCTGGGCAGCCTTCATAATGGCAGAACTCCCTACACGACTCAATGGCCTCCGTCCGACCATTGAAGAATTGATGCGCATTGGCGGAACTCCAGGGCTCTCGCTCGCAGTCATATCGAAGGGAGAACCGGTCTACGAGACAAGCTTGGGCGCCCGAGATGCAGAGGCCGGTCTACCTGTCACTAATGAAACGATCTTTCCTATTTGTTCGTTGACTAAGGGATTAAATGCTTCCGCGATGGCGATTCTTGTGGACGAGGGTAAACTCACCTGGGACACACTGGTCAAGGACGTTCTTCCATCGTTCAATTCCAGAGATGAGACGATGCAGAATCATTTAACTATTACGGATATCCTATCTCATCGATCAGGCATGGCCTGGGCCAGTAATTTGGTCATCGGGACCGAGAACAACATTCTCATTTCAGGAAAGGATGGACTCAAATACATCAATTCACAGCCGCGCCTTCTTCCGTTCCGGACAAGAATGTCCTATAACAATCTTACATATAACCTTGCTGGCTATGTCATCGAGGAAGTAAGTGGCGTTTCATGGTTTGAGTTTGTCCAGAGCCGCATTCTTGATCCTCTCGGCCTAGATCGAACCTATCTTAAGCCTCCACCATCGGGTATCACAAATGTCGCTCAGTGCTACAATGCACTTGACGATGGCTCTACCGTCCCAATTCCTGGCCCTAAGGCAGGCCAAGATTGGTATGCCGGACCAAGTGGTGGCGCGTGGTCTTGCGTTCGTGATCTTTCAAAGTTATACAAAACCTTCGCCGCTAGCTTTCAAGATCAATTCACCACTGGAAAGGGAGCGACCGAAGGTTCTCCCTTTAAACAGGTTCCGCATCTCACTTCCGCTAAAATTCCTATGGATCAACCCTCAAGGAATGAGCTATCATATGCACTCGGATGGGGTAGAGCCCAGCTTCCTAACCGGCTAGGTCAGATCGGAATCAATCCTGACCTGATGCCCGACGGGATGCCTCTTGCTGGGAAAGGCGTTCCTTCGCAGCTTCTTCTTTTCCACCAGGGTAGCCTTCCTGGCGCCCTCGCACTTGTGATTCTACTTCCAGACACTGATAATATTATCATTGTTTTGTCGAACTCGCTAGCCCTAAATGATGTTCCTGACTGGGCTGGCCAACTCGTTCTTGAAGAGCTCCTTGAGGTCCCGAAATCCGAAAGAAATGATTACATCAAAGCAGCTCATTCATCCGTCGCTGAAAATCTGAAGTGGTATCCTGCACTGGTAGGGGAGCTAGCCTTGGCTCGGAAGAATGGAACATCACCTAGAGAACTTGAGGTGTATACTGGGACTTACCGGGATACCATTGATGTCTTCAAGATTGTTGTGGATTTGGAGGACAACCAGCTCTACTGGAGGCTGCAAGGGCTTGATTCGGAGAAGTTTCCACTTGAACACTATGAAGATGACACCTTCACATGGCTACTTCCACGCAACGAGTTATCTAGACGCGGCCGCTGGGTGGGCTCGGACCAAGGGCCAGCATTCTGGAAAGCAATATTCCAATGCAGCGACGGTGGGCACATTGACAAGTTATATTGGGCACACGACATCGGCGTCCCACCAGTGGAGTTGACAAAAGAGTAAAACAAAAGGGTAACCGTATTTCATGTTGTTGCATCAACGTCATGCTCTGCTAGTCACTAGAAGCCGTGCCAGAGAGGTTTTTGGAGACAGAATTTCATGTTTCTCTCAAGTTTGAAGAATCAACGCCCATTGTTGATTGAAAACCTACTGGGTTGGGCTTTGCGCAGAACTCCTTGGGTCTCATTGTAATACAATTAGATTGAAAATGTCAACGGTAATGATTTTTGTAGGAAGAAACAGAAATTGACACCTGAAGGATCTCGAGCGTAGGAATCACATCCTTTAACCTAGGCCTCGAAGGGAATCCAAGCAAGATAGCGTCGGTATTCTCTTCGTTGCCCTTCTCCTATGGTAGCTTCGCTTCTATCTGATGCTCCAATAATAATAGCCGCTTTGTCCAAGTCGCTTTCAAAAGATCAATAGTCTCTCTAATTGATGCTTGCGGTTCTCAGTCGCGCCCTGTTTGGCCTTCTGGAAATATCTTTCTCTCAACACGTACTAGACGTTACATGGAAGCTCCATCCCAGTCGGGTGACCCCTTAGTGCAATTAAATATAATAACACCGGATCTCTAGAGGGAGTCGCGACATTCGGGAAGCTTATAACCACAATCATCTGTGTCTAAAACATTAACGGTGTGGCTCCATTCGAATTCATAACACATCATTTGCGAAGGCAGAGACCGTAGCAGCTTCTTGCCTCTCTGATGAAAGGAGGTTCGAGGCATCGTGTATGTTTAGATTGTAGGAAGATTGCGAGCTCCGGATGTCATTGACTAGGAGAGGCTAGTTTATAAGGACGAGGTTGCTGCGAGGCACTGCACTCGTTTAATTCCTAAAGTTCGAAACTAGAATGAAAACCTCTCATATCCTGCAAGTATTTAAATGACATAGATAGAGATTTTGTCATAGCTATAGGGACGGAACAAATGAGCAGAAATATGCAGACTGGCACTAACAGCTAAATTGGACTGACAAGTTGATCACGGAAGCGAATACACTTCGCCTAGGGCCTATTGCTTTGGAGACAGTTGGCACATTCTTACTAGGAGACTTCTCCCACAATCTGGATTAGGATTCCACACTCGCTGCCTTCAAGTAGAGGCGTAGGATATGACATCAAGTTTACGGGACCGATGTAGTGCCATGGTTTGAGCGGAATCAGAGGCTGTCGCGCTTTCTCGATATCAACAAATGTGATTGCTGCTTGCGACTAGTCGTTGTTCAAATATAGAGTCACCAGCGAATCCTCACTATTGTATGTTCTTATTGTTTTCTTTTAACTGAATCATTCGGTTTAATCCGCCGTTAAAGCCTATATTTTCTCGACCACTTGTTCCGATTTATCCTTATCGCCAAAAAAGGGAAAAAAACGCTAACCCAGGCACGTGCGTGGCTTCCTCTACCACGGCGAGTACTGCGCGTATAAGCCGGATGCAAATATGTTTATTAGTATGGGTGAGACTGAATACCAATACCTACTATTACATGTTTTTGTTCGCCTATTGCGTTGCAATCGTTTTATCCAGGTTTTTAGTCCCTATCTCATAAAGTTCATCATATTGTGTACGGAGTAGATGTGAATGCGATAGATGTCTCAGTTATTCATTCCTTCACCACTAGTGAAAAGAACAAGGCCGATATCGCGAGCAGGCTGATCATATTAATGGTCGCTGACGGAAAGTTAATATTCTAGTAGACTATTTAGCACATTTCTAATATTGCGACATGATGGCGTTTTGCATAGCGTGCTACCAGACACATATCACTCCAAGCCATTCCCCGCAGATATAAGATTTGATAGTAATCCATTTTTCTTTACTCGCCATCAAAAACAAAATGGGTAGCATAGCAGCAAATCCTTTTCAAGATGTCCCAGCGGGCCGAACAGGTAAATGATACAATTGACACATTCATGAACCTAAACTAAGAAACCATGTTTAGAGGGCCTCGAAGCCCTCATTACTCAGTTCCGAGCGGATACCGATCCCAACAGAACTGATCTCCTAGTGGGCGTGTATAAAACCGATGAAGGGAAAGCCTACGTGCTACCAACTGTGAAAGAGGTATATAAAACGTCCCAAATCTTTATCATTCTACACCTATGATGCATTACTAAAACTTTGATATTCACGTTACAGGCAAAGAACAGAATATTCAATGATCCTGATTGGCATCACGAGTATCGCCCTTCTGCTATAGGTTCCCAGCTTTATAGGGACTTGGGCGCCAAGTTGCTTTTTGGGCCAGATCATCGTCTTTTGCGGGAAAACAGGTAACAGAAGTCCGATATGCTCTATACAAATTCGGCCCAGAGCTGACTTATATTCTTAGGATAGTTTCAACGCAGACACTCGGCGCATGTGGCGGATGCCATGTTGGCGCAGTTATGTTGAAAAATCATTATGGACCGTGGAAGGAAAACGGGAACCCAGAGATTTTCCTTCCCAGCGAGACTTGGTGTAAGCGGTTGTTTGGTCACACATAAGAAAGTAATTCTGACTCAGTCGCAGTGAATCACCCTTTCTTATTCGAGTCTGCGGGAATTAACCCCAAATTTCTGCCTTATTTTAGCAGCAAGACAAACGCATTTGATTTTGTGAGCTTTTCAGAGGCTATCAAATCGCTGCCAGCTCAATCAGTCGTTCTTCTTCAGTCTGGAGCCCAGAACCCAACTGGATGTGATCCATCGCCAGACCAGTGGCGAGAGCTAGCCTCGATCTTCTCCCAGCGCGGTCATTTGGCATTCTTCGATGCTGCATATCCTGGTTTTGCCTCGGGAGACATTGACACGGACCTTGAAGGCGTTCGTTTGTTTGCCGAGCAAGAAATCCCGCTTGTTTTTGTCTCAACATACGGGAAATCCTTTGGGCTTTACAGCGAACGTGTTGGAATTCTTTCTATTCTTGCTCCAAGCGAGGAAGTGGGAAAAAGGCTAGAAAGTCATTTGAAACTACTCGCACGAGCGGAGTCTGGCGCGCCGCCCGATTTCGGGGCCAGGATTATTGAAACAGTTCTATCAGATGATATCTTGGAGCGCCAATGGCGGCAGGAAGTGCGTCACATGGCGGACCAACTCAAGAGTCGTCGAATTGCACTCAGGGAAGAACTTGAAAAATTAGAAACACCAGGTGACTGGCGGCACATCACTGATCAGAGCGGGATGTTCTCGTAAGTGTTACCGAGATCGGACCAGGAGACTCGCCATACTGACCTTATTTAGATATGTTGGACTCTCTGTGGAACAGGTCGCTCTGCTCCGGAACAAGCACCATGTTTATCTTCAGGACTCTGGGAGAATCTCTATTGCGTAAGTTTCATACGCATGTTTTGGGAATAATCGTTGGACTGACATATTTATTTCCTTTAGTGGGCTCAACAAATTCAATATCGATTACACTGCTCGCAGTATCAGCGCTGTTGTCAAAGCTACAACACCTCAGTGACTACGGAGGGGGTTGCCTCATATACCAAATAGTATAGATGGGGAAATGTAACTTGAGGGCATGGTTTATCTCTTAATCATATTGTCAAAGTCCTGGGAACTACAATGGCGGATCCTCGTTTTGGCTCGCTGCGGTTATACGCTCAGAGGGCGAAATCATGCATATTATAGTTCATTGAATAATTCATCATCATCATTCTTTTTCCAAGAGATAGCTTTCAATTACAATCTAATCAGAGGAACCGGAAACCCAAATCACAATTTCCCACAATTGATTCTTGTACTCAGAAAGGAGTACTTATATATGATCTCCGTATCCATGACAACAGTTTCCATCGTGGTCGGACCTCTAGTGTCTAGGACTTGCATTCGCAGCTGCAACAGACCAAATGTGTAATTTGTCCCAGTTCATACATGTATGAACTTGTTCAAAATTGGGCTATAATGGTACCCTGTCGACATACTATGCAATGCAGCTGATGAACGTCATCCAACCCCATTTTGTAGGGCTGATACTCAGGAAAACTCTTTGACATCGGGTACTTAGGATCCGGGTAGATAATCCAGACGCTCATGAATATATTATTCAACATCCATTCGGTATGAGAAGATAAAGTCTGACCATCATCCCATGCTTTACCAATCCCTAGTGGTGGAGGACCAACATATCTCGGGCCGGGTGTGTCTTTTATATACACACTTCCATCGGGGTGAAAGTGAATTTCACCAGTGAACATGATGGGGTGCGCTAATGTTAGGTCAGCATCTGAACCAGCTCATTTGAACAAGTTCAACCCACAATTCAGGCCCTTTGATAAGCTTCTCACCCTTTTGTTCTCTTGCCACCATTAAAGATTCCATAATCCCCTTCAGTGATAGATCAAGTACATGCGACCATAGGGCGTGGAAAATAGGTATTCCCGTCCGCTCAGCCGTTCTTAAGCCATGGTTTGAGCTCGATTAATAGTTCGGTGGGTATAGCCCAGGTGAGTGTGAAATAGAGAGGGTGTGATAAAGGCGGGCGGGTGCGGGGGAGGGGGCGAGAATCCTCCGGGTGAGCGAGCGCATTGACCGCCTGGGTATCTCTGTTAGGGCTTGGGTATGACCATAGGCTCTGAAACAGTCACATCTCTTCGCACCTGTACACAGCCATGCCTGGGCTTTCTTGGGTGGTCAGTTCATCACTGGGCGGTATGCGGGGCACCACACCTATCTGTTAGGCTACAAAAGGAGAGGGAAAAAGGAAGGAGAAAACTCTGCTATTCAATCTATCAAGAACAGGGTTTGTGTACCCTGCTAAACTAGCAAACAAACACTCAGTCTCACAAACAATTGTCAGGACAGTCTGAAGACGGTCGGGGACGGTCTGATCTCCAACACTATCTGTAACATATCCTTATACATACATGGGCTATATGCCACATCAAGATCGTTTGCTTTGTTTGCTTGCTTGCATTTTCGTTTGTTCATATAGATGGGGTTGTTGCCTGGTTTGTATCAAAGATACACCTAACCTAGTGTAGTGCAATGTAGTTCACTGCTCGAGCCCTTCTATTTTGATTTGTAATATTCCTAATATGATCCAGCCTTACTATGTCCCTGCATTTCGTATAGGTGGCTCTGATCGTATGGAGGAGGGTTCTCCATGGCCCTTATGCACATTGATGGCTGGTGGGTCGACTGGGATTGTGCCTGTGGTGAAGGGTCGTATGGCGGAGGGTCCTCCATGGTCTTTGTGCTTGTGCAGCATATTGACGGCTGGTGGGTCGACTGGGATTGTGCTTGTGTCTTAGACTTGTTCACACTGCTCTCATGGTTTGAGCGCGGCCCGTGTATAGGGTACGATGATTGGACATCAGGGTTCTTCCTTTGGCTACCATTCTTATAGCCCATTCGCCGCCTGTTATTAAGATAGTACTGTTGCTGGGAAGCATGACGGAGCCTTTGGGCAGCAGGCTGGAGATTTTCCTTGTATTTCTGGTCCTGCTCCTCATGTTCAGCGGCGGCCCTAATGGAGGATATATTAGTATGAGAGTGACAAGCATATGTCGAAGACTTGAATAACGCACTTCGATGCAGCTTTAATGAGGCTATAGGTACCACCCACAGCAAGGCTAGTCGTAAAAAGACCCATGTTTAAAAAGGAAAAGAATTTTCGGTAGAACCTTGGTAGATTATTGAAAATCTAATAATCTGAAGACTGGGAAACCGAGGGATATTTATTATCATTATTGTCTAGCACCGGAAGCTGTCTCGTTCGAATACCCGAGTTAGGCTCCACACGGAATCTTTTGACTCCGCCACGATATGGATCTTCGCCAAGATTATACAACAACCCGGGCGCATAAATGCCCGTTGCGGATAAACCTAACGTCCAACACCATAATCGCGCCTTTATCCTTTCCTTCTGGTCCATCTGACTGTGAAAGACTCGACACATACAGAAAGTGGAGATATTTCGAGCGATAATTCTATAGCATGTCCTTTGTAGTCAGTAAGCTTGGCCCCCTGATTACCAAGACTGTGGGGTAATTCTATACTCAGCCCCAAACAGTAGGTTCTGAGGCTTGGATTTTAGCCATAGTAAAGATCTGCATAAGAAAAGAAAATAGAACCCAATCCTTCTAGTAACTATAGACATGGGTTAAGCTTAAGGGGCTACCTCCTTGTTGATATCTCCCATTAGTCACATGATCTCTCTGCCTTCCATAGTCTCTTCTCTATCATATTCCTCCCCAGTCAATAGTTTAACACTTTTCACAATACACATATTGTGCTTTCATGATCTCATCTACTTCATAGATTCTAACACTCCTCACATGCCAAATAGTGTTTGTTAGCTCTCAGCTCAAGTAATCGATCTCTTACAAGATCAAGATTTCGTCCGACACAGATTGTTGTGCGGAGCGCTTGGTTGGAAATTGCATGTATTATATGACTGCCTCAATTATTAATAGTATCGTTCTCTCGCCGCTTTTGCTAGCTGCCCTGGGTATCCTAGTGAATCGTACGTTCTGACTATAGAGTTATTTATGAAAATGAAGCTGATTTAATCACAGGGACTAGTTATGAGTATTATTTTTTAGGATAACGTACGCGGACAACAGAGATGCCTACTATGGAGGACGATTCACGCTGTTCGGTTATGTTCTCGGTTTCTTTAAGTGATCCTGATGTATTAATTTTTGTTTCTTACCGCTCGCCACATCCACCTACAAAGCGTTTTCCATGTAGTAGCGATCACCCAGTACAAAAAGGTCATATATTTGTGTTGAGATATCAGATTGTAATTTATCGCATTTACTATAATGTTTCAGGGGTCACTTGGCTGTGTAATACAGTGACGATCCATAAGTTTCAACCTGAATTCTGCCCGGCCTAATCTCACCAATTAAAGACCTACAATTATGATCGGTATGACTATTTCAATAGGCGGTAGCCAAGTGCTGAAACTTATGGACCGTCATTGTATGTTATGGTACTTGTACTAGTGGTCATATTTCTGGGTATAATACATACCCTCAACCATGGATGTAGTCGACATATTACATCATGTGTCACATGAGATGTACGAAATATGAACAGCTCCGTGTGTGGAGGTAATATCCGGCCCTGCTGAGTCTATCACTTTCCATCTCTCCTATTTATCAACTGAACCTTCGTCTCCACTGAGGGAATAGAAGCGTCAGATAGTAAACATCCGGAAAAGGCAAGTAAAGAAAATGCAAGAGCAGAGTTCTCAAAGTGCTCATCTACACCAACCCTTCCAACATGTCGAACTCCCTGATCGTTCCGTATCGACCCATCGTCATCATGTGAGAAGGGAAGATACCAAAGACTCAAGTGATTTTGATAACCCTCACCTCCTCGATGGCCTTACCAGCATGTTAGCTGGGCGAGGGTGGTTCACACCTGAATGTGAAGGTCATTATGAATCGCGAAGTAGCTTCTCGGATCAATATCTTCCAAAGCACACGGCTGCTTCGCAAGGAACTCTCAGCAAATTGTTCCAGCCCAACCACACCGAAAGACTCCCAGCGACATCCACCAAGATAGGAGAATCGGCAACATCATTTGCAGAAGCGTACGGGAAATTCTTCAAAATTCTTCATTACGATGACTCCAACACCGTTCAATTATATAAAAAGAAATCTTCCACAACCAAGCGAAGCTTATCTTCAGGAATATCTTCGGAAACCTCCGCACCAGTGGGAGCACAACGGCCTTCTACATCCAAGAGCATTAATGAGCTCTTTGCAGTAAAAGTGTTTCACCACTCCCAGACCCATCACGATCCGATGCCTACCTTTCCTCGAGATCAAGGTCGACCTCTCTCACCATGCCATCCTAATATTGTTTTGGTTATCGATATTGTCTATAATAAGCAGGCAAATCTCTGTCTGGTCATGCCCTACTACACTGGCGGCAATTTACACTCCTTTCTAATACAAAATGGGAAACGAAGAGATCATCTGTCCACCGAGGAGAAAGATTGTTGGTATATTCAGATCCTTCGTGCGGTGTGCTTTCTACACGAGAACAGGATTGCCCATGGGGACATAAGACCAGAGCATGTGTTCCTTACGGCCCAGGGGGCAGTGAAGCTAGGCGGCTTTGGGGAGGACGAAGAGGCAGTTCGAGCAATGGCTAGATTACCACGGCGTGGTGGCCCCGTTTCGTCGTTTTCGGGTCCTATGTCTGGTTCAGCTCTGGGTCCTGATTCTAAGCCGACCTTGTGTATACGGAGAAACCTCTCGAACTTGAGTCTCCCTTATCTTCCCCCAGAAAGGGGCTTTGATCGTCGCGACTCTCGTCGTGAAAGCTATGTACATCACAACCTCATAAACCCCATGTCGGGAGATATATGGGCATGCGGCATAATTTATATTCTGCTGCGGACTGCCCGACTGCTCTGGTACAGTGCTCAAACTGCTGATCTCGACAAAACCTTTGGCGAGTACCTCCACTGCCGTCTGGAACAGAACGGATATGGCCCCATCCAGCTCCTAGAAGAAGTAAGTTCTATCAAGAATATTGAGATTACTGTGAAGTGATTCTAAGGCCGTCTGGAGATACGTGTGGCATCTTGGTAGTATTGGACACGAAAAGCTGACAAATGTTTTCGGAACAGCGTTGTCGAAATGTAATCTATGCCATGTTACATCCTGATTCGGGATTAAGGATCACTGCATCAGAGGTCTTGAGGTCTGAGTGGGCCCTTACTGTTACAGTTTGCGAGATTGGGGAGAGGGGATTGTGATGAAGAAATGACGTTTCTGGCCTCTCATTTGCATAATGGTATCATATTTTAGTGATGTAAGAGCGCCAGAAATAATTTATGAAATGCAACATTCTCTCTGAGTGGTCTGGATGGACAGACTGATCCGAGAAGACTAGGCAGTCTAAGAAGACCAAGTATACTATTGAACGTTACTGATTCATTATTGATTCATCGCGTTATGTGTTTTAGCAGCTCACTGAGTCCAGCCTGGATTGAAATCTACTCGGTGAGCCTGACTCTGAGCGCACTAATAAAAGCGGCAGCTAAGACAGGAAAGCACCACCAGGCAGAGGAAATATGGTATAGCTACCTACGCCCGACTAAATTCATATCTAGATTATTTTTCATACAAACGCGAGGAACGTTATCAGACAATAACCCTTGATATATTCAAGGGGAAAACTGTGTTCTAGTGGATCACTGGTATGGAATTCCAAAGGAATCTTTCGATCTATCCGTAAGAAATATATCTAAACGAGAGATAAAGTGTAATATATTATTTAGTATCTTATGGAAAATAGTAGGGTTTCTATTACTAACTTTAATATATATCTTCACACTCCAGGGCTAGTATAGTATGAACCCTTGGATCCAGTTCCATGATGTTCCAGGTGAAATTACCCCGCATCCATCCTAGTATTGGGAATCGTTATTTGACAATGTCAGACTGAGATATAGGGCCTCTAAGCATCATACACTTGAAGTACCTTGGTTTCTCTGTGTGATCTATCTCTCTGTTCCCGACGTGGAAGCCGATACAGTTCACCGAATTTGAGTATATGAACAGTCTAGATCAGCAACCACATAATACAAATCCCGTTTTTGCTACAGAGCTAATGCGAGGTAAAAACGGAAAACTTACAACATTTTATCTCCCCTCCCTACATTTGCAGAACTTGTCACGATCTACGTGATCACATGCTTTGCTTGCTTCCTTTGTTTCCTTGTTCCTTGTTCGCTACTATTCCTATTTGGGTAATAGCATACTTCCTGTGTAGGAAAGATTTTGTTTGCTTGCTGGGATAGCTCTGCTATAAGATCCCCTGGGATTTGCCACTTCCTTCTTCTGTCTCCTTCCTCTCCATCTTTGCTGTTCTAATGGGAATGAACTCTTTCTCGTTGAATGAACTGGCACGTAACAGAGCTCACCCGACTATCCCCAAACGGGCTATTCATTACAAGATGAGTCGAATTTACATAGTTATCCGATCCTCAGACCCCCCTAGTAGAGGCTCCCGCTCCCTATCCACCGCGCTTTCTCTCCTTTTGCCCCTCTGCCAAACCGATACAAACAAAACACCCTGCCCCATCGCAAATCCACCATTATCAAAAGCGAGGAACCCAACCGAGTTATGCCAATACATAAAATTGCCAACATCGAACACTGGCCATGAGGACATGTCCCAGCAGAATCCAGCATTTTCAATCGGAAGGCGCCAGATCCATGTAAAAGTCACAGCAGCAAAGACAACAGCTTGGACCGCCAATCCGCAGATACTTAGAGCATTGCCTGGTGGACTCGATAATGCTAATTTCCTTGCACTTCTGATTTCCTGTTTCTGCGAGAAAACAGCATATACCACCAACACTGTTACGAGCGGGTTCGGCAGACTCGTGGAGAGGAAGAATATCCCCGAAACTAGAGGACCGCCGTAAGTGTCATATGGCGAACCGAAACTATTGAGGATACGTAAGATTGGAAGGATGATTGGTATGGGGATGTAGAGTGCGTATGAAATGACATAGAGCGGTTTGGAGGGTGTATATCGTAAGCAGGCATAGAATCTGGGGGATATGTTGGTTGGAACTTGCTTGATTGTAATTGTAGCCCGGGGTCGGGTATTACAGACAGTATAAAAAACGAGAACCAGACCACAGCAGTTTGGTACATATTCAGTCTATCTCCGAACGTTCGCGGATGATAGACGAGGGGGATTGTTCGGTCCTTGGCTATGAGAAAGTAGATAAAGAATATGAATTGTTCTATTGTACAGAGGAGGTCCCAAAAGATGTAGTGCGTTGTAATCCCTTGAGTGGTCTTTTGTGTCCAGATGCGGTGTAGGTGAGGAAGAAACGATAAAGCGGTTATTATGGTGAGAACCCTGCGAATTTCCAAGCTTGTTAGTTGTGCTTTTTTCCTGATAGTGCTGGGACATATACTCGGAGACGGTCAGGCATGGGTATCGCATGGGTATCGACATTTTGAGAAGTAACCCATATGATAACTACATGCTGGATAAGTTAGATACCCAGAGAGGTTAAATGGGAACGTTGAGCAGTTTTCCTCGGCTGTCATGCCTTGCCTCTCCTGGTATGGCGCCTTATCTTTGGCCTCCAAGTTTGTTTGACTCGTTTGCATGTAATACGTACTATTCCCGCACAGCCACAGCATATGACAAGCCACGGCTTCGGAAATTTTGACCGGAGTAAGACAAGAACATGTGTCTTTCCGTGTTGAAACTCTTTCTTGTTTCGTGAGTCGTTTGACCCTTTATTTTATATCCTCGATTCCAATCATGCGTCTACGTTTCTGGAAGAGCGCGCACAGACAGAATTTGGGTGAGAAGCTTTCGACGCACTGACCCTCAGCAGAGGCTAGAACATTATTAGGCCAACGAGCCCATCCGGAACAGTCCGTGTTGGCATTTGCACTCAGCCCCTCGATGAATTGACTTTCCATGGTTCAATGAGGTATTTATTGAATGCAAGTTCTAGCAGATATGATGCCTCCTCTCCTCTGCACATTCGACACGTAGATCGAAGAGTGATCGCGCGGCTCGCGGCTTACGACTAACGCGTTGACCCTCTCAGTTGAACTCAAGTATAACATTATCAGGCCACCCTCATCTGCCTGAAACCACTAGCTTCCTCAGAAGCAATGGCATATAGCTACTGGTCGATGACTGTGGCTTGCTGAAATGGAGTAACTCCGTAATTGCGATACATTAGAAACAGCGCTGCACTATCAGAAGTTAAATGATCCAGCGGCATAAGTACCACCGTTATGAAAGTTTTTTTTTCTAGCCGTCGAATTGCCGACGGGGTATACACATTATTATTAGATCTATTCTCGGTTGCCCTCTATACCTTCAACATATTTTTTGTGCCTAAGCCGATACTATTGCCACGATATAAAGCTGCTACTCCTTACTCTTGTGGCCATCGAAATAGTCACACGCTCCTTTGATCACGGTACTTAGAATGATGCCCTTTACGCCGGGCCTTTCTATTGGAGGCCGATCACCCTTTCTCTCTAGTAATGCGGTCGCGGACATGTTTTGAGACATCGGCAGACATCATTATCAGGGCTCATACATTAGGTACATGCCTGTATGTCTACATGCTTAGAGGTATAGTTTGCTTTAAATAGTTTATCTTTATTATTCCTAGGATATTATGCCGATTTAAAGATAGTAGCAAGGTCCTCTCATATTAAACCCTAATATCGGTAGGGCCTAAGCGGGTTAGCTTTAGAGTTTACATACGAACCCACCAATCTCCTAGCTCAGTCTACCAAGATTGTCCTATAGTGTGTCCTTACGGACTAGGATATGCGGGTATAGCCTTCCAAAATCAATTAGGACAACATATGTTGTAGGTGCTAATAATAACATGTCCTAAAAGGTCTCTCGTTTGCCATTTACGGATACGGGCACCCTGCCACATATCCCTAATATATATCTAGCAAAACACATTACTGCCTAAGGGAGATGGCAGTGATCACGCAGACTTAGGTATTGGGGTGGGTCTCTTTAACAATCCTCAAACGTTACTTAGGTAAGGAGTAGTAGTTGTTGAGTTTTCAAAAAGGAATAGTAATTCTGTACTTTTTATTTTTGAACATATAGATCACACTATGTAAACTTTTCTTTATTACTTTAGCTAATATATTGTAATTCTCTACATAACACTTGAATATTTATACTTCTTTTATTAATGGTGTTCTTGATTAATGACATGATCGGGCTTATTCTTGGTTTTTGGTGGGGCTGAAATCACGGACTTTTTCGCAGTAGAACTGTACGTTAATACTATTTTCGTATATAATTCGGATGCAAGCGTGCGTGCGCGTCATAGAACTAGCCTCTACAAACTAGCAGGATTGCTCAACTGGATTTAGCATATAGATATAATGTGCTCACAACTAGATTATGTCGTACTACTTTATGTGGTTTCGCTCCAATCCAACACAAGCCTTCAAGGATAAGATAATTCAACAGAGTAACAATACTACCTGGTGGACATAACCTAAACGTGGAAGAGCGCGAAAGCAGCACCGAATAGAGCCATTGCTCCCTTGGGAGCGCTGAACTTAGACGCAGCACCAGTCGAGGGCAGAGCGGAGGCAGAGGCACTAGTCGATGAAGCACCAGAAGAGGTAGAAGACGTGGTCGTGACAGAAGAGGTAGATAAGGAGGAGGTGGTGGTGGTGGTGGAGTCTGCGATGGAAAAAGCTGTATTAGTACGATCGCCTAGTAATACTCTGCGGAGTTGCATCATGCCTGAGGAAGACAAAGGACTGGTCGACGACGTGGGCGCTGAAGACGCCGAGGATGTCAGGGTGGAGGTGACAGATGTAGAAGTGGTCGTTCTGGATATCTCGGAAGAAGAAGTGGAGGATGAGGTGGTGGAAGAAGACGAGGATGTAGTACCATCAACTGAAGCGCCCTTCTTGGCAGTAAAGATATCACTGACGGCGAGCTGGCCGGCAGAATCAATTATCTGGATCTCGTAGCCATGTCTAAGGCATGACGGAATGGTATTAGTGTTATTCCTTTTTGTTCACCCGCTCTATCTTCCACATACCCGTTGGAAATGCTAGGGTTAGGCTGGGTTGTGTATTCGCCATCAGAGGTCTTGACGTTATCCGCCAATTTGGTCTGAAAGGAGCCATCCTGAGTTCGAAGTATGATGCTGATCACTGAAGGATCACTAGAATCGCTAGTGAATTTGATGGTTTTGGGGGTGGAGAAATCCCACACCGTGTCTGACGACGGAGTGGTGATGGTGATGGCAAAGGCCGATGAGAGGAGGCTCAGAGCGGCGATGGCAAATGAGTAGCGCATTTTGATTGAATGGAACTATTGAATTACTGGAGAGTGAACTTCGGGGATGTCCCAGTATTTAGGAAAAGGCTATATAGTTTTGATCGGTAGACTGGGAACTAGACTTTTGAAATATCTATATACAGAAATCAGCAACCTTCAGCTGAAGCCGAGCGCAGTGAGAATACGAGATAGTCCAGACCTTGCATAGAAGTAGCATATGATCTACAACATGTGCTGAGCCTCTCCTGGAGAAACTGAAAAAAACCAGAGGTCATTGCGGTGCCCACGTAGGGTAACGAATACGCACTACTAGGATCGCTGCATCAGTGATCCGCCCTGTTGTGTTAGGTGTGTCAGAGTGAGTAAGCATTGTGACCAGCCCTGCCGTATTGGGTGCATCGAAGTAGGCATTGCGACCCGCCCTGCTGTGTTGGGTGCATCAAAGTAAGCATTGCACCTTATCTTTCCAATGAAATCTCCAAAGTGCATTGTGACCTGTTGTCCTATCATGTCAGCACTAGGTGGAGGTGCATGTAAATATGGACAAAGTATACCGACAGGGCTGGGAAATCGGGATCATGATTGAAACCCGAGTTTTGTATTGTATCGGTACTTACAGCTGTGCATGAATACCGGTCATGACTGGTAACACTCACCCCTGTGAGCCAAGTCTGTATGCCGTATGTGCCCAATAGTCAAAGCGACTAGCGGAATTCTGCTCCACGGGGTGTCAAGTTACTCAAAATATCTCCTATGTTCGATCATTCACGAGACTCAATATGGAAACAATAGAATTAGATGTACGGAGTATCTCGTCTATAGTAAAACCAAAGCAGAAACCATCGAAAGAACGTCAAACAAAATCGACAACTAATATGGTGGACAGGAAACATGATCAAAACAGGAGGAATAGCGGTCTAGAGAATTAGATGGAAAAATAGGACGCGGTCAATGCAGCCGTGACTATCAATGTCCTGATCTCCCACGACAAACCGAATAAAGAAATCCCACCTCCGGTGGAAGTCGTTGGAATTGCTGAGGCTGTCGATGTTTGGGTCTGATCTTCACAAATATTGGTGCTTCGGTTTAGGCTTTCAGTAGGATAGTACACCCGAGGCCCTCCATCCGAGCTGAGGTCCACATTGAGATTTCCGCTCGAATCAGTCACAAATGTTTTGCATGACAAAAGCTCGGTCACATTTTGTCCGGATGAAAACCCTGTGCCGTTGGAGCCAAGCGTGACCTTCGTGGTGGCTTTTGTGGCTGGCTTGGCTCCCAGGTTAGATACGACGCTCACAACCTGGTTACCAGCAAATCCCTTGCGCATGGCCAAGATATTTGTTGAATTGTAGATTGGCAATGAGAGGTACGATAGATAGTCGCGCCCAGACTTCGGGGCGACCGTGAACTTTTCTCCATCTCCGGTCGCATAGGACCGAATGCGATTCAACGATTGGACTAGCAAAGGTAGGGAGGTCGAGTTCATTGAGTATTTGGTAAGCCATAGGGCCTCCCGGTTGACAGGGTTGAATCCACCTGACAGATGCTGTTCTTCCCCGTAGTAGACTGTATTGCTTTTTTTATTAGTGTCTTTGACTGTTGGTTTTATGTGTGGGGGTGCAACATACGGATGGGGATACCGTCAGCGACCATGCTGATTGTGAGAATATTGCGAGCCAACTAATTAGGAGCGACAAAGTCAATACGGGCTGACAAAATACACGACGCACTCGACTTACTGATATGTCTGAAGTATACGAGCCAAAGCGAGGAACATCCTGATTCGATGTGAAAGTCCCCAGGGGCAGTACGTCCTCGCAATGTGCCCGTACATGGTCGATAGACTGTACAATCCTGTTCAGGTCTCCATCGGTCGTGTTGAAGGTCTCTGAGAGGATATAATACCTAAAAGAAAGTGTTAACACGCCATCTGTTCATTTCGATGAGCTACTCACAACGGATAATTCAACAGTCCGTTTAGATTGGGCTGCAGAGAACAGTAACCGGATGCGTCTCTTGTAGCGCCTTCGCCCATAGTGAAAACACCCGCTGCTTTGCTGAAATTGGAGAAGAAGACGGGGGGAATGTTCAAGACACTGTCGATTCGCAAGCCATCAACTACCAAGAATGACTGTTATTAAATCCATTGGAGAGATAGAAAACGTATAGACATACTGGAGTAGTTCGAAACCAACTGCGAAACCCAGGTTCCTAGAATCTGCTGGACTTCCTGATCCTCGTTTCGCAGATCTGGAAGCGATATGGTGTTGTCTCCCATCCAGCACTGATGAAGGTTTTTAGCAATGCTCTCATAACATGCGATGACAGACTTACATCCAGAACACAGGTGTCGTTTGTGGGGTCCTCGGAAAGTAGCTTGTAGTCGTGGAAATACTTCTGATCATTGAATGGATTGAACGTGCTGTAGTCGATAGTGGAGGCATTTCCAGCCCAGGCCAAATCACCAACCACAATGTCCAGCATCAAGTACTATTTTTCATGTCAGCTTCATGAGTAGACATGGCAGCTGGCGACTCACCATGTCGCGCGCGTGCAACGCAGCGGATAACGCTTGGAGGTCATCGGAAGTGCCAAAATGGGAGTTGATGGAATACAGGTCATTTGGCCAATACCCATGGTATGCTATCATCCATCAATCGTTAGTTTGATATATCCGTTGACAGTGAAGATGACCATACCTAAGAGATTCGCCGTGCGAGTAGACTCCTGGCTTTGCACTGGAGAGATCCAGATTGCATCGAACCCGAGTTCCTGAATATAATCCAGCTTATTGATGATGCCTTGTAAACTCCCTCCACAGTACTCTCCCAGTCCTGCATTACAAGAAGCTGTGGTTGAGTTATCGGATCTGGCGAAGCGATCGGTGACCACTTGGTAGACCGACCGACCGAGCCATTGGTCTCGGGAAGCCGCGTGGACTGTCCCAATGGCAGCAACCAAAATTGTCCACCACCGCATTGTCTGTGGCGTTTGCATGACAGGTCGAAGTAGAATCAAATGAGAATCAGAGACAATCAAAAAGCTACTTAAAGTTGATTGACAATGTCATATAGAAAAAAGATCTACGGTGAGGTATCATGTATGCGTGTATTATACCGTACGTGTAATACATGTGTTATCTGTTGCCGTCCCTGCTGATCCGGTCATATATTTTGTCGGCCCGATCGGCAAGGCTTGGATCCTCAAAAAAAAAATCCCGCTCATCCCAATCGAGGCCAATGGCTTCCAAGGGACGGAGTCGCCGTGAACAAAAGCCCTAAAAAAAAAAGTAATACGAGACAAACGCAACAACGAGCCGCACTCTTATCATAAGATCCACTTCTCACACTATCTCATAGGTCAGTCCTGTATCAGGTATGACGTGTTCTATCGTCGGGCGGGTTACCAAATCTGGCATATAATTTTTTTTCGGATGATTTACTTGCGGCTGACTCCTCGTATAGTTTCAATGTTCGCAGCAACCACGTATGCACATATCATTCTCTATCATATGTGGAAGCTATCGAATAGAGACCCACTTCGTACATTGGGCCCTGTAGACCAGTCCTATACTGATACATATCAGATCTAGACCCATTGTCCAAATATAGGACAACCACTGAGCGTGGGTATGGATATGCTTTGCTGTGGATTGAGGCTGGTACAGCATGGCTGGCTCAGGTCTGCGGTTCGCCTAATTCCTGCGTCTATGCTGATATACAAAACCGTGATTGGTATTCTCGAGCTCAGAGTCAATTATTGCATTGGCCTGAGCGGCTTCGGAATATTAATTATCTTTCAAATTGTTCTTTTACGCATCTGGGCCTGATGAATCGTTCAGTGTCTTTGTTTCTATCAGTTATCCCTTTCTTCCTAGTATGCACCTTGTAGTTGTTGTTCTGCAGTCGAGGCTCGAACAGCGTGTTCTGTGAAGGTCACCATAGTGGAATTCACTGTGCGGAATGGAGCTGCTCACTATCACTCGTTATCTTGCCATTGTTGCGATATCTATACGCACTGCACAATCCCTGCCATATCTTCCAGAGCAAGCAAACTGGAATCTCAATCAAAATCAGACAGCGACACATCCACTCGACTACTCGGGTCATTGGGATGACCACACATACAACCCCTCGCCAGAGAACTGGCGATTCCCCTTTACACGATATTCCTCGACAGATTTGTAAATGGCGATCCGAGTAACGATAATGCAAATGGCACACAGTGGGAACAGATCTTGACCTCCAACGAGTTCCGCCATGGCGGTGACGTTCTTGGGTTGGTTGATACGTTTGATTATCTTCAGGGGATGGGGATCAAGGTGCGTTTGTTGCTTCAGGAATACTGAATGTGGAGAATATATTGACCATCTCCAGGGCGTCTATCTCGCTGGAACACCCTATATCAACTTTCCCTGGGGCGCGGATGGATACTCCCCGCTTGATCTAACTCTGCTGGATCACCACTTTGGTATGATCGAGGACTGGCGCACAATGATATCAGAGGCACATCGACGGGGGATGTATGTTCTTTTTGATAATACCTTTGCAACGTATGTAACTTCCATCTGCCCAACCTCTGGTATCGTCTGCTGATTGTGGATAGAATGGGCGACCTTATCGGTTTCCAGGGCTTCTTGAACGAGTCCGCACCGATTAATCCCAACGAGTACGACTATGTATGGAAGTACGGCCGTCGATACTGGGACTTCCAGCCCGGAAACGAAGTTGAGAATGAATGTCCCTGGGAGTATCCTCGGTTCTGGGATGATGATGGGTCTGGTTTGATCACCTCAAACCTTACTTCTTCATGTCGGGATAGTGAATTTGATCAGGTAACATTCCCTTTCTTTCGATATTGAGCATTACTGACCTCTACAGTATGGAGAAATTGCCGCCTTTGGAAACTACACCGAATGGGAAGGACAGATATCCAAATTCGCATTTGTGCAGGATCGTCTACGCGAATGGCGGCCGGACGTGCTAGCCAAGATCAAACACTTTTCGTGCCTAACCATC